TTGTTAAGTGAATCAGGCTTCCTGCTTGTCCAAAAGTTGCAAAAAGGATCAGCTAACCACTGGACGCTGCAATCATCATAAATACGAGTCCGTTGCCAACCATCTGTATTTTGGTCCCCTGAGCAGGGGGATGCTGCAAGAGTCATTCAGTGTTAAAAATGGTCATTAAGTGTGAAAAACCACCGTTAGAACTGACAAAGGATGGTTAAGTGTGAAAATACGGTCGGTAAATAGTATGAAAAAATGGTCGTTGTATGAAAAACAGGAATTAAATGGGAAAAATGGTTGTGTGAAAAAATGGTTAAATGTGAAAGACATTTCAAGTGTGGAAAATTAGTTGTTAACTGTAAAAAAATGACCGTTCAGTGTGAAACAGTCATTAATTGTGGAAAACGGTTGCTCAGTGTGAAAAATGATACTTAAATGTGAAAAAACTGTTGCTAGGTGTGAAAAACGGTCCTTAAGTGTGAAAAACGGTCTCAGTGTGAAAAACAGTCCTTAAGCATGAAAAACGGTCCTTAAGTGTGAAAATGGTCTCAGTGTGAAAAAACGGTTGCTAGGTGTGAAAAACGGTCCTTAAGTGTGAAAAAACGGTCCTTACGGGTGAAAAAACAGTCATTAAGTGTGGAAAACGGTCACTAAGCGTGAAAAATGGTATCAGTGTGAAAAAACGGTCATTAAGTGTGAAAAATTGTTCCTTAAATGTGAAAAAACGGTCCTTATGGGTGAAAACTGGTCCTTAAGTGTGAAAAAACTGTCCTTAAGCATGAAAAATGATCGCTAAGTGTGAAAAATGGTCCTTACGGGTGAAAAAAGTCATTAAATGTGAAAAATGATCACTAAGTATGAAAAACAGTTCTTAATTGTGAAAAACCGGTCCTTTAACTGTGAAAAACGGTCCTTAAGTGTGAAAAACAGTCACTAAGTGTGAAAAACGGTCTCAGTGTGAAAAACCGGTCCTTAAATGTGAAAAAACGGTCCTTACGGGTGAAAACCGGTCCTTAAGTGTGAAAAAACTGTCCTTAAGTGTGAAAACTGGTCGCTAAGTGTGAAAAACGGTCCTTACGGGTGAAAAAAGTCATTAAATGTGAAAAACGGTCACTAAGTATGAAAAACAGTTTTTAATTGTGAAAAACCGGTCCTTAAGTGTGAAAAACAGTCATTAAGTGTGAAAAACGGTCTCAGTGTGAAAAATCGGTCCTTAAATGTGAAAAAATGGTCCTTACGGGTGAAAACTGGTCCTTAAGTGTGAAAAAACTGTCATTAAGCATGAAAAACGGTCACTAAGTATGAAAAACAGTTCTTAATTGTGAAAAACGGTCCTTAAGTGTGAAAAACAGTCATTAAGTGTGAAAAACGGTCTCAGTGTGAAAAATCAGTCCTTAAATGTGAAAAAATGGTCCTTACGGTGAAAAAACTGTCATTAAGCATGAAAAATGGTCGCTAAGTGTGAAAAAACGGTCCTTAAGTGTGAAAAACCGGTCCTTAAGTGTGAAAAAACGGTCCTTAAGTGTGTGTGGGGGGGGGAAAAACGGTCCCTTCTTTGAAGGCCGCTGGGACTTCTGACCACCCATGAACGGACGGACGTAAGTCGAGGACCGCCCATACTAATTCTGTGGAATCTGACAGGCTGAAACGTCGCCATAAAACGAAACAACCCCCCCCTTCTCCCCCACCCCGTCAGGAAAGGCCAAGGAGGAGAGAAGGATCTCGACCTGACGGACTTCAGCCTGACGAGCCGCAGCTCAACGGAGAAGCCTCGCTCGACTTACCGGCCGCCGCCTGCTCCGCCTTCCTGTCCCCGCCCACTCGCGGCGGCCCCGCCCTCCGCCGGCGTGCTCCGTCGCCTAGCAGCGGTCGGCCACGCCCACACCTTCGCTGGCGACGGCCCCGCCCTCCAGTTCGCCCATTTGACTTTCCGCCGTGTGGCACGCCGGGAGCCGTAGTCCCGGCATCCTAGAACTAGGTTGGGCGGTAAAGCAGCGCCCTGTTTTCCGATGACGTCACCGGCCGTCTCGCAGACCGCCGGGAGTCGTAGTCCTGGCGTCGTTTGAATGGAAGGGGGAAAAAAAAAAAAAGAGTATGTCGACGGTCGCCGCTAGTCTTGCTGGGAGTCGTAGTCCTGGCGTCCTATGAATGGAAGGTGGGACAAAAAAAAGCAGCGCGCATGCCCCGCCCTCCTCGCGGCGCGCTGCCTTTACGTAACGTCCACGCGCGTCTCCCGGCCCGCCAGGAGTTGTAGTCGTAGCGTGAATGGAAGAGGTGTGTGGGGGGGGGGGGAAAGCAGCTCTCTTGGCTCTGCCCTCCTCGCGTCGCACCTCCCTACCGCCAACGCGCCCCGCGAGGGATGCCGGGAATCGTAGTCCCGGCTTCCTGTGAAGAGAAAACAGGGCCTTCCCATTCGCCGACGTCAAAAGGCGCGCCGCGGAGCATTCCGGGAATCGTAGTCCTGGCGATGGTAGTCCTCGGCCTCCTTTGAACGGATAAAAAGCCGCCTTGACGCCGACGTCCACTCGCGCGCGAAGCATGCCGGAAGTTGTAGTGCCAGCGTCCTTTGAGCGGCGGGGGGGCGGGGGAAGGAAAGCAGCGCACCGGCCGGCCAGAGACGATCCTCCGGCGCGACCCTTCCGCTCGCCCGGCGCCTCCCTCGCTGCAGAGCCCGCGGTGGGAAAGGAGGTCGGTGGGCCTTATTTCGCGCCTGAGCCTGGCTAGGCCGCAGAAGCCGCCATTGTGGCTTGGGAGAGGGGGGAGGGGGCGGGTTGGGAGGGGAGGCCGGGCCTGGGTCTCCCCTGGGCGGGGGAGGGGCGAGGGGGGAGGGTTGGAGGGCCCCCTCCTTAAAGGGTTGACTGGGGGGGGGTCAAATTTGGGGGTGGGGGGGCTGGCTGGGTGATGAATTAGATCTTATTTTGGGGAGGGGGCTTTGCAGGCAGGGGAAGGGGCTCTGTCTGGGAGGGGGGGTCTGATTTTGGCTGGGTGATGAAAGGGTCCCGTGAATGGGTTTTTTGGGGCGGAGGGAGGGGGCTGGGTTTGGAGAAGGAGGGTGGGGGTGGGGGGTGCATTTGGGGAAGGGGTCTGGGGACTGAGGAGGGGAGGGGGACTGATATTGGGTGGGCTGCCTGGAACTGATTGGGAGGGCTTGTACTCTGGAAGTGCTGGGAATTGGTTGAGTCTGGTATCTCCCTAAGCCATGATGCCGTTCCCTAATTGGGTTATGAGACGTTTGGGAGAAAACCACCGAGGCTACTAAGCACTTGAGGACCCCACATTTCCACCTATAGTGAGCTATAGAGGGTCTCTTCTGTTAATTGAAATTCTGTGAGGTCCTCGGTGGTCTCTGAGCTATTTTTTTTTTTTTGCAGACATCTCATGACCCAACTAGATAGCATCATCAGTATTCAAGAAGACTGGAGGTTGTGGAGAGGAAGGGGAAGAGGGGATAGGATTGTGGGGTCCTGGGTGCTCTCTGAGCTTCCAGGTTTTCTTGCAAACATTTCTCGACCCAGCTGTGTAATATTATCGGTGACGAAAGGGTGGAGGGAGGAGAAGGAGGAGGTCTGTGCGGTTTATGATTCTCTGCAGACGTTTCGTGACCCCACTTGGGAACTTCTTCAGTGGTAGAAGGGACTGTATATATAGAGAGAGAACCCCTCTCTTTTTCTAGCACTGATAAGGTTACCTAGTTGGGTCATGAAACGTCTGCAAGGAAACCATCAAATTCAGGGAGCCTCAAGGAGGCCATAGTCATCTTCCTCCTCTTACCTCCTTCTTCTCTTCTCCTCATCCTTCTCTTCTTTATCCATCTCCTCCTCCTTCTCTTCCTTCTCTCCTTTTCCTCTTCCGTCCTCCTGCCGTTTCTCTTCCATCTTCTCCTTATCCTCCTCTTCCCTTTCTCTTCCTCCCACACTCCTCAAACCCCTTTCCCTTCCAACCCTGAAACTGTTCTCTAGTTGTGTCACGAAACGTCTACCCGAAAACCTCCAAATTCACAGAGAACTGGAAATTTTAAACTGGGTTTAACAACCGTTATTATAAACACAGTTCATTACAAACACAGTTCATTACAAACACAGTTCATTACAAATACAGTTTATTATAAACACAGTTTATAATAATGGTTGTTATTATAAATTTGCAGTTCTCTACTCCTCCGGAGTAAAATAATGGGATGCATTGGGATTTTTGGCTTCACCTGTTGTCATTTCGGGACAAGACCCCCCCCTCTGCACGACTCCTGCCTCAGTTTCCTGCATGGAAGGTGTTTGCTGCAGGAATCTGGTAGGATTCAAGTCTGAATGATGCCTCCAGTTTTGAAGACCCCCCCCCCCACACACATATATATATATACACACACACACACACACACACACACACACACACACACACACAGTACATATAGAGAGAGGTGGAGACTTTGGAAAAACTGCAGAGAAGAGCAACTAAAAGAATGAAAGGCTGGAGACCAAAATCTAGGAAGAATGGCTGCAGGAATTGAGCATGGCCAATCTATAGTAAAGAAGGAATAGGGGGACATAATAGCAGCATTCCAGCATTTGAGGGGCTGCCACAAAGAAGGGGCGGGGGTCAATCTATTTTCCAAAGCACTAGAAGGTAAGACGAGAAACTAATCCAGGAGTAAAGCAACCTGGGAATAAGGAGAAGCTTCCTAACAGTAAGGGCAATTCACCAATGGAACAGCTTGCCACCAGAAGTTGTGGGAGCTCCATCACTGGAGGTTTTCAAGAAAAAACTGGACAGCAAGTTGTCTGAAATGATCTTGGAGGTCATCATCCCGCTATTCAAACAGGAGACCCTTACAGAATCATAGAATGATAGAGTTGGAAGGGACCTCAGAGATCTTCTAGTCCAACCCCCTTGTCAGGCAGGAAACCCTACACCCTTTCAAAAAAAATGGGCATCCAATCTCTTCTTAAAAACCTCCAGCATTGGAGCCCTTGCAACTTCCAGTGGCAAGCAGTTCCAGTGGTGAATCGTCCTCCCTCTTAGGAAATTCCTCCTTAGTTCCAGCTCGCTTCTCTTCTCAATTAGTTTCTATCCGTTGTTTCTCTGGTGCTTTGGAGAATAAGTGGAGCCCCCCCCTTTTCGGGGCAGCCCCCCCAAATACTGGGAGAATTTTATCATGTACTTCTTTTCTTCAGACTGGCCAAACCCAAATCCTGCAGCCGTTTTTTGTATGTTTTAGTCTCCGGGCCTCAATCTCAACATCTTTTTTTGGAATGTGGCGACCACAACTAGATGTGGTAATCTTGGTGTGGCCTTACTAAAGGTTTACAAAGCGGTACAACTCCTTCCCGTGGACCTCAGCTGTACCCTTCTGTGAAATGGGCCTCCGTATGGCCTAGGTAAAGATTCATAATCATTTACTGGCCGGATGCCCTTCCTGTCGCCAATGTGGAGTTATATTCAGCAGATTATATTCTCAACGGGCCCAGAGAGAGAAATATCTGCCTCTCCCTAGGATTGAACTCATAACGTCCTGATAGTGAAGGGAGAGCTCCACCTCTAGGCCGCCACACCACTCGCGTAGGTAAGGATTGATCCTTGCTGAACTTATCCCATATTCATTTCAAATGCTTTGACGACACTTCGATTGCCACGAAATACATAACTCGGAGAAATCCTCGGCCAAGTGCCAAATTCCTCTAACAGACGTTGGGCTGGTTCTCGGGCTTGCGACCGCCATCGAACCCATGCTTTCCGTTGCTGTGTCTCAGGTCCAGTTTTGGCCTCCTTTTCTGGCCTTTTCGGCTGCCGTCATTCATGCAAACCGCCACACTCAGTTTCCCTGTTTGGCTTTTAATAAATAAATCCATAAATGGTGGGGGAGGGGGGGAAACCAAGGTTGCAGCCTGTCTCCCACTTATGACCATTCCAAGTTACGACTGCACTGAAAAATGAGAATTGGAACCCAGGTCCGAAATTCTGATGCTCGGCCCCCTCAGCTGTACATGTTTTGTGTGTTCGACCACACAACCCACAATTACAGCCCTCGCTTCTGCTTTGCACCCATGCTGTTGTGCCCGTCGCACACGATGGGCTTGCCCTTGTGACCTGTGGGTTCACTTAAGGACTGGGTTTATGTGGTCCGTCGCGTGATTGGCCAATTTTATGAGCGTCACAACTTAATGACAGCAATGGATTGGCTCCATTACAGTCATTGGTGAAGGATATGTGATAAAAAAAGTGTTAATAAAAGACAATGAGTAGTCCTCAGTTTATGACCACCATTTCTACCACTAAGCAAGACTGTTGTTAAGTGGGTTTGTCCCCCATTTTACGGCCTGGCTGTCTCCCGTTCTTAAGTGAATCATTCCTGTGGGTAAGTTTGTTCCATTTTCGTTAAGCGAATCAGGCTTCCTCGTGGATTGCGCTTTGCCAGAAGGTCACAAAAGGGGATCACCTGACCCCGGGACCCTACAACCGTCGTAAATACAGGTCAGTGAGAATTTTGACCACAGGTACAGTGCGGCGGGCATAAGCGCGAACAAGGATCTTAAATCCCTTTTTCTACAGTTGCTAAATGGACTGTTGTAAATCAAGGACTTCCTGTACACTCCCCTCGGCTCTAGGATGTTGTCATTTCAAATGGTCACTAAACGAATCGTCGTAAGTCGAGGAAGACCCTTTGCAGGGCAGAGCTGAGGATTTTGTACAGTTTCTGCATGATAAAATCGCTCAGATCCGGATCGGATTGGACTCTGACTCATCCTTCGTTGGGCAGAATCCAATCGGGAGACTAGGGTGGGTCTTGAGAATAATATCTGGATTGAGTTTGACCCTGTTTCTGTCAAGGAAGTGGACAGGATTGTTTTTTTTTTTTTTTTAATTTAATTTATATGCCGCCCTTCTCCGAAGACTCAGGGCGGCTTACAATGTGCTCAGCAATAGCCTTCATCCTTTTGTATATTTATATAAAGTCAGCTTATTGCCCCCACAAACCGGGTCCTCATTTCACCTACCTTAGAAAGGATGGAAGGCTGAGTCAACCTGGAGCCTTGGCGAGATTCGAACCCTGCAGTAATTGCAGGCAGCTGGTCTTAATAACAGGGTGCCTTAGACCACTGTACTACCAAGGCTCTTGTGGGGAAACTTAGTTCCTCCACTTGCTTATTGGATCCTTGTCCCTCCTGGTTGGTTTCAGCTAGTAGGGAGGTGACTAGAGACTGGATCCAGGCCATTGTCAACGCTTCGTTGAGAGAGGGGAACTTCCCCGCCTCTCTTAAGGAGGCGGTGGTTCGACCTCTCCTCAAGAAGCCTTCCCTGGATCCAGACTCACTTAATAACTATCGTCCCGTCTCCAACCTTCGCTTCATTGCGAAGGTTGTTGAGACTGTAGTGGCTCAACAGCTCCCACAATTCCTGGAGGAAACGGAATACCTTGACCCGTACCAATCGGGCTTCCGACGTGGGCACAGCACGGAAACGGCATTGGTCGCTCTGGTGAATGATCTCTGGCGGGCTCAGGATGGGGGTTGTTCCTCCATCCTGGTCCTACTTGACCCCTCAGCGGCTTTTGATACCATCGACCATGGTATCCTACTGCAGCGACTTGTGGGGTTAAGGGTGGGAGGCACTGTGTTACAGTGGTTCTCCTCCTACCTCTCGGGTCGCTTTCAGTTTGCATGGGCGGGAGGGCAGAGATCCACCCCGAGGCCCCTTAATTGTGGGGTGCCTCAGGGGTCGGTTCTCTCCCCCCTGCTCTTTAACATCTATATGAAGCCACCGGGTGAGATCATTTGTGGCTTTGGGGTGAGATATCATCCATATGCTGATGATACCCAATTATACATCTCCATCCCAGAGATGCCCTTTCCGTGATGTCCCGTTGCCTGGAGGAGGTACGAGCCTGGATGGGCAGAAACAGACTCAAACTCAACCCCTCCAAGACTGAGTGGCTGTGGATGCCAGCATCTCAGGTTTCAGAGGCTCCATCACTTTTGATAGATGGGGAAAAACTTGCCCCCGTTGATAGGGCTCGCAACTTGGGTGTCCTCCTGGATGCTCGGCTGTTTCTAGAAGACCATCTAACGGCCGTGACCAGGGGGGCCTTCGCACAGGTTCACCTGGTGCGCCAGTTGCGCCCTTTCCTGGACCGAGATGACCTTCGCACAGTCACTCATGCCCTGGTTACTTCCCGCTTGGATTACTGCAATTCCCTCTACATGGGCCTGCCCCTGAGATGCACCCGGAGACTCCAGCTGATCCAGAATGCAGCCGCACGGGTTTTTACTGGAGCCCCTCGTTACTCCCATATAACACCCCTCCTGCGTGAGCTGCACTGGTTACCAGTGGTTCTCCAGGTCCGCTTCAAGGTGCTAGTCCTCACCTATAAGGCCCTTCATGACTTAGGTCCGGGATATTTGCAGGACCTTCTCCTGCCTGCCTCCCACCGTCCTGTTCGCTCACATAGGGCCGCTCTCCTCAGGGTTCCGATGGCAAAGCCAATGTCTCCTTGCTGTGCCCAGGGGTAGGGCGTTCTCTGTGGGTGCTCCCACCCTCTGGAATGAATTACCTACTGAGCTCCGGACGGCTCCTGATCTCCGCTCCTTCCGTCAGGACTTGAAGACTTGGCTTTTCAAACAAATAGGCTGAGACTGATTCCGGGCTTTATTATTTACTACTAATTAATTATTTGGATTAAATTATGATTTTATTGTACTTGTTTCTTAACTTGTGTTCGCCGCCCTGAGTCCTTCAGGAGAATGGCGGCATATAAATACATGTAAAAAATAAATAAATAAATAAATAAACTACCAGTGGATACATGGGCACTTGGATGTCCTCTCTCACTCATTCTTGATTTTAAAACCTTTCTTGGAGAATTGGGACACAATTGTCTTGCTTTCCTGTGTTTGATTGATTGATTGATTGATGGTGAAAATTTCTCTCCTTTTTTTTCCAGGAACTGGATCATTTCGGTCTGCCAGAGATGTTCTCCCTGAATTCATGTAGAAGAGGTAAGAGTTCAATTCGAGCCAGGAGCAGAAGGGTTGGGGTGTAAAAATCCTTGCCCTACCAGAACCTTTGAATAACAGAAAGGACCTCAGTGGTCATCTAGTCCAACCCCCTGCTCAAGCAGGAAACCCCATACCATTTCAGACAAATGGCCGTCCAATCTTGTTTTTAAAAGCCTCCAGTCACGGAGCATCCAGCACTTCTGATGGCAAGTCGTTCCACTGCTTAATTTTTTTTTTTTATGCCGCCCTTCTCCGGAGACTCAGGGCGGCTTACAATGTGCTCAGCAATAGCCTTCATCCTTTTGTATATTTATACAAAGTCAGCTTATTGCCCCCCAAACTGGGTCCTCATTTACCTACCTTAGAAAGGATGGAAGGCTGAGTCAACCTTGAGCCTTGGCGAGATTCGAACCCTGCAGTAATTGCAGGCAGCTGGTCTTAATAACCAGCTTAATAACAGGGTGCCTTAAACCACTGTACTACCAAGGCTCTTTTGTGGTAATTGCAGTATCAGGAATCTTTTCCTTAATTCTAGTTTCCCCGAATCCCTAAATAGGAAATCATGGAATGCTTTAGGATCAGGTTAAGATCACACGCTAGTAGCGGGTTGAGTTGCAATTCCCATCATCCCTAGCCAGCCTTCTTGGAAGGAGCAGGAATGGGAGTCTGCTGACCTGGAGCTGAACCCATCAATTCTTCTTGCCTTAGAACAAGATTTCCAACGTTTAAGAGGCGAGGACTTCGACTCCCAGAATTCCCCAGGCAGCCAACGACTGTCCGGTCCTTGATGATTTCTGACCTTGGGTTCTTGCAGACGTCTCATGACCCGACTAGGAAACGTCAGTGATGGGAGGGAAGGAAGATAGATAACTTGTGGGGTCCTTGGTGCTCTCTGAGCTGGGTGGTTTTTTGGCAGACGTCTCATGACCCATCTAGGCTACAGCATCCATCTCCTCCTCCTCCTCTCCGCCATCCCCCCTCCCTTTTAGCCCTGGGGATGTTTCCTAGCATTAAAGCAGTGTTTCTTAACCTTGGAAGCTTGAAGATGGGTGGACTTCAACTCCCAGAACCCCCCACCCAGCAAAGCTGGGTGGGGGATTCTGGGAGTTGAAGTCCACCCATCTTCAAGCTTCCAAGGTTAAGAAACACTGCATTAAAGGATTTCCTGCATTGAGGTGCTGCGGTTCTTGCGGCGGCGTTGAAAAGCCTGGAGCCGCGCGGGGGCTCTCTTCCCTCTCGTCTACTTCCTCGCGGACGCTCTGGCCGCGATCTCTCTACGCTCCGCCTTTCGGACCCTCTCCTCGACTGTCCCTCCTCGAATCTTCTGGCTGCATTCTTCCTAGAATTCCTCGCTTCCGTGGGCGCTCCCACTCGTCACTTCCGTCGAGGACTCTGGCTGCGCTCTCTCTTCTCCGCCTTCCGCCGCGCTAGGGCGCTCCGTCTCTTCTCCCCCGCTGCGGATTCTGGTGGCGTTCTCCCTGCGTATCGGATCCGTTTCCTCTCATTTCCTCCGCCCATGCGGACTCTCTGGCCCAGCTCTCTTTCCCCTGCCGTTCCCCCTTTAGGCCTGGCGCCGCGTGGGGGCGCTCCCTGTCATCTTCTCCGCGGCCGCTCTAGCCCTGCACCCCGCCTACCGGAGCCTCTTCCTCTCGTCTCCTTCGTTGCGGACGTTCTGGCCTCGTTCTCGTTTCCCTCTGCCGTCTCTTTTTCGTCCTACCGCCGCTCGGGGGCGCTCCCGCTCGTCTCTTCCGTCGCGGGCGCTCTGGCCTCCCTCTCGCTGCCCCGGTTCTCTTTCTCTCCGCATGGCGGTCCCTTGCCGGCTCTTGCGGGGGCTCCTGCGCGGGGGAGGCTTCACGGGAGCCCCCGGCTTGGTAGGCCCTTGGCGATCCCGCTGCTACACCCGCGTTGCCGGGCCGGAGGAAGCGGAGGAAGGCGGCCGGGAAGGAGAGATGGGCCGGGAGGGCGAGGAAGGCTCCAGCCTCCATGTCTCCCCCCCAAAGCTCCCTCGGGGTAAGTGGGAGGGTCCCTGTGGGGCAGGATGGGGGGGAGGAGCTGGATCCAGGGGTGGGTGGGTGGGGTCTCATGCCCCTCCCTTTTGGGGCCACGATGGGGGGGATTGAGCCCCCCCCTTTGGGGAGAGTCTGGGGGGACCTTATGCAAGGCTTCCCCAGGAGAAGGGGGGGGGCTCCGTGCCCCAGACTCTCTGGGGTCAGAGGAGGGGAGGGTCTATGCCGCCCCTTTTGGCCAGGATGCGGGGGGGGGATTGTGTGTCCTAGGCGGCGGGGGGGGGGGGGGGGGGGGGGGCCCCAAGAGGCCCCTTGGGGCTGAGATCCAGAGGGGGGGTTTTTACCCCCCCCCCCCACATTACAGGGTCGTGGGGCTCTACAGTCAGCTGGGAATGGTCCCCCCACCTCGGCTGCATGACCTTCAGCCCTTGGGCGGTTGACTTTGTACAGGCACGGCCCCAGACTGGGAAATCCTTTGTGGGGGGAGGGTGGCCGATCAGACCATAACCTTCAAATCCCCCTCCCTTCTAGCACTGATGGGGTTCCCTAGTTGGGTCAAGAGATGCCTGCAAGAAAGCCACCCAACTCTGAGAATACCCAAAGTCCTTCCTTCCCTCCCTCACTTACTTCTCCCCTTCTTCTTCCTCCTCCTCTCCAAAAAACCCTTTCTTCTGCCACTGAACAGGTTACCCGGCTAGATCGTGAAATGTCTGCAAGAACGCCACCAAGCTTGGAGACTATCAAGGACCCCGCAGTCCTTCCTCCTCCTCCCCTTTTCTTCCTCTTCACAAATCCCTCCTCCTTCTAGCCTTGATGATGTTCCCTAGTTTGGTCGCGAAACATCCACAAGGAAACACACACCACCACCCCACCTCCAACCTCGCTTAACGTAGGACATCCTGAGTTTCTGTAGCCAGTTTCAACTTTCCGACCGCTGGAAGATTGTGTTGCCGAGGCGAGAAAAAACCAACCCCATTGCCGTACATTCCTGATCGATGGGTTGACGGGTTGAACTCACAACTTCCTTGTCCTGTTTTTATGGCAGAAACCAGAGATTTGCTGAAGGAATTCCCACAGCCGAAAAACCTTCTCAACAGCGTCATCGGACGAGCCCTTGGTATCTCCCATGCCAGAGACAAATTAATCTACATCCATTCCAACGGGCCACGGAAAAAGGTAATTTTTTTTTTTTTAAAAAATCAATTTAACTTTCCTTTTTTCTTTAAAAAGTCCAAAGCTCTGGTTAAATTTCATATCCGCCGAACCTAAGAATACAATAGTCCTTTACTTACAGTGCTTCACTTAGTGACCGAAGTTAATGACACGGGGGGGGAATTAACTTGGATTCGTTTTTTGAGACATTGGCATTCCTCCTGCGGTCGGGGATCATAAGTGGAAGATGAACAATAGTTTTCTTGACTGCGTTCTGTGATGACTTAACGACCGCAATGTGGAGCTTCCATTAAGGTTGTAACTCAAAAGATGTACAGTAGTTTGCTTGATGATTTTCGGTCACCACAACGACTGCAACGGGAATGTTCCATCACGGTCGTAAGTGGAGGACAAACAGTTCAGGCCTGGGTCTTCCTCTCCCCCCAGAAAGTCACGCTGCTCATCAAGTGGCCCAAAAATGTCGAAGTGGAAGGCTATGGGACCAAGAAGATCGACGCAGAGAGGCAGGCGGCCGCCGCTGCTTGCCAGCTCTTCAAGGTGAGAATTTCCAGGGTGGGCTTTGCGCGCAGACCCCTTCTGGGACAGGTCAAGGTTTTTCCTTTTAGCGGGACTCGAAGGACTTTGGGAAAATTAACAACGGAAAGGGGATCCCAATGGCCACAGTTGTGTAGTTTCATTTCCTCGCAGACGTCTCATGACCCAACTAGGGAACATCATCAGTGTTGGGAGGGGGAGGAGACAGTGTAGTTTGTTAAGGAAACACCTGCAAGGAAACTATCCAAGAACCCCACAGTTCTCCTCTTCCTCCTCCTCCTGGCAGTCCTTCCTCCTTTCTAACACTGATGATGTTCCCTAGTCGGGTCATGAGACGTCTGCAAGAAAACTGCCAAGAGAGCACTAAGGACCCCACAGTCCTTCTCTTCCCGCTCCTCCTCCTATTCTCTTGCAAACCTCCCTCCCTTGTAATACTGATGATGTTCCCTAGTTGGATCATGAGATGTCTGCAAAAAAAAAAATCACCAAACAGAGAGCATAATTTCCTCCTCCTCCTCATCTTTTCTCCTCCTCCCAGCAAATTCCTCCTCCCTTCTAACACTGATGATGTTCTGTAGTTGGGTCACGAAATGTTTGCAAGAAAACCACCCATCTCACAGAGCACCAAGAAGCCCATTGTCCTTCCTCCTCCTCCCAGTCCACAACCCCCTCCCTTAAGCACTGATGATGTTCCCTAGTTGGTTGACAAAATGAGTGCAAGAAAACCATCCGGCTCACAGAGCACCCAGGACCCCAAAGCTTCTGTCTACCTCGCTTGTCTTCTGTTGTGCCATCCAAGCTAATTTATTTATTTATCTATTTATTTATTTATCCCTCTCCCTTTCTCCCCTCCCTCTTTCTTCCTTTTCTTTCTTTTTTCTTTCTTTTTCTTTTTTCTTTCTTTCTCTTTCTTTCTTTTTTGTCTCTTCCTTTCTCCCCCTCCCTCTTTCTTTCTCTTTCTTTTCTCTCTCCCTCTCTCTCCCTCCCTTTCTCCCTCCCTTTTCTCCTCTCCCCTCTTTCTTTTTTCTTTCTTTTTTTTCTTTCTTTTTTCTCTTTCCTTTCTCCTCCTCTTTCTTTCTTTCTCTTTCTTTTTCTCTCTCCCCTCCCTCTCCCTCCTCTTCTTTCTCACTCCTCTTCCCTCCCTCCCTTTTCTTTCTTTTTTCTTTTTTTTTTTTTTTTCTTTTTTCTCTCTTCCTTTCTCCCCCTCCCTCTTTCTTTCTTCTCTTTCTTTTCTCTCTTTCCTCTCTCCTTTCTCCCTCTCTTCTTTCTCCCCCCTCCCTCCTCTTCTTTCTTTCTTTCTCTTTCTTTTCTCTCTCCTCTTTCCCTCCCTTTCTCCCTCCCTTTTCCCTCCTCTTCTTTCTCCCACTCCCTCTTCCCTCCTCTCTTTTTCTTTTTTCTTTCTTTTTTTCTTTTTTTTTCTCTTTCTTTCTCCCCTCCTCTTTCTTTCTTTCTCTTTCTTTTCTCTCTCTCCCTCTCCTCCCTCTTCTCTTCCTTTCTCCCCCTCCCTCTTTCTTTCTTTCTTTCTTTCTCTTTCTTTTCTCTCTCTCCCTCTCTCTCCCTCCCTTTCTCCCTCCCTCTTCCTTTCTCCCCCTCCCTCTTTCTTTCTTTCTTTCTCTTTCTTTTCTCTCTCCCTCTCTCTCTCCCTCCCTCTCCCTTTCTCCTCCTCCCTCCCTCTTTCTTTCTTTTTTCTTTCTTTTCTCTCCCTCCTTTCTTCCCCCTCCCTCCCTCCTTCTCTCTCTCTTTCTTTCTTTCCATCCATCATTCCTTCTTTCTTTCCTTCCTTCTTTCTTCTGTCTCCACCCACCCCAGGGTTGGGGCCTGCTGGGACCCCGAAACGAGCTCTTTGACGCTGCCAAGTACCGGATTCTGGCCGAGCAGCTGGGCTGCGCCGAGAAGAAGTGGTTTGCCGAAAGCCACTGGCGCTCCAAATCCGGGCCTTCCCTGGCTGACCTTTCGACCTGCTGGCGACGGATGGAGCCCGAAGACCCTGTCCAGCCCCTGGAGCACAGCCCCCTCTCCAAACCCCTCCGAAACGAAGAGCTGGAGGAGGGGGAACTGGAGGAGGGGGAGCTGGAGGAGGGGGAGCTGGAAGAAGACACCATCGACCTTCACAACGGTCTCTCCATGGCGCGGCCAGGTGCTCAGACGCCGCCCAGAGAGTTCAGGTACGACGTCGGTACCGTCCGTCCGTTCGGTGATTTTTGGTCTTTTGTTTGTTGGGCGCAACTTCTGAACGGGCTCAATTTTTAGGGTTCGTTCACCTGGAAACGCCTGTCAGAAAACAATTCTGGGAGTTGAAATCCCCCCCTCTGAAATCTTACAAACCCCGGGGGAATTCTGGGAATTGAAGTTGAACCCGCTTAAACTGTACTGCTCCTTCGATCCCTTGAAGCCGACAGCCTCCCTCTTCCTCCAAGGCGGCCTAAATCGTCCGGGGAAGATTCTAGAAGGCCCAGCCACCTCTTCTGCTGGACAATTGTGATGCAACATGGGCAGGCTTTACCCTGCTTGGAGAGCATGATGGAGCTGATTGGGAAGGGACTGAGTGATAGTCCATCGTCCCCTGCCTCGCTGAAATGTGGGTCGCTCCGCGAGGACTGTCGATCCTTCGTTTGTGGGTTGAAGGAAGAACAAAAAAGGGGTTTAAGGGAAGGAATAAGTTGTGGGTTTTGTGTGGGGTGGCACAGGAGAAAGGTCTTTGCGTATGGTTGGGTGGTGGGCACAGTCTCGTGCGCCTCCAAGTCTCAACCTTCCGTCATACAGCTAGTCCTTGACTTATGGCTACAATCGAGCTCAACCTCCCTGTTGGTAAACGAGACGGGTGAGTTTTACCGCCTTTTACAATTATCCTTGCCACGGTGGCTCAGTGAATCCCCGCGGTTGTTAAGTGAGTCACACTATGGCTTCCCCGTTGACTTCGCTTGCCGGAAGGTCACAACAGCAACCGTCATAAATATGAGTCAGTGCCAACTGTTGGAATTTCGATCATGTGACCGCGGGGATGGTGTCACTGTCATACATGTGGAAAATGGCCCTCAAAGTCACTTTTCAATGAAAGCTCAGTGAGTAACTAACTTCTTCCAGTTGACTTGCGAGTAGGACACGAGGATTTTAATACAGGTAGTCCTTGACCTACAACCATTCGTTTAGTGACTGTTCAAAGTTATGATGTGGCTGAAAAAAGTGATTTTGGACCGTTTTTCACACATTTATGACCATTGCAGCATTTCCCATGACCACGGGATCAAAGTTCACACACTTGGCTGCTGGCTGATAGTTACGATGGTTGTAGCCTCCTGGAGTCCCCGTGATCCCCTTTTGCGACCTCCTGACGAGCCAAGCCAATGGGGAACCCAGATTCGCTTAATGACTGTGTTCCTAACTTAACTGCAGTGATTCGCTTAACAACTGCGGCGCGAAAGGGCATAAAATGGGGCAAAAGTCACTCAACAGATATTTTGCTTAGCAACAGGAATTTGGAGCTCAATTGTGGTCATACATTGGGGACGGGGAAGGGGAGGGCGTTGTAATTTTGAACAGTCCTTAAACCATTGATAGTTAAGCGAGGACTACCTCTCATGCCCAGCTCTCAAACACGGTTGAAGCAAGGCTAGTTCTCGCCTTAATGACCACCCCTGAGCTCCAACTCTCCACAGCTCAGAGCGAAAATCCAGTCCCACATCCCTTTTCCCAGTCCCAGACGGTCACTAAATGAAAGGTCGTAAGTTGAGGACTCCCTGCACACTCCCAGTAATAAAACAGGCGACTGCAGCAAACAGACACACAGATACATTTTCTTTTCCCGCGCAGGGACGCGTTCTCGATGGAAATGACCGACGACAATACTGCCCTGCGTGCCCTGACTCAGTTTCCCCTGCCGAAAAACCTCCTAGCCCAGGTCATCCAGATCGCCACATCGTCTTCCACCGTCAAGGTGAGTTGCCACCCAAAAGGGGCACGTGCGCGCGTGCTTCAGCGTGCGGATTTCAGACAAACCGGAGGATACAAACCCGAATTGTCGTCTTCACAGGAGTACATGCAGTTCCGCACCGTTGGCACCAAAATCAAGATCTGCAAACTGACGTTACGCTGGCCCTGCCCGATGACCTTCGCCGCCAAGGGACGTCGCAAAGTGGAAGCAGAGAACAAGGCCGCTGCCCTGGCATGTCAGAAGCTCAAGGTAAGTCACCCGCCGGCCACATGGAGAAAATATAGACTACTACACAATATAGCAGAATATTACAGAATTACCGAATGTTACAGAATTGCAGAATACTATAGAATGTTGCTGTTACATAATCCTGCAGAATTACAGAATATTATAGAGTATTGCAGAATTACTGAATATTGCAGAATGTGACAGGATATTAACGAATATTAATGATTTACTGAATATTACAGAATTATACATTATGAAATGTTACAGAATTGCAGAATACTATAGAATGTTGCTGTTACATAATCCTGCAGAATTACAGAATATTATAGAGTTTTGCAGAATTACTGAATATTGCAGAATGTGACAGGATATTAAGGAATATTAATGATTTACTGAATATTACAGAATTATACATTATGAAATGTTACAGAATTGCAGAATACTATAGAATGTTGCTGTTACATAATCCTGCAGAATTACAGAATATTATAGAATATTGCAGAATTACTGAATATTGCAGAATGTGACAGGATATTAACGAATATTAACAAATTACTGAATATTACAGAATTATACATTATGAAATGTTGCAGAATTGCAGAATATTGCATAATTACAGAATATTAATGAATATTAAAGAAATTAACCAAATATTACAGAATATTAATAAATATTAACGAATATTGCAGAATTACAGAATTATACTGGAATTTTACAGGATATTACAGAATAATATCCCAGCCCTCCAGCTTCCTCACCTGTCCCTCCTTCCCTCCCCCCCAGAGTCTCGGTTTAGTTGACAAGAACAACAATCCGTTGAGCCATGCCATGTACAACATGACGTCCCTACGGGAGCTGGGGGAGAACCAGAGGAAGCCCTGCCACATCAAAGTCCCCGAAGCCACGCTACGCAAGATCGAGAACTACTTGAACCACGTAAGTCGGTCTGAGAGCGGAGGGTCCAAGCCGATGGGAAACAGATAATACAGGGAGTCTTTGATTTGCGACCGCACAGGTGCCCGACATTTCTGCCAAGGGCTGCCTTTGCGAAGTGAGTTTCATCCCGTTTTACGGCAGTTTACCACAGCGATTAAGGGAAGAACCGCTGCAGTTGTGAAGTTAGTCGAACCGTCGTTAAGTGAATCCAGGTTCCACATTGGGAGAAGAAGGTCGCCAAAGGGGATCACACGACCCCAGGATGCTGCAACCATCGTAAATATGAGTCGGTTGCCCAGGGTCTGAATTTTGTTCAGGTGACCCTAGGGATACCACAACAGTCGTAAATGGGAAAACAGGTCCTCAGTCACTGTTTTCAGCGCCGTTGCAACTTGGAACTGTCCCTAAATGAACTGCTGTACATCCAAATAGATGGATGGAGAGAGAGAGAGATGATAGAAAGAGAGAGACAGAGACAGACAGACAGACAGACAGACAAATATGGATGGATGGATGGATAGATATAGATGGATTAAAGAGAGAGAGAGATGATAGAAAGAGACAGAAAGAAAGAAATAGACAGATGATAGACAGATGATGGATGGATGGATGGATAGATGATAGATTTTGTGTGTGTGTTTGTATACATATACAGGTCACCTGACGGGATGTAACGACGGTCGTGTGAAAAACAGTCTTCAGTCGCGTTTTTCAGGGCCGTTGTAACTCCAAGCAATTGCTAAACGAACGGTCGTAAGAAGAGGATCACCTGTATTCAGGATGGAACAACCCCATCCTCTACCAGGCCTTGCCATATTGCAAAAGAATCACGAAACCCTTTCTTCCTTTTTTCTTCAGTACCCCGTCGACTCCCGAGACTCTCGACCGCCCCGGCTGACAGACGATGTAATGAACCTGAGTAAGGAGAGTGGCGGCGCCCTGAGCGATGCCATCACGGGCAAAACCTACATCCCGCTCTCCGAATCGGAAGAGGTCCGTCTCAGCCAGAACCTCCTGGCGCTCTGGAAACGGCGGGGGAGCCTGTGGCAGGATAGCCACCCACTCCCCGTGGACTCCCACAAGGAAGCCATCCTCTCGGCCGTGGAGCAGCACCCAGTGGTGGTGATCGCCGGCGATACTGGCTGCGGGAAAACCACCCGTATCCCCCAGTTGCTGCTTGAACACTTCATCCTGGAAGGCCGCGGCGCCCAGTGCAACATGGTGGTTACCCAGCCCCGTCGGATCAGCGCCATTTCTGTGGCCCAGCGCGTGGCCCAAGAGCTGGGGCCCAGCATGCGGCGGAATGTCGGATACCAGGTGCGGCTGGAGAGCAAGCCGCCATCCCGTGGGGGCGCCGTGCTCTTCTGCACCGTGGGCATCCTGTTGCGGAAACTGCAAGGCAACCCCCGGCTGGAAGGGGTCAGCCACGTGATCGTAGACGAGGTCCACGAGCGGGATGTCAACACCGACTTCCTGCTCATCCTCCTGAAGGGAATTCAGAAGCAGAACCGGCAGCTGCGCCTGGTGCTGATGAGCGCCACGGGGGACAACCAACGTTTCTCGCAGTATTTTGGGGACTGTCCTGTGGTCAAAGTGCCAGGTTTCATGTATCCGGTCAAAGAATACTACCTGGAGGACATTATGTCCATGGTCGGCCGACATCGTCACTACGAGATCAAGGTGGGCGCTGCAGCGATCGAAGGGGGAGACGGGACACGGTGGAGATACTTCCCTAGCTCTCGGGTGAAAACAGGCAGTCGATGTGGTTGGGTGATGGGATGGATACGTGGAGGGACGGATGGTTAAATAGGGATAGAGAGAGAGAAATAAAGGCAGATGGACAGAAATAAATATGGATGGATGGGTAAATAATAGATAAACAGATACAGATAGAGAGAAATAAAGACAGACGGAGATAAATATGGATGGATGAATGGACAGACCTGCAGAAAGGTAGAGAGATAGTGGATAAATAGATAGGGATAGAAAGATAGAAATAAAAGATAACTTGGATGGATAGATAGATAGGCAGATAATGAATAAAGAGATAGAAATAAAGAGATAAATAGAGATGGATTGATGGACAGAGAGGTAGGTAGATAATAGATAGGGATAGAGAGAAACAAAGACGGAGATAGAGATGGATGGATTGATGGATAAGTAGATAGGGATAGAGAGAGAGAGATGAATGGATGGGTAGATAGATAATGGATAAATGGGGATAGAGAGAAATAAAAAATGGATGGATGGATTGGTAATGGATAATTAGATAGGGATAGAGAGAAATAATATGGATGGATGAGTAGATAGATAGATAATGGATAAATAGGGATAGAGAAATAAAGACAGGCAGGGATAAATAGATATGGATGGATAGATTGGTAATGGATAAGTAGATAGAAAAAAAGATGGATGGATGGATAGGTTAGATAATGGATAAATAGGGATAGAGATAGAAAGGAAAGAAAGAAAGAGGGAGGGAAGGATAGATAATGAAGAGAGGGATAGAGAAATACAAATAAAGACAAAGATACATAAATATAGATGGATGAATAGATATACACACACATATAGCTATCCGTGTCTCGCTTAGTGACAGTAATATTGGAATCCATTTTGTTCGTAAGTCGAGGACTGCCCGTCCCATCTCTCTCTCTCACCCCTCCCCTCAGCAATCGGACGACGAATGCATCGTGGACCTTGAGCTGATTGCCGATCTCGTCCTTCAGATCGATGCCCACGGTGAACCAGGTGGGTGGCCCCTCTGCGCTCAACCATGGTGGGGGTCCCCAGAGGAAGGGGTCCAAGTTGGGTTTGCGGGGCAGAATTTACAGGGGTTGCTTTGCTTTGAGTTGGGGAGAACCAGTGACAGTTCGTTCAGCCGATCCTGGTTAGTACAACCGGCGAATCCCATGGCTTTATCTTAGGGGAGGGCCGTTCGTTTTCCCGGGGGTGGGGGGAGGGGGTCACAAGAGAAAAGGGGGTTGCGTTGGAGGGCAGGACCAATGGGGCTGCGAAGGGATGTGGACAACCACGTGTTCAATTGGAAAATAATCATATAAAAATAAAAATAGTAATAAGAATAGTAATAATACTAATACTAGTAAGAATAAGAATGAAGATACTTGGTTGATATCTAGGATGCTGGCAACAACCCGTATCAACCATCAGCGCAGTCAATGATATTTGTGAAACATTTTTAAATTTTCAGTTAACTGACTTTCATGTTTAATGGATAAAAGAGATAATAATCATCATGATAATAATATAAATAATAGTAATAAAAATAATAATAAATAATAAAATAGTAATAATAGTAATAATAATAGCAATAAAGGAGAATATTTGTAGCTTGGGGCTCAGATGAGGGACCCTTGGTGCTCTCTGACCACGGTTATTTTCTACTAGACGTTTCACAACCCAACTTGGTAACATCATCAGGGACAAGAAGGGTGTGGGGTTTGTGTAGAAGAGGAAGAGGAGGAAGGACTGTGGGGTCCTTGGAGCACTCTGAGCTTGGTTGTTTCCTCGTAGGTAATATCGGGGCTAGAAGGGAACGGGGAGAGGAGGAAGAGGAGAAAGGAAGGGGGAGGGAGAGAGGGAGAAAATGAGGAGGGGGAGGAGGACTGTGGGGTCCTTGGGACTCTCTGGGCTTGGTGGTTTTCATGCAGACGTTTCATGACCCAACTAGGGAACACCATCAGAGCTAGAAGGGAATGGAGATTGTGTAGAAGAGGTGGAGGAGGAGGACAATGACTGTGAGGTCGTTGATGCCCTCTGAGCTTGGTGGTTTCCTTGCAGACCTTCTTCTGGTGGCAAGGAGTTACACTGGTTAATTCTTCTCACTCGTAGGAAATTTCTCCTTAGTTTTAGGTGACTTCTTTCTTCAGTGAGTTCTTCTCCTGCCTTTGGATCAGGGGTGAAATGCTACCGGTTTGCTCCATTTCAGGCAGAGTGATAAAAACTACCGGTTCGGGCGAAACAATAGTAAAAAAAAAAAAAAAAAAAAGGCTACCAGTTCGTCTGAACCGGTATTTCCGATGATCAGCTGTGCAGCGCGGTTTAGCTTTGCTAGAAAGCAGGAAATCCTGCTTTCTAGCGAAGCTAAATCACGTGGCCTAGCTGTCGTCCCGTTCCCCCCCTTTGCTGTTAATACTTGCCTAGTGAAATCATCTTTTTCCGCGCAAAGTGCATCTTTGGCACACACCACTCATGCATGGGCAGGGAACCGGTGGTGATTTGAGAAGGATTTCATGGATGCTTTGGGGAACAGGTGGACCCCTTCTTCTTTGGGGTAGCCCTTCAAATATGGGAAGACTGCTATCATGTTACCCCCTCCTCCTTCTTTTCATGAAACTGGATGTACTGTGTCCTCTCTTCGCAGGTGGCATCCTCTGCTTCCTTCCGGGCTGGCAGGAAATTAAAGGGGTCCAGCAACGTCTTTTGGAAATCCTGGGGTCTCACAACAGCCGCTACCTTATCTTACCAGGTGAAAAAGAGGCTAGTCCCTCCCTCCGTTGCTCCCCGGGGTCGGCCTGGAGCCGAGGCCGGCGGGAATGTTTTGGAGTGTTCTATTATAAAACGTGCTATTATTTTTATTTCTCATAAACATGTCTTAAATGTACAGTCTCTTATCCATTGTCAATCATACATCTTCTCTTTTAACTCTCATGTTAGTTCATTCTTCATCCTAAAAAAATTTGAGTATACTCGGGGTTGCTCTTCTACCACTCCATCTCCCTTATTTTACAACAATCCTTCTTCTCCTTCTCCTCTCTTTCCCTTCCCTCCCTTCTTCTATCCTCTTCTACTTTCTTCTTTCCTCCTCTCCTTCCCCTTCTCTCCTTCCCCCTGTAAAGTGTGCTATTATAAAAGACACGGTTCATCCAGGTAAACGAGAACTCGAGATGGATGGTTGTATTCATCCTCATCCTCCCCCACCCCTTTTTCTTTTTAGTTCATTCCAATATCCCAATGATGGACCAGCAGAGCATCTTCCCCCGGCCTCCCACCGGCGTGCGAAAAATCGTCCTGGCCACCAACATTGCCGAGACCTCCATCACCATCAATGACATCGTGCACGTTGTGGACAGCGGGACCCACAAGGAGGAACGCTACGATCTGAAAACCAAGGTTGACTCTGTGAACTGGGTGGGGGCTCTTCTTCGAAGAGGGGGTGGGATTAAATCGGTAGGCGCTGGGAGACACGTGCGTGCTTGGGTGCGTGCGGTTCTTATGGGGTTCTCCGGAGTCTGGAGAGGCTTTCTGACCACCTAGTTCTGATGGAATCTCGGGTTAGGGTTACACATTAGGACTAGGGTTATTGCTACGGCTAGGGTTAAGGTTTGAGTTAGGGTTACGCATTAGGACTAGGGTTATTGCTACGGCTAGGGTTAAGGTTTGAGTTAGGGTTACACATTAGACTAGGGTTATTGCTACGGCTAGGGTTAAGGTTTGAGTTAGGGTTATGCATTAAGACTAGGGTTAGAGGTAGGGGTTAAGTTTAAAGTTAGGGCTTAGGTCTAGGTTGCAGTCATGAATTAGGGTTAGTGTTAAGATTAGGGTTTGTGCGGGGTTAGGGTTAGGACTATTTAATTTAATTTTTTAATTTAATTTATTTAATTTAATAATTTAATTTAATTTAATTTAATTATTTAATTTAATTTAATTTAATTTAATTTAATTTAATTTAATTTATATGCTGCCCTATCTCCGAAGACTCAGGGCGGCTCACAACAGTAAAAATGCATAGTTGCTCGTTAAAACAATATAAAATTAAAGTTCCGATTTAAAACAATTTAAAATTTAAAATTCATTTAAAAAAAAAAAAAACCCATCAGTCCAGGCTGCGAAACAAGCAGGTCTTCAAATCGCGGTGGGACGAGCGAAGGAAGTTGGTTCCAGAGGCTGGGAGCGCCCACAGAGAAAGCTCTCCCCCTGGGGGTCGCCAGCCGACACCGTCTGGCCGACGGGACCCTGAGGAGGCCCCGTCTGTGGGAACGCACCGGGTGATTGGGGATTGTCTGTGTTAGATTTAGGGTTATGCATTAGGGTTAGGTTTAGGGTTAGGGTTAGTTTACATATTAGGGTTAGAGTTAGGTCTGGGTTAGGTTTATGCATTAGGGCTAGTGTTAGAGTTAAGGTTACGGTTACGCTTAGTGTTTGGGTTAGGACTTGGTTAGGGTGATGCATTAGGGCTAGCGTTAGGGTTATTGCTAGGATTAGGGTTAGGATCAGGGTTAGGGTACATGCTAGGGCTAGGTTAGAAGTAGGGTGATGCATTAGGAGTAGGGCTAGGTTTAAGATTAGGGTTAGGATTGTTTTTCTCTGCACGACGAGTTTCCTTCCGTCTTCCCCACTTTTCAGGTTTCGTGCTTGGAGACCGTCTGGGTGTCAAAATCGAACGTCATCCAGCGACGAGGACGGGCCGGGCGCTGCCAATCCGGGTTCGCCTACCACCTCTTCCCTCACAGCCGCCTGGACCGCATGCCCACCTACCAAGTGCCCGAAATCCTGCGCACGCCCCTGGAGAACCTGGTGGTACAAACCAAGATCCACCAGCCAGAGAAGACGGTTAGATTTGGGCCAGTCCTTGTCTGTTCGTTTCCCCGTTTCAGATCATTGCCGCAAATGAGCCGAGATCTTTTGGAATGTGTGAAGGGCACACGAGGGGCTTCCTAGTGGGGTTTTTTTTTTTTTGTTTGTTTGTTTGATGTTTTAGACTCGCTTAAGGACAGAGGGTTACCCTACTAGTGTCCAAGCCCCTTGGCCAAATAGGAGATCCTTACAGAATTATAGAGTTGGAAGGGACCTTGGAGGTCATCTAGTCTGACCCCCCCCCTACTCAAGGAGGACACCCTTACAGAATCACACAATTGGAAGGGACCCTAGAGGTCGTCTAGTTCGACCCACTGCTCGAGCAGGAGACCTTTACAGAATGACAGGATCAAAGGTTCGGAGGCGACCTCGGAGATCATCTAGTCCAACTCCCTGCTCACACAGCAGACCCTTAGGGAATGATAGAATCTCAGCAGTTAAGAGGGGGCCTCAGAGGTCATCGCCCTGCTCCAGCACGAGAGCCTTATGGAACCATAGAATGACACAGCTGGAGCGGACCTCAGAGGTCATCTAGTCTGACCCCCTGCTCAGGCAGAAGACCCTTACAGAATCACAGTTAGGAGATGCCTTAGAGGTCATCTAGCCCAGCCCCCTGCTCAAGCAGGACACCCTTACAGAATCACAGTTACAAAGGATTTTGGAGGGCATCTAGTCCAGCCCCCGCCCCTGCTCGAGCAAGAGACCCTTACACAATCCTGGAATAACATCCAGCTGTGGGCTCTCCCATCACTGGAGCCTCATAAGAGGAGACTGGACTGCCACTTGTCCGGAAGGCTCTAGGTCTTGTGTTCGAGCAGCGGGTCAGACTAGAGGACCTCCAGGGTCCCTTCCCTCTCCATTCTCAATTCAATTGAATTGTGTTTGCTTTTCCTCTGCAGGCTGTCGAGTTCCTCTCCAAAGCCCTGGACAGCCCCGACATCAAAGCTGTGGACGAGGCCGTCATCCTCCTGCAGGAGATCGGTGAGTTTCCGGGGAGGGAGGGTTGGGAACCGGCTTCGGCGATTCTCGTTTCCACCTCTCGGTTTGCTCACGCCCAGTTTCCTTCCCAGGAGTGCTGGATTCCCGAGAGTCTCTGACCACGCTGGGCAAGCGCCTGGCCCAGATCTCCACCGATCCCCGGCTGGCCAAGGCCATCGTGCTGGCTTCCATCTACCGTTGCATCCAGCCCCTCCTGCTCATCGTCTCCTGCCTGACCCGGGACCCCTTTAGCAGCAGCCTGCAGAACCGGACGGAGGTGGACAAGGTGAGGGAGCCGCTGTGGGGAGGGGGCTTTCTCCAAGAGCAAGGGGTGGGACTAGATGACCTCCGAGATCCCTTCCAATTCTATGATTTCTCCTGCTCGAGCAGGGGGTTGGACTAGAGGACCTCTGAGGTCCCTTCCAACTGTACGATTCTGTAAGGGTCTCCTGCTTGAGCAGGGGGCTGGACTAGATGACCCTGAAGGGCCCTTCTGGCTCCGTGATTCTCTCATTCTTTGCAACGGTTGCCCCTTAGGCCAAGGCCGTGCTAAGTCGAGAGAGCGGCAGCGATCACCTGGCCTTCGTGCGGGCCGTGGCCGGTTGGGAGGACATCCTGCGGCGCCGAGACAGCCGGGCTCGCGATGACTATCTGCAGGATTACTCACTCTACGCCCCCAGTTTGCGCTTCATCAACGGTGAGTGGCTCACTTTTTTGAGCGATGCAATTGCCCTCCGTCCATTATTCTCTTTTCCCGTTTTAGCACTGGCAATAGCCCTTAGATTTATATACCTCAAGAGTGCTTTACAGCCCTTTCTAAGAGTTTTAGAGAGTAGGCATGTCACCTCTCCCTTCCCCCCAACAATCTGGGTCCTCGTTTTGCGACCATGTAAGGACGCAAGGCTTGAGTTCACCTTGAGCTGCTCAGGATCGAACTACTGTCAGTGAGCAGAGTGGAGCTGTAATATTCACATTCTACACCTTGCGCTCCCACGGCTCGCCTTCCAGTGCAAGGATGGATGGATAGGAGGAAGGAAGGAAGGAAGGAGATGGATGAGGGAGAGAGGAAGGAAGGAAAAAGGGAAAGGGGAGGAAGGGAGCAAGGGAGAGAGGGTTGAAAAAAAGGAAGGAAAGGAAGGAAGTAAAAAGGAAGGGAAGGAAGGGAGCAAGGGAGGGAGGGAGGGAGGTGGAAGGAAGGAAATGGGAGGAATGAAAAAAGGAAGGAAGGAAATGGATGGAAGAAAGGAGATGGGGAGCTAGGAAGAAAGGAAAGCAGGAGATAGGAAGGGAAGGAGGGAGAGTGGGAGGAAGGAGATGGGGAGTTAGGAAAAAAGGAAAAGGAGAGGGAGGGTGAGGGAGGAAGGAGATGTATAGGTGAAGGGTGGATGGATGGAAGAAGATGGGAAGTTGGGAAGAAAGGAAAGAAGTAGAGGGAGGAAAGGAGGGAGGGAGGAGATGGATGGGGAAGAGTAGATGGATGAAAGGAAGGAAAGAGATGGGGACTTAGAAAAGAAAGGAAAGAAAAAGGAGGGAGAGGAAGTATGGGGATAGGATGAATGGAAGGAAGGAGATGGGGAGTTAGGAAGAAAGGAAAGAAGGAGATAGAAAGGAAAGGAGGGAGGTGGGAGATGGTTGAGTCCTCATTTTGCCAATCTTGGAAGGCCGAACGTCTCTTTTTTTCCAGTGTCGTTGTGACTTTAAATGGCCACCAAACAAACGCTTGTAAGTCAAGGACGACCTGTGTTTGGCCACCTGCGTGGATTTACGATCTGCTCGCTGGAGCATTCTGGGAGTTGTAGTCCACCGGTCTTTTAATGTTGTCGAGTTTGGAGACTCCCTTGCTGGATTGGAGCTTCTTTCCTTGGGTCTTTACTCCTCCGTGGTTTTCTGCCCCGCAGGCCTCGTGAAGCAGTTTTCCGAGAACCTCTACGAAGCCTACTTAGTGCCGACTCCCTCCGACTGCCTCTTGCCATCGTCCGTCTGCAACCAGTACAGCGAGGAGGAGGAACTGGTGAAGGGAGTCCTGATGGCCGGGCTGTATCCTAACCTCATCCAGGTAAGAGAGAGAGAGAGAGAGAGAGACCTTAATGAGGTCCTCTGTGCTCTCTGAGCTTGGTGGTTTTCTTACGGACATTTCACAACCTAACTAGGGAACATCATCAGTGTTAGAAGGAAGGAGGAGGAGGAAAAAGATAAGGACTGTGTAGTCCTTGGTGCTCTCTGAGCTTAGTGGATTTGCTGTTAGACATCACATGACCTAACTAGGGAACATCATCGCTGCTGGATGGATTGGAGTGTGTGTGTTTGGTCTCTATATACAGTTCCTTGCCCTGGCACTGTTGGTGGGAAATTGTGGTATTGTTGTCTGCTTCGTTGTCTGGTGTCAATCCCTGCTTCTCTGGGTTTCTGTTTCTGTGGGGTCCTTGGTGCTTTCTCAGCTGGGTGGTTTTGTTGTAGTCATTTTGTGACGCAATGGGGTGATATCATCAGTGCTAGGAGGTAGGGGGGTTATGGAGCGTAGGAAGAAGAGGACGAAGACGAGGATCGTGGGGTCCTGGGTACATTCTGACCTTGGAGATGTTTCTTGCAGATGTTTCATGATCCAACTAGGGAACGTCATCAGTCCTAGAAGGGAAAGAGGTTGTTGGTAGAGTAACAGACAGTGGGGTCCTTGCTGCTTTCTGAGCTTGTTGGTTTTCTTGCAGACGTTTCATGACCCATCTGGGCTACAACATCAGTGCCAGAAGGATGTGGGGGTTTGCTCTTATTTTTCTGTCCTAGAGACTTGCCTCATCAGGGGGGTCTTGTCTGTGGATGGTCCCTGTGGAATCTCATCTTTAGCTCTCCTTGAGTCCACCCTAGGGGGTCAGTGGCCTGCGTTGTTCTCACCGAATCTTGAGAAATGGGAAGTCGTCTTCTTTCCCCTCGAGATTCCTGCAGAGAACGGCCTACGGTGTCCTATCCGGGAGGTCCTTCCGATGTCTTGGAAAAGCCCCTAAGAAATGTCCCTCTTCTTCCAGGTCCGGCAAGGGAAGGTGACCAGACAGGGAAAGTTCAAACCGAACAGCTACACGTACCGGACCAAGGCGGGGACTGTCCTGTTACATAAATCAACCATCAACAGGTAGGCGAGTCGGTCCCTCCTGGGATGCCAATCGGTTGTCCGGATGGCCACAAGATGGTGGTGAGACACTCCTCTCCTTATCCCCCTCAGGGAGTCCTCCAAGCTGTACAGCCGTTGGCTGACCTACTTCATGGCGGTCAAATCTAACGGGGGTGTCTTCGTGCGCGACTCCTCGCAGGTGCATCCACTTGCTGTGCTGCTGATGACCGATACGGACATCTATGTGCGGGGTGAGGAATTGGACCCTTATCTCTCAGCTCAGTTCCCTCGCTGCCACATAGATCAGAAGGTGGTCTCTCTTCCTCTCTCCCCCCCCCCCCTTTCTCCCTCCCACCCCCCCCCCCCCCCCCCCCCCCCCCCCCCCCCCGACCTTGGTTGGGTTGTCCAGCTCACCCTAACTAATGGTTTCATCCCTCCCTCTTGCTGACCTTCCTCTGTCCTTCCCACCTACAGATAGTTCTCGACTTAACAATGGTTCGTTTAGTGACCGAAGTTACAACAGCGCTGAATAAAGTGACTTCCGACCGTATTTCACACAGCCATTACAGCATCCCCGTGATCATGTGATCAAAATTTTGACACTTGGCAACGAACTCCTGTTTACGACAGTCGCAGCATCCCAGGGTCATTCTGACAAGCAGAGTCAACAGGGAAGCCTGATTCATTTAACAACCGTGTGACTAACTTAAAGGAAGGGATTTGCTTAATAGCTGTGGCAAGAGAGGTCAACATTCACTGTCTTGCTTAGCAACGGATATTTTGGGCTCCCTTGTGGTTCTGAATCAAGGGCTTGTCTGCACCTTTTGAGAGACTTGGTTAGGGCTTTGCAGAAGCCTACCAGCTGCACATGCCTGTGAGAACCTGCTCTTCTTAAGCGAGTTTTGCCCCATTTTACGACATTTCTCACCATGGTTGTTAAGTGAATCGCTGCAGTTTTTACATTAGTAACACGGTTCTCAAGTACATCTGGCTTCCCCATTGACCAGCGTTCCCCATTCTGAGCTCTTCCGAACCCAAAGCAAGTCCTCCCGTACACAGTTATTCCTCAATGTACGACCACAATTGAGCCCCAGATTTCCGTTGCTAAGTGAAACACTGTTAAGAGACTTTGGCCCATTTTTATGACTTTCCTTGCCATGATGGTTAAGTGAATCACTGCAAGTGTTAAGTTAGTAACGGTGTGTCTTGGGATTGTTATGTGTGTTGGACCTGGTCTTTGGGTGTTAAGTGAATTTCGTTGTATGGGTATACTGTGTATTCACGTACAATGACAATAAAGTAGTAGTTGTTATTATTCTTATTCTTCTTCTTATTATTAAGTAAATCTGGCTTCTCCATTGACTGCTTGTTAAAACAGGGGTGTCAAACTCGCGGCTCGCTGGCCAAATGTGTCACGCACACCTGGTTTAGCAAAGGGGGGAAAAGTTGCATTACATCACATGACGATGCCATGACGACATGAGTTTGACACCCCTGTGTTAGAAGGTTGCAAAAAGAGATCACGCAACTCCGGGACATTGCAACCGTCATAAATACAAGTCTGTTGCCAGGTGTCGGAATTTTGATCGCATGGATGCTTCAGTGGTTGTAAATATCCAAATCGGCCATCAGCTTTTTCAGTATCGTCGTAAATTCAAACGGCCACTAATTGAATTCCTTTAAGTCGACATACCACCACATACGATTGGATTTTTTTTAAACACATAATATATGAAGAATTCGCATCCTTAAGTACCGCCTCTTCACCTCTCTTCGTTCTTTTCCCCAAGACGACGGCTGGCGTGCCACCATCTCCCTGGTGGACAGTGACCTGTTGGTGCTGGAAGGCGATTCGTACACCATACGGCTGCTCCGCGACTTCCGGGTGGCCCTCTCCCGGATGGTGGAAACCTGTCTCTGCTACGAGATGGCGGCCATTCCCAGCGACCTCCACCACCAACACAGCCAGCTTTTGGATATCCTGGTGGACCTCCTGAAAGGCCCTTCTGCCAACTTCAGCGCCTAGGATGTGGACCCGAGGACTTGTAATTTGTACAAAGATGTTGAGATATGTTTATTTAAATAAAGTTCTATTTATCCCTTGTGACACCTCTCGCTTCCCAGAGCCGGCTCAACTGTGGTTGGCGTTGCCCCACCACAGTGGGAGAGGCAGCACCCTGTTTCTTCCTCCAAGCCGTAGGCGAAGCATGTTGGTCGCACGCCTGAAGACAGTGTGGCGCGGATGATCTTGGCCGTGCGTGTGACCTGACCATACCGGGTTCACACGCAAGGATGGATTTTGTCCACTCCGTTGAGAACAGGGCAGCTGGTGATCAGCTCCAGGCGCTTGGGATGATGACGCGAGACGAGCTGAACATCGGGATTCAAGAACGGTGGAGAGGGTTAGGCAGCGTTTTGAAGACTTTCATACTCCTATTTGTTTTGGGGGTGTTTCATCTTGTGCTCCCTGAATTGCTGCTTGTCCAGGTGGGGGGACCCCGCTCTCGCTAGGATTGTCCGAGCAGGGGAAACTCAAACAGAGTCATAACTAGGTTTCTGGAACTTGTTATGTTTCCTGTTCAGTAGGACCAGTTCGGTGGCCTAGAAGCCCCCTCCCCCAAAACAAGGGTGAGAGGATACATAGCATTCTCGCCAGCTCGTTAGCCTATCCTCCTGCATGCCACCTCCCAGCTTCCATTTGGTGAGCCCGCCAGAAGTGAGACCCGGGGTGAACACCACCCGTATCTCGCCGTATGGGAATAGCGCCTGTGTTCTTGTAGATGCATGACATCAGAAACGTGGCTGTGGATTGAAGGCAGCAGCAGCCAATTGAAGGAGTACCTCAACGCCTTCCTGAGAGGACTCCTTAACCAGGGAGGGGGGCTTCTCTGGTCAAAGATGGGATGGTGGCGTGTATGGGAGCAAATGGGAAGGCTGGTCTCATTCCGGATGAGAGAACAAGGCTGTTTCTGACGACTGACAAAAGAGGTCAAACGTAACCTCTCGTCAGTCTACAACAGGGATGTCAAACTCAATTTCATTGAGGGCTAGAGCAGGGTTGTGTTTGACTTTGGGGCGGGGGGCAGCTCCACATCACAGGCTCTGTTTTCAGCCGCGACGGCCTCCTGTAGCAAAAACAGAGCTTGTGAGGGCTGTTTGCGGCCTCCCCAACCTCTGCTTTCGCTGACAGAGGACTGCAGGAGGCCGTGGCGGCCAAAAACTGAGCACGGTAGGGCCGCACAGAAGCACACCACGGGCCGATCCTTCACTGTATCCAGGGTGGTAGCGCAGACCGGATCTAGGCACCCTGCAGGCCTCGAGTTTGACACCTGTGGTCTACAGGAACAGTCTTGTTCTCTCGTTTGGAACGAGCCTAGCCGCCTCATTCACTCCCATAGATGCCATCATCTAGGTTTGGGCACGTAACCATGATTTCCGTGCAAGAAAGAGGGAGGTGGCTATGCTCACGCGGAGTGGGGAAGGGACAGATTGTGAGCCACAGGCCAGGTGGTAATACTGCCCCTCTCCTGAAATGGGGCGTTTTGACAAATTTCGGATGTGAATCGGCAACCTTTTTGGGGTAGCGCAAGTCAGCTCTTTCCACTGGGATTTCCTTGAGTGCCCCAAGGGCTGCTGGGAATACCCTCGAAATGTACCTGTGACTCTCAATGCTCGGATAGGCCAGTGGTTGTTACTTGTCCTGCAACCTTTTTACAATCTAGATTAAAGCTAATAAAGGGGGATAAAAATCACCATTTTTATGGCTCTTGTGTTGGGTGTGTTTCTGTTGTGTGTATGTGGGGGGAGGGGTTGTCTTTTCCAACAAACAAGGAACCCCATCTTTCATTTTCTTCCCCAAATGGATGGGGTGAAGATCAAAGTACCCCGAGATTTTAGGAGTTTCCCTGAGAAACAGCTGGTACAGATAGTCCTCGTTTTACGACTTACAATCACAATTTACGACCACAAGTAAGACCAGAATTTCCATCATTAGTTTGAATTTGACCTGATTTTACCGCCATTTTACCCACCATTTTTATTGTGGACATTAAGCAAATTGCCGCAGTCATTAAGCCGATTGTGTCATTAACCAAAGCACTGCAGTCATCCAACTTCTCCAAGGGACATTTTTCTGCCGAGAATCTACACAAAATGTCTCAACATAAATGCCGACAATCCACACAACGTAATTGCAAAAACCCCACACAAAAGTCACAGCAAATCCGCACAACATGAATCCCAAAAATCCACAAAAAATGTCACAACATAAATGTCAAAAAATCTACACAAAAGGTCACAATATAAATGCCAAATCTACACATCATCACAACATAAATGCCAAACTTCCTCACAAAATGTCACAACATAAATGCCAGTTGGTTGCCCGGTGCCCAAATTGTGATATCTTTGAGGTCATCGCGATGGTTGTGTAGGTACCAGTTGTGAGTCACTTAGGATGTTCTAATTTTGTGTCATCATTATGAAATGGTCGTTAAGCCGAGGACTACCTACGTATTTTAAATTGGATTTGAATCATCTGTCAAGAATTTCTAAATATTGTCAGCCTCACTTTGACAAGAGGGAGACGCATACAATCTCACAAATCCAGGCGGTCCTCAATTTAACGAGCGCAATTCGGGGCCCAATTTCCATCGTTCAGCGAAATGTTTCTGAAGTGAGTTTTGCCTCATTTGATGACCTTTCCGGCCACCGTTGTTAAGTGAATTGCTGCAATTATCCAGTTAAGTCACACCGTTATTAAGCAAATCAGTGGACTTTGCTCATCGCAAATGGGGATCTCTTGACCCTGGAACGCTGCAACTGTCATAAATACGAGTCGATTGCCAAGCGTCTGAAGGTTGATCGCGGGGAGGCTGCAATGGTCGTAAGTATGAATAACTGTCCTAAGTCACGTCTTTCAGGGACACCGTAACTTGTAATGGTCCCTATACGAATGGTCGTAAATTGAGAACTGCCTGTCCCTTGACGATACATTATTTTGGAATATAATTTTTAAATGAAGGTAAGAGATTCATGCCAGGGTTCAGATGAGGGCGAAAAAATCAAGATGGCGCTGAAAACACAAACACACAAAACACACAGGCCACTGGTTGTTTTTTTTATTTATTTATTTAAAGTTTTTATTTTAAAAAAAAAACAAAAAACATTCCATCTTCTCTTAAACTGTCGTTTGGATATCTCTGCAATATCCATCAGAATTTATAACATCATTCACTACATTTATATTAATTCTCTAATCTTACAATTATAATGTATTAAGCAATTGAGCATAGTAAACTTATTCATTTTCCCCTCTTAACGTACCTTCTAATAATAATAATAATAAGCATAAATAATCATAATAATCAATACTAACAATTATCATATTAACATATTAACATATTTTCTATTCTTTAATCTCCTTTATTTCCAATTTCCATTTTTATTCTCTAACCATTGATAAAATAATTCCCAAATCCTATAATATTCAGTTTGTTCTTTCTTCTTAATTGCCAGGGTTAATCTGTTCATTTCTGCACATTCTAATATTTTCCAGGCTGCTGGTGGTTGTATATTGTGTAGGCCAAGGTGACTCCTTGATTGTCTTCCTTTTTTCAGCCACAATTCAGAGGGGGGAAAAAGCTATGAAAAAGAAGAGAATTTCAAGTTTTAACTTAAATTTTAAGCTTGAAAATAATGTAAGGTAGACTTCTCCTGCACAGTCTGCTCCAATCAGGACTGAGGGCTGCTGTGACTGATTGACATGGGACATAAAACGAGGATGCTTTCCAAATGGGTCAGTTTGAATTTCCGTGAAATTTGCATTTTCATTCCCAAACTATCAGGAGGTTTTCAAAATCTATCTGGGATCGATCAGCGAAAGAAATAATAATTTATTATGGAATTTGATTTGTACTAGGAAAAGAAATTTCTTTATTATTTTCTTTATTACAGACCGTTATTATAGACGGTCCTCAACTTAATGGCCATGATTGAGGCCAAAATTGCCGTTGTTTAGCGAGACAGGTGGGAAGCTAGTTTTTCTCCCTTTTTACGACCTTACTTACTTACTTACTTTATTTGATTTATATACCGCCCTACTCCCGAAGGACTCAGGGCGGTGAACAGCCAAACAGTAAAAATACATAGATACAAAATTTAAAAACAAAGTAAAATCAAATTAAACAATTTGGCCCAGACAGATTAAAACATCCCAATCATTTAAAAACTGATTAAAATTTGCATAATTAAAAAGAGGGAAAAGATTAGGCCAGGCCTGCCTGGTGGAATAAAAAGGTCTTAAGAGCGCGGCGGAAGGTGCGCAGATCCGGGATCCTCCATATCTCCGGGGGGAGCTTGTTCCAGATAGTAGGTGCCCCCACAGAGAAGGCTCTCCCCCTGGGGGCTGCCAGTCGGCATTATTTGGCCGACGGCACCCAGAGGAGCCCCTCTCTATGAGAGCGTACTGGCCGGTGGGAGGCTATTGGTGGTAGCAGGTGGTCCCGTAAATAACCAGGTCCTAAGCCATGGAGCGCTCTAAAGGTGGTAACCAAAATCTTGAAGCGCACCCGGAAGACCACCGGGAGCCAGTGCAGCTTGCGCAGGAGAGGTGTTACATGGGAACGCCATGTCGCTCCCATTACCACCTGCGCGGCCGCACTCTGCGCCAGTTGGAGCCTCTGGGTGCTTCTCAAGGGGAGCCCCATGTAGAGAGCGTTACAATAGTCCAGGCGGGAGGTGACGAGGCCATGAGTGACCGTGCATAGGGAGTCCTGATCCAGAAAGGGACGCAACGGGCAAATCAGGCAAACCTGATGAAAAATCCTCCCAGCATTTGATGGCCGTCAAATGCTCTTCTAAAGACAGCCGTGAATCCAGGAGGACGCCCAAGTTGCGAACCCTCTCCGTGGGGGCCAATGACTCACCCCCAATAGTCAGTGATGGCGCCAACTGACTATATTGGGACGTCGGAAACCACAGCCACTCGGTCTTGGATGGGTTGAGCCTGAGCCTGTTCCTCCCCATCCAGATCCGTACGGCCTCCAGGCACCGGGACATCACTTCAAGGGCATCGTTGGGGTGGACCTTCCTTGCCACAGTTGTTAAGTCAATCATTTAAGCATTGGTTAAGGAGGCTCACGGTCCTGAAGTGAATCTGGCTTTCCCGTTGACTGTCTGACCCACGGGACGCTATGACTGTCATAAGTATGAATCAATTGCCAAGAGTCTGAATTTTGATCACGTGATGGTCGTAAGTGTGAAAAAGGGTCACAAATCGCTTTTTAAAGTGCCTTTGAATGGTCACTACAGCAACAGTCGTAAGTCTTTGTAAAGGGTTGCGGAAAAGCAGGAAATTCGAATTTTGGAAAAAAATGGCTTTCTTTGGTGAACAGATTTGCTGGGTTGTGGTTATGCCAACATCAAACAGAAGCTAAGGGCAAAATTCACATGGTAGACTAGCTAAAATGGGCTGGTCTCGTTTAACGTCCTGGTTCGTCAGAATACGGCAGTGTTTCTCAGGCTCGGCAACTTTAAGAGCCTCTGACTCCCAGAATCCCCCAGCTAGCATGTTTTAAGAGGGGAGAACTTCAACTCCCAGAATCCCCCATCCGGGATGCTTTAAGAAGAGGGTAGAGCCGAGGACTTTGTACAATATCTGTATGACAAAATCGCTCAGATTCGGGAAAATTTGGACTCTGACTGGGTAGATTCGGGAAGGAGGATGGAGGCAAGTCTTGAGAATATTACCTGGGAAGAGTTTGATTCTGTGACTCCGGAAAACGTGGACAAGATACTGGGCAGACTAAGCGCGGCCACATGTTTATTGGACCCGTGTCCCTCCTGGCTGGTGCTAGCCTCTCGGGAGGTTACACGAGGTTGGCTCCAGGGGATTATAAATGCTTCCTTGAGAGAGGGTGTCTTCCCTGCCACCTTGAAGGAGGCGGTGGTGAGGCCTCTCCTCAAGAAGCCTTCCCTGGACCCAGCAGTGTTGGCTAATTACCGTCCAGTCTCCAACCTTCGCTTTGTGGTGAAGGTTGTTGAGAGTGTGGTGGTGCGACAGCTTCCTCAGTACTTGAATGAATCGGCTTATCTAGATCCGTTCCAGTCGGGCTTCAGGCCTGGGTACAGCACAGAAACGGCATTGGTCGCATTGGTAGATGATCTCTGGAGGGCCCAGGACAGGGGTTGCTCCTCTGTCCTGGTCCTGTTAGATCTCTCAGCAGCTTTTGATACCATCGACCATGGTATCATGCTGCACCGGTTGGAAGAGTTAGGGGTGGGGGGCACCGTGTTGCGGTGGTTCTCCTCCTTTCTCTCTGATTGGTTGCAGTCTGTGTTGACAGGGGGGCAGAGGTCGACCCCGAGGCCCCTTGTATGTGGGGTGCCACAGGGGTCGGTTCTCTCACCCCTTCTGTTCAACATTTATATGAAGCCGCTGGGTGAGATCATCCGTGGTTTTGGGGTGAAATATCATCAGTATGCTGATGATACTCAGCTATACATCTCCACCCCGGATCACCCCTATGATGCCCTTAAAGTGATGTCCCAGTGCCTGGAGGCTGTACGGATCTGGATGGGGAGGAACAGACTCAGGCTCAATCCATCCAAGACCGAGTGGCTGTGGTTTCCGACATCCTGATATAGTCAATTGGTGCCATCACTGACTATTGGGGGCGAGTCATTGCCCCCCACGGAGAGGGTTCGCAACTTAGGCGTCCTCTTGGACTCACGGCTGTCTTTAGAAGAACACTTGACGGCTGTGGCCGGGAGGTCTTTTTATCAGGTTCGCCTGATTCGCCAGTTGCGTCCCTTTCTGGATCGGGACTCGTTAAAAACGGTCACTCATGCCCTCGTCACTTCACGCCTGGACTACTGTAATGCTCTCTACATGGGGCTCCCCTTGAGGAGCACCCGGAGGCTCCAGCTGGTCCAGAATGCGGCCACGCGGGTAGTTATGGGAGCAGCATGGCGCTCCCATGTGGCTTCCCTCCTGCGCGAGCTGCACAGGCTCCCTGTGGTCTTCCGGGTGCGCTTCAAGGTCTTAGTTACCACCTTTAGAGCGCTCCATGGCTTAGGACCGGGGTACTTACGAGACCGCCTTCTGCCACCAATAGCCTCTCACCGCCCAGTGCGCTCCCATAGAGAGGGGCTTCTCAGGGTGCCGTCGGCCAAACAGTGTCGACTGGCGGCCCCCAGGGGGAGAGCCTTCTCTGTGGGGGCACCCACCATCTGGAACGAGCTCCCCCCAGAGATACAGAAGATTCTGGATCTGCGCACGTTCCGCCGTGCCCTCAAAACATTCTTGTTCCAGCAGGCCGGCCTGGCCTAACTTTCCCTTTATATTGCTTTTTTGATTTTATTTTAAACTGGGATGTCTTGAATTATCTAGGACCAGAGTGTTTAGTATATTTTAATTGGTTTTTTATTATTAACTTTTGTATTACATGTATTTTTATCGTTCGCTGTTCACCGCCCTGAGTCCCTTAGGAATAGGGCGGTATATAAATTTAATAAATAAATAAATAAATAAAATAAATCAGAAGGGAGGACTTCCTGGGGCTTGAGTGGCAGAAGCCCACCCTCTTCGAACTACATTTCCCAGCACGCTCCGCTTCCTTGAAAAGGGGGCGGGGCTGTCAGCCTGGGAGCAAAGCTGGGGCAGCGGGCAAGAGCGCATGCTCCGAGGGGGGCGTTGCCTTTCCCCCTCCTCCTCCTCCTCCTTCTCTTTTTCTTTCTCTTCTTCTTCTATTTATTCCTCCTCCTCCTCCTCTTTTTCTTCTTCTTCTTCTTCCTCCTCCTCCACTTCTATCCTGGGCCGAGATGGCTGAGGGGCTTGCATCTACACCGGTAGGAATTCCTGGCAAGGGTGCCTCTGAGCATATGCAGAGCGCCTCAATGCCCGGGACTGGCTGCAAGAGCCGCCCCCCCCCGCCCAGCTTCCCCGCATCAACCCTCCAGGGAAGGGTCCTTTGGGGGAGGAGGAGGGGCTGGGGGCTTCATTGCAAGGGAAGAGGAGGGGTATCTGGGGGGGGGTCTCCCTTGAGACTTTTGGGGCGCTTCCACACTGCAGACCCCCTTCTAATTCTTTAGGTCTAGACTTGGGAAGGAAAGGTTGGGGGAAGAGGGTTGGGGGGGTCAAAGAACTTGGGGAGGGGGTTCCCCTAGGCAGGCAGAGGGGGGAGAGTTCTCCCTCCCCTCCAATTTAGAGGAGGGGGAGACCCTATTGAAGAACTGACCCTCTGGATCCTACCAGATTTTTTTTTTTGTGGGGGGAGGTGGGCTTCAGTTCACTGCTGTTTTTCGTTACAAGGGTTTTTCCAGTTTAGGGGGAGAAATGCCCCCTCCCCTTTTTCAAGAGGGTGGGATTTGAACTTGCCACTCTCTCCAGAGAAAAGGCGGTTGAGAATGGATGCAAGAGAGGTGGGGTTGGTGGGGGGGGCGGGAGGGGGGGGCAGGGCAGGCCCCCTCCCTGAATCTTCCTGTTTGGGGGGAGGGAAATCTTGAGGCAACCGTCAGGATTCGCACTGGCTACCCGGATGGAGTGGATTATCTCCTGTTGGGCTTCAGTTTACCGGTCGTCCTTGGCGCCCGACCGCAATGGCGCCCCAAAGTTACGTCGTTAAACGAGGCCTTTGTTAAGGGAGTGTCAGCCCATTTCACGGCTTTTTCCGTCCCCCGTTTGGGAAGTGAATGGCTGCAGTCGTTAACGTTGGTCACCCGGTCGCTAAGTGAATCCGTCTTCCACATTGACGCGTCAGAAGACTATAAAAAGGGGATCACGTGATCCTGGGACACTACGACCGTCATAAAGATGAGTCAGTTGTCAGTCGTCCAAACTTAAATTATGTGACCACGGAGATGCAGCTGCAGTCATAAGTTCACAAGTTGCTTTTTTCTGTGCCGTCGTAACTAAGTGACATAATCGTCACTAAGCGGATTGTTCTAAGGTGAGGACTACTTGGAAGAACTTGCAAAAATTCAGCACGAGCAGGCTTCCCAAGGGTTCGTTTAGCGACCATTTGACCTTTCGAGGCACTGAAAAAAGGGATGTGCAACTGCTCCACGAACTTATGACCGTCGCAGCATTCTCCCTGGTCACGTGATTACAATTTGGGTGCTTTGCAACTGGCTTGTGCATCTAGTCCTCGACTTATGACACTTTATTTAGTGACCGTTCAAAATTCCAACAATACTGAAAATAAAGAGACTTACGACTGTTTTTCAAACTTACGCATCTCCAGGGGATCAAAATTCAGATGCTTGTCAAGCGATTCATATTTATGATGGTTCATTTAATGACCGTTCAAAGTTACAGTGATGCTGGACAAAGGGATTTATGACCGTTTTTCACACTTACAACCATACTACATCTTCACGGTCATGTGATCCAAATTCAGAAGTGTGTCAAGTGATTCATACTTATGACGGTCGAGGTGTCCAGGGGTCACATGAACCTCTTTTGCAATCTTCTCTCCAGCCATGTCAGTGGGGAAGTCGGATTCACTTAGCGACCGTGTAACTCACTTAACAAATGCAATGATTCACTTAACAACCATGAAAAATAAGTCGTAAAATGGGTCACATTTAGCAAGATAAATTTGGGGCTTGATTGTGATCGTAACTCGAGGATCCCCTGTATTTCCATTTGCAGCATCTCGGAGTCCTGTGATCGTCACTTACGACCTCACACGCCAACTTCTTACAAGCACAATGATTATGGGAAGGCAGATTTGTTTAATGACCGTATGATTCATTTAACAACTGTAGTGATTTGTTTTAACAATCAAAGGAAAAAAGGGGGTCAAATCAGACCCGACTCACTTAGCAACCACCATACTTAGTGGGGATTTTGGTTTCAAATTGTGGTCGTAAGTCGAAGACTACTGACATGGATAAATGGAAGAATTTAATTGGACACCTTTTATTTCCTTCATCTGTAACTATGGCAACGTATAAGATTTCTGGACTTCAACGCCCAGAATTGCCCAACCGGCCATTTTGGCTAGGGAATTCTGGGAGTTGAAGTCCAGACATTGTAAAATTGCCAAGGCCGAGAAACACTAATCTATACAGATAGTCCTTGACTTACGACCGCAATTGAGGCCAGCATTTCTGTTGCTAAGCGAGGCAATGAAGTGTTCTGCCCCATTTTATGACCATTGTCATGTGAATCACCTCAGGGGTTAGCAACGCGTTGGTTAAGTGGCTTCCCCATTGACTTTGCTTGTCAGAAGGTCTCAAAACGGGATCACATGACCCCGGGGCAGTATGACCCGTCATGAATGTGAGTCCGTTACCGAGGGTCTGAATTTCATCACATGGAGATGCTACAACTGTCTTAAGTGTGATAAACGGTCAGAACGTCATTTTTTTCTGCACCATTGTAACTTTGGTCGCTAAATGAACCGTTGTAATTCGAGGACTACCCGTAATAATCATAATAGTCCATTTCCCCAAATTTGGAAGAAAGTCAACAAAGTTTGGACAGACAGTTGTCTCCTTTCCTTGTCGGGACGCGTGAACGAATATTTTCTGTGTCGCAGACGCGGTAGACTGACAAGATTTGGAATTGCGTGCCCTTTGGTCACAATGGCGATCCGGCCGCTTGGTTGTGTCATCCTGGGGTGTTAGCGTTCTCGACAGCGGGGGGAAATAATCTGGGGTGCGGTCCAACTTTGTGCGATGCACAAATCTCATTCTAGGGCAGATATTTTAGCGCGTTTCACTCTCTCGCTTCTTCTGTAGGTGACCTTTGAGGATGTAGTTGTATACTTTACGGCAGCCGAGTGGGCCCGCCTGACCGACTGGCAGCGGGACCTTTACCAAGCTGTGATGGTGGAAACTTATGAGCTAGTGGCGTCGCTGGGTAAGGATTACTCCCTCCTCACCCTAGTGTCTAAAATTTGAGTTCCGGGTCCTTGTCGACGTACAATCGCAATAGAGCCCAAAATTTCTGTTCTTATGCATTTCAATTAATTTTGAAGTGAGTTTTGTTCCATTTTACGACATCTTTTCCCCATTGTTAAGTGAATCCTTGCCGCTGTTAAGTTCTGCTTCGAATTGGGGTCATAAGGTGAGGATCAGCTGTAGAGAAATGGGGAGAACACCGTTGATATACGGAGGTAGTCCAACGTGCAATCGCAATTGAGCCCAACGTTTCCGTAGCTAAGCGAGACATTTGTGACGTAAATTTGGTTGTCCCGTTTTACGACCCTTTTTGCCACAGTTAAGTCAGTCACTGCAGCTTTTAAATTAATGACAAGTTGTTAATTGAATCTGGCTTCCCCATTGACTTTGCTGGTCAAAAGCTCGGAAAGGGGGATCACGTGACCCCAGGATAAAGCAACGGTCGTAAATATGAATCAGTTGCAAAAGTCTGAATTTTGATCTCGTGACCATGGGGATGCTGCAACAGTCATAAATGCGAAAACTGGTCATAAGTCACTTTTTCCTGAACAGTCATTAAAAGAACTGGGTTTTTTTTGTTTGTTTTTTTTAATTTGATTTATATGCCGCCCTTCTCCGGAGACTCAGGGCGTCTTACAATGCGTTAAGCAATAGACTTCATCCTTTTGTATATTTATACGAAGTCAGCTTATTGCCCCCACAAACTGGGTCCTCAGTTTACCTACTTTAGAAAGGATGGAAGGCTGAGTCGACCTTGAGCCTGGCGAGATTCGAACCTGCAGTAATTGCAGGCAGCTGGTCTTAATAACAGGGTGCTTTAGACCACTGTACTACCAAGGCTCTGTTGTAAGTCAAGGGTGACCTGTAGATGTTGTTGTAGGTCTTGTTGAACTCTAGCATGTCACCCAAAATGTCACAGCGTGTCACCTTCAACACACATGTCATAAGTTTGCCATCATTGGACTAGAGATTTTGGGCTAATCAACAGCCATTGGGACCTGCAGCCACTGAGACTCACGCTCCTCCCTCCCAAATGCACGTGCGTCTAAAAATTGTTGAGGAGTGGTCTCTTAGTGGGTGGGGTCTTCTGTTATTGGAGGGGCCTCCTGGTCCCAGGTTCAGTTGCTTTTTTTTTTTTTTTTTTTTGCAAATTTTTTATTTTATTTTTTTAAAACACACAGACAAAACATGCAATACATCTTTTCAGAACAGAGCATTGATCCGGTCATAAATTTGTTGCATCTTTAACACAATTTTATATATTCTATTTTTGCCATAACATTTATTTCTTAATCTTGGCTCACATATCTCAACTATTACCATTTTATAGTAAGCTACTCATATTAACTTAATCAAAATGGTTACCCTTCTATTAATCCACCTTAAATCTCAATTCAAATAATACCTCATAATACATTTCACAATTCTCACCCTAAATTCTCACTATTAACAATACAGTTCAAACATATTTATATTTCTGAATCTTATTTCAATTTCTAAAACTTCCCTACATTTTATTACTTCATATACTATTCATTAAATCTTTATTTAATTATTACTTCATCAAATTTAAATCTTATCTCTAATCTTAAAAATATACCAATTTAACAATTAAACAAAGTTCTTAATTCAAATAATACAACATAATACAATTCCCAATTATTTCCCTAAATTCTGTCTATTTAACAATACCATTTATATAAAAGCCAATTAAATAAGTCTCATTTAATTAAATCATAATCCTATATCATTTCAATTTTCTTTTCTTTTTTGCTTAGATAAATGTATTGTTGAGAATATTCAGATTATTACAATTGTTATAGGTATTTAAACGATATTCCAATTATTATACCCATCAATTTTCTCAAATAATACCATCCAACATCTTAATAAAAATTAATTCATTATGTCCGTTAATATCTTTTCTTTTTACATAATCTAATTTTCAAATATTTTAGCTTCAATCCATAATTCAATTCTAAGTATCCGTAACATATTCTTCTCTCATCTTCTCTTATCTTCCTTTCTCTTCCTTTTTTTTACTTTTACCCTTTTCTTTCCCCGTTTTTTCTTTTGTGTTCTAACTTCTTGAGTTCCCCTATTTTGCCCTATCTGTCCCATTGTTTTCTCTTTCTCTTGTTTTACCATTGTTAACCTCCATGTAATCATTTTGTAAATCAAAGTCCTGGGCTCTTCTATTTTGCCCTTTATTTCCTAGTATTTTCCAACCTTTTTCTCTCTTTTTTGTCATTCCACTGTTAATCCCAGTGTAATCATCTAAGTTTTTTGTGTTTTTTCTATTCCATCTCTCTATCCAGCTTTGTCTCTCTCTCTTTTTTTTTTTTTTGATTTATATGCCGCCCTTCTCCGGAGATTCAGGGCAGCTTACAATGCGTTAAGCAATAGCCTTCATACATTTGTATATTTATACAAAGTCAGCTTATTGCCCCCACAATCCGGGTCCTCATTTCACCTATCTTGGAAAGGATGGAAGGCTGAGTCAACCTTGAGCCTTGGAGAGATTCGAACTTGCAGTAATTGCAGACAGCTGGTGTTAATCACAATGCTATCAGTCTGCTGAGTTACCAGGCCCTTCCTATCCTCTTTATCTTTCCCATATTTTTAATTTCAATATAATCTCCAAAAATCTCCTTTTTATTGTTACTGTCCTCATGTTCAGTTAATTTTACATAGTTAATCACATTGTCTTTATCTTCTTCTTTGTTTTCAATCTCTGCATCTTGTATCTCTATTTTTAAATCCTTGTCAGATTGAACGTGTTCTATCTGAGTTATGAAGTTCTCAGATTTCAATTTTCCATGCAACAATGTCTTCATTTCCCTTATTTCCATTTCAAAGTCGAATACATCATTATAATCATCTCTCTGATTTCTTGCTCCATTTTACTCTTTCTAAATTAGTCTTATTCCAATTTTAAAAGTCTCATTAAAGATCTCTTTTTCTTTTCTTTCTTCCCTCCAAAGTCAAGCCGTTTGCAAACAGAAAAATCCTTCCCCAAAGTTCTCACCACTATTATCTCAAACAGAGTTCGGAATTTTCCAAAACAAAAGTTACAAGTTGCACCGTTTTTTTCCTCCTAAAGATGTCTCTCTACAATCCACAATTCTTATAGGTAATTTAACATGGTGTTTTGTTTCAGTTAACAATTTTACTAGTTTCTTTTCTTCTCTTTCACTTTAAAAATATCCACTCAATCTAGTCCAGTCCCAATTAAGCAATACTTTCTTCTCTCTCTTTTTTTCTTTATATTTGTTCAATTTATAAAAACACTTCTGTTACAGGAGCTTATTTCAGTTCTCTTTTGTTTATCTTAACCTTCAAAAAAGAGGAAAAAAGGATCTGCTTATGTTTTCCAATCCTTTTTCCATATTTAGGGTTATTTCTTCTAATCTTTGATGTTCTTCAAATAATTTCCTTCCAAAAGTCAATTTTCTTTTCGGGTTTTTTCCCTTTAAATTCTGCTTCCGACCTCCTCTTTTTTTCCCCTGTGCTTTTTAGCAGCCAATTTCTCGCTGGGGTTTTTCCAAATTTAAAAGCATTTTAGTCTTGTTGTTTCATCTGGGTTGGCTGTCACTCATCCAGCTTCAAACTCCGTTCCTTTCACCGCTCCTGCTCGTTGCTTGGCCTGGTTGCCCCAGCTTCGTGACAGCTGCAATGGCTGCCACCCCCACTGCCGATTTAGAGAGAGATTCCTCTGACCTTCGAGGAACTTCCCTGTTCCTCTCAGTCTCCAAGGTGCCTCTCCTTCTTCCCCGTTCCTACAGGACAATTCTGGTCCAAAGACCGCTCGACAGCGGTTTGTCAGTCTGGGTTTTCGCGGAGCTCATCGGAGCCCGCTAATTCCCCGACTGTCTCGCCGCGATGCTTCCGGTGATCCATCCCGGGTTCAGTTGCTTGTCCGTCTCCCTGTCCTTTTTCTTCTTTGTTGGGCTACAGGATGCAAAGGTTAGGAGTGTACCAGCTTTCCTAGAATTGTGTTCTCGTCCCAAATGGCGGGTGCTGGGAATTGCAGCGCTGACTTGATGGTGGGTTTGTCTCTTCTACTGTCCTCCCAGCAGGCGATGTGATCCTGATGGCTGAAGATGAGGAAGGAGGAGTGGAGAGGCCAATCAGGCAGTGCGTGCCCCAGGGCAAGAGGAGGCAAAAGACCCCACAGCTGCGAGCGGAGACCCCAGTGAGGCAGACTAGATCCACAGGGTCCAATTCGAACACTGGGTGTCTCCCATGGTTGATGCCAAAGACAAATCCACCAAAGTGCCCCGAGTGTGATAAGACCTTCCTCACAAATGTGGCCATGACCATCCACATCCGGACACATACTGGGGAGCGCCCGTTTGAGTGCCACCTCTGCCCCAAGGCCTTCCCCGCCCAGAGCGACCTCAGACGTCACCTCAAAACCCATCTACGCAGGAAGGACCCTCCCGACCTGGGTTCCCTCCCTAAGGCCACGGAATTTCTCACCGCCCAGCTGCAGTTGCTGCACCAACTGGGGGTGACCTCGGGTCCAAAGAAGCCGTACGGCTGCACACAGTGTGAGAAGAGCTTCAACCGGCAGCAGGACCTGCGCAAGCATCGAGTGACACACTTGACGGAACGTCCATTCTCCTGTTCGGTTTGCGGGTGCAGCTTCCGGCTCAAACAGACCCTGTTGTCCCACCTGAAGGTACATGACGGGGAACGGCCCTTCTCCTGCATGCAGTGTGGGAAGTGTTTCGGTCAAAGGCAACACGTCAAGACTCACCGGCGAGTGCACACGGGCGAGAAGCCCTTCGCGTGCACCACCTGTGGCAAGCGGTACGCCCAGAAGCAGCCACTGATCAACCACTTGCGGGTGCACACTGGTGAACGGCCGTACGGCTGCCACGAATGTGGGAAGGCATTCCGTAATCAGACCACGCTGACCATCCACCACCGGATACACACGGGCGAACGCCCCTTCCGTTGCCTGCTGTGTGGGAAGACCTGCAGCCAGTTGCAGCACCTCAAGAGCCACCAGCGAGTTCACCGTGGCGAGCAGCACCTGTTCGCGGAGAGTAACGGCGAAGCTCTAGCCCTCAGGAAGGCACGCGAGATGCAGGAGAAGCCGTATCAGTGCCCCAAATGCGAGAAGCACTTCCGCGATGAAAACATCATGCAGGCTCACCTCCGGACCCATAAGGATTGGAAGGGTCTTGGGGACGGCAGCCCAAGTCCATCACTTCCCATCCAGCTGAAAAAGACCCCACTGGACTCCGAGCCTGTGGACAAAGCGGCAGGAGTGAACCAGAATCTCCCCACCCTTGTCCCAAGGAGACCCTTTGTGTGCACTGACTGTAGCAGGACATTTACGCAGTCCAAATATCTCGCCTTACATCGGAAGAGCCACCAATGAGGGCGGCGTTTCCGTACTGAACAAGATGCGAGTTTGAAAGCACAGGCGGGACCTTTTGGTGACACCATCTCTGATGCTGGTTGGACGAAGAGCAGACTTGCAGAGGGGGTGGCGAGAAGGGCCTTGCTGGCAGAAAACCTTTTGCACAGTTTGAAGAAAGTGGACAGCACAAGTGTATTTCTCGTTCTTCCACTTTTCCGTGGCCAGAGGACATGGCGAAGGAGAACTTCGTCTTAAGACGGAGTTCCCCAAACTTCCCTGCATTGTGAACTGGCTGAGAGAGGGGCGGAGAGGGGGTGGTTCCACCCAAGCGGTGGACAAGTGCACATGTGCGCATTCGGCTACTGCTCGAGCAAGTGAGGATTATGTGCACGCTTGCCCGCCAGTTCCACTCCCTGATTCCGAATGGCTCAAGGCCTGGTTAGTGGACTGTGGCCCCAAAGGTTGTGAGCCACTGTCATAAGAGAAAATGCCCGGTTTAGGTCCAGCATCTGATGAACCCTACACAGAGTGAGGAGCAGGGATGTAAAACACAGATTCTGTCCTGAGTCACAACCCTTAACCAGGTTTGTCAGAGTCGGGAGACTCCAGCCCATCAGCCCGTCTGCAACCAGGGTACTCCTGAGTCCGTCGCTGCTCTGGGTCCTGGGTCTCGGGTCCCATTGCAATTGAGGAGGTGGATCCTGATCACAAAAGTCCATAAAGACTAGGAATGCTAGACAGTCCATCTCTCTTCTCGATTTGTCCCTTTCAGGAAGCGCTTCTCCACTACGAAGCTGTGTGGACTTTGACTCCCAGAATTTCCCAGCCAGCACGGAATTCTGAGAGTCGAAGTCCGCATGTCTTAAAGGGGCAACGGTGGTGAAACACTGTCACTTCAACGCAGATTTCAAAGCTTCATTGAAGCATCAGGTAGAGTGGTGGGGTGGCCTAGAGGTGGAGCTCCTCTCACCTCACAATCAGGAGGCTATGAGTTCGATCCTAGGGAGAGGCTGATAATTCTCTGGGCACAATGAGAATATATCTGCTGCAAAAACCCACATTGGCAACAGGAAGGGCATCCGGCCAGTAAATGCATAGCTTCATTCAGTTGCCCTGATTCCACCCAGCAAGGGATTACGGGCTCATTAAACGACAGACAACAGCAACTGATGCATCAGGTAGAGAAACGGCGATGGAGTCCTGCACCAGGGCAGGGGTTGGACTAGATGACCTCTGAGTTCCCTCCAGCTCTTCGGTTCAACATTAAGTCCTTGGTGCCAAGCGTGAATAAGCCCAGATTTTGCAGTGGGAATCTGTTTTTTGGGGTCTTGCAATGTTCTATCAGCTGCTCTTTTGCTGGAAAAAAAAGATTTATTTTGATTCGGGCACGATCTAATGAATATGTCTCGTTTATTTAAAAAAAAAAATCTGCATATATGAATAATAGTTGGGATTTTGTAAGTGTTCATTGCCTACAGTGCCCCGGGACAATGTTTCTCAAACTTGGTAACTTTTAAGATGGGTGGACTTCAACTCCCAGAATTCCCTGGGCAGACGTGCTGGCTGGGGAATTCTGGGAACTGAAGTCCATCTTCCCTTCAAAGTTTCCAAAGTTGAGAAACATGATAATCTAGAACAGAGGTCTTCAAACTTGGCAGCTTTAAGACTTGTGGACTTCAACTCCCAGAATTCTCCAGCCAGCATAGCTTGAAGTCCACAAGTCTTAAAGCTGCCAAATTTGAAGACCTCTGATCTAGAAAGTTGTTGAGTTGGGATTGTTAAAACGTTTGCAAACACCGTTATAACTCACAAGAAGCAAATTGCAAAAGTCTGTTTGATTTTAAAAAGAAAGAAAGCTCGGAATTCGGAGACAATAAATTTTTGTTAACTTCTGTTCGGAACAATTTTTTTTGCTGGTTTACCTTGAATTAAAAAAAACAAAAACCCCAAAACCTTGTCACCAGTTGAACACTATAATGCAGTTAGTCCTTGAGACGGTTGCAAAAAGGTTTGTCACATTTGACGGTCTTTCTTGCCACTGTTGTTAAGTGAATCACGGCATTTGTTAAGGGAGTCAGACAGCTGTGTATAGATGTACAGATGATGATTGGATGAATAGATGGGGAGAAGGGAGGGAGGGATGATCGGATGCATGGATAGATAGGTAAAAGAGAAATTGATGGAGGAACGGGATGGAAGGAAGGTTGGACGGATTATGGAATGGATAAATAGAATAGAATAGAATAGAATCACAGAGTTGGAAGGGACCTTGGAGGTCTTCTAGTCCAACCCCCTGCTTAGGCAGGAAACCCTACACCACTTCAGACAAATGGTTGTCCAACATCTTTTTAAAAACTCCCAGTGTTGGAGAATTCACAACTTCTGGAGGCAAGTTGTTCCACGGATTAATTGTTCTAACTGTCAGGAAATTCCTCCTTAATTCCAGGTTGCTTCTCTCCTTGATTAGTTTCCACCCATTGCTTCTTGTCCTGCTCTCAGGTGCTTTGGAGAATAGCTTGACTCCCTCTTCTTTGGGGCAGCCCCTGAGATATCGGAAGACTGCTATCCTGTCACCCCTAGTCCTTCTTTTCATTAAATGGTATAGATTGATATAATAGGTACATATTTATGTACATGTGTGAATGATTCAATGGATAATAGATGATATATATATAGAAGAGATAGATGATAGATTAATAGGAGAGATAGGTAGGTAGTGAGAGAGAGAACAAGAGATAGTAGGCACACAGAGAAAGGACAGATGGAAGAAGGGATGAATTGGGAGAATGGATGGATGGAGAGATAGGGAGAGAGAGATTGAGAGAGAAAAGACAAAGACAGACACAAAGGAGAGATGGACGGAGGGATAAATTGAATGGATGGATCGACAGTAGTTTGGTAGAGATGGATAGAGACAGATGATAGGTAAGTAGGTATAGATATAGACAGACATAGAAGACAAAGCCAAAGATGGAAGGAGGGATGAATTGGATGGATAAATGAGGGATGGGTGGAGAGACAGATGATAGAGATGAGAGATAAGACAGATAGAAACACGAAGGAAGGAGGGATGAATTGGATGGATGGATGGATAGTAGATTAGTTACCGGTAGGTAGAGGAATAATGGATGGATAGAGATAGGAAGGTAGGTAAGTAGATAGATAGATAGATAGATAGATAGATAGATAGATAAATCTGTGTTGTGGCTGTGACGCTATGAAGAGAACGAAGCAAACCTGAGTGTGCCAATGAAGTCGTGCAATTACTACTGTGATGCAGAATGGGGCTGCCCTTGTGTCTATGTGGGCAAAGCCACACCCCAACGTACATACACACCCACTACGGAAATCAGCCTTTGAACACTTTATTGGCATCCGGTCAGAAGACCATTTCCATCTGCAAAGTCAGAGCCCTTCAGACGCCAAGACTGAGCACCTACACCCCTCCCTCTTATTCTCCAAAAGCAGGGGAATTCTGGGAAATTCGAAAGCTTTTCCCTCTCAGTGTCGCTGTTGCCCTCCTGTGGCCTCTGGGTTTCATCCTCCTCCAAGGAGAGCTCTTTCATGGGGTGGTCTGTTCCACTGTTGGTGGCCAAGCAGGGCTTGAGATGGAATACCACCCCAAGGTTGAGGTCCCACAGAAGCTCCCCAGAGCAGTGGGTCAGCTTCGGTTGTTGCCGTCCTGGCATTAAGCGACCTCCATCACCCCAATTTGCTGTGGCGTCCTAAGCCTGATCACCGCGTCCTTCAGGACCTCAGCAGAAGAACTTCCTTTCGGACCTTGTGACCCGTAACATCCCCTTTCCCCAACTGGTAAGCCTTAAGTCCCCCCAACATCGCCGATCGTGATACTCCTTCTCTACGGGGTTATGTTGCCTGTACAGGCCGAGGGGCCGATGTCACACCTTTGACCTACGGAGTCCCGTACAACTGAGGAAGAGGCCCTGAGCCCCTTGTATGAGGGGTGCAGAGGCTCTCCTTTGCATCCGTTGCAGGGGGACTGACTCCCATCATGTGCATGTGGGGGTGTGGCATGGCTTGGCCCCTCCCCTGGGAATCCCCAGACCTTTCTGTTATCCACACACTTCTACATTTGCAAACCTGCTGTTAACCACTATCGGCGAGGGGTACCTAGGCTGAACCATGGTCTAGAAACCACAACTGGACACACAGAACAAACTCTCCCGTGGTGTGTAAACAGAAGCCAGGACGGGTCAAATAGAAGACCCCTGCTGTCCACCATCCCCTCCCCAGATTCTCTGCAAGAAGGTGGGTGGGCAGTTACGTCCAGAAATTATTTTTCTCCCCCTTGTTTCTCACTAGAAACCTGCTACTCTGCTGTTCTTCTCTGCAGGCTTCTAACTCTCAGTAGGAAAACGGCAGGATCCCACTCGATACTACATGCCAAAAACTACTTGGAGACTCTACAGGGTGTCCAGAAGCCCAAAAAGCACGCCTTGGTGGATTTCTGGACACCCGTTTCAGGATCCGGAGTGCTCCGTCAGTTCAAGGTCTATGTTGGGAGTCAGTCTTGGCAGGGTTTGGCTCTGACTAACTGCATGTCGGAAAGAGCCAGGGCGTGGATCAGGTCCTCCAGCTGGTAGAACGTCTGGAAGGTGTTGGGTGACACCGAGTGGCACTCCAGGTAGCGCCGCAGCTTCGCCAAGCTGTCCACGATGTCGGTCTTGGAGGGACAGGAGAAGAGGGCCGGTTCCTCCTTCTCCTCCTCCTCTTCTGCTCTCCCCGAGATGGGTTCTTGGGGTTGAGGGACCTCCTTTGTTGGGTCCACGCTCTCCTGGTCTCCAAAACACTCCAACCCTTCGTCCATCAACACGAACTGTTCAAACTGGTCTTGATCCTTGCAGCCCAACGCTTGGACTACTTCCAATGGAGGGGTCAGCAGGCGGGGATTTGCGCTGAAGCCCGCCGCTTTGAAAGAGTTTGCTATGGTTTGAGGACACACCTCCGACCACGCTTGGACCAACAGGTGGACAGCATCCAGAAGGGTGAGGAACCTGGAGAGTTTGCTGGTGGGGCTGGAGACTTTGCCGTGGTCCTTGACCAAGAGATGGGTCAACATCCTTCTCCGGTAGTGGCACTTAAAATTCTGAATGACCCCTTGCTCCAGGGGAGGCAGCCAGGCGAGGTGAGGGGGCATGAAGACCATCTGGACGTTGGAGAGCTCGGCATAGGGATGGACACCACACTGCGTGACGAAGAGCGCCACCCGCCTCTCCTGCTGTTTCATCTCCTCGTTGAACTTCTGAAGCCACTCGGAAAAGATGGTGGGGGTCATCCAGGCCCTACTGTTCGTCTTGTAGGTTGCAGAAGACAATCCCTGAAGGCCACCAAACGGCCGCGCAGCCTTGCCCACAATCAACACGTCCTTTTTATCCGACCCGTCCATGTTGGCACAGAGCAAGATGGTCAGCTGGTCATGGGCTTCGCCGCCTCTCCGGGCCACCAGATCTTCAGGGGTCGCTCTAAAGAGCATCCCCGTCTCTCCACAAGCGTAGACGTTGGGAAGGTCGTAGTGGCTGAGGATACAGGGCAGCGTTGTACTTTCCCAGCGATTCTCGTCTTCGTCCTCCTCCTCCTCCAGAAGTTCCCGGCTCCATTTCTCTGGGAGGGACCTCCTGGGGCCAGTTTTCGGCTTGGCCGGGGAGCTGTTTGGCCACTGGAGGCTGGTCTCCAAGCCTGGTTCCCCGCCTCCGAAGGTGACTTTCTCTTGCCAAAGTTTCCCCTCGGCGGAGAATGGGTGTCCGCAGCTGCGTTCGAACCACTGCAAGAACGATCGGTCGCCGCCAGCCGGACCTTTGTCTTCCAGCTTCCGTTTGCGACTCGGGTTGGCGTTTTTACCCCATTCGGCCAGGATGCGTTCTTTGTTCTTGATGATACGGCAAATTTGGGGCTGGGATACCCCGAATCGTTTGGCCAGTTCACTCTGCGAGACCTTGGGCCCTTCGAGCATCTCCAGAACACGGACTTTCTCCTGCAGAGACAGTTCCTTACGCTCCTTGCGTTGAACCCCAGCTTCACCGGGCAGGGACGGTCCCTTTCTCCGGCTCCCGGAAGGGCTGAAGGGGTGCCCCGCGGCACAAGCGCCCTGCCCTGACAGCGCCATGTGCTCCATGAAGCTCCGTCCGCAGTCACCGCAGATGTAGGAATTCTGCCCGGTGTGCTTGGACTGGTGAATTTCCAGCTCAGATTTCAGGCTGAAACTTTTGCCGCATTCCAGGCACCAGTGGGGTAGCTCCCCCAGCTGGGGTCTGCACCCCCGAATTAAAGGACTCGCTCGGTAGTCCACCAATAGGATCTCCTCGTTGGCGGCCCCGGAACCCAGCAGAATGGGCTCGGGGCTGCTCGGTTTTTGCGCACCCTGGTGGAGTCCGTTGGTGGCACATTGCGCGGCAGTGGCAGCCTCCAGCTGGTTAAGATGCATCTCCAGCCCGTCATCTTCCTCCTCCTCCTGCTTAATGATTTTCGGCTGCCAGGTCTCTTCTGGGGAAGGAAAAGAAGAAGAAGAAGAAGGGGAATTTCCTGTCCTTCTGAGAGTTGGTGAGGGGCAGAGCCTGATGATATTACCCGAATTGAATTGATCTTACCTAGTTGGGTCATGAAATGTCTGCAAGGAAACCACCAAGCTCAGAGAGCATGAGGACCCCCACGGTCGCCCCTCCCCCTCCTTTCCTCTCTTCCTCCCCCTCCCCCTCCTCTTTCCTCTGCAAACCGCCCTCCCTTCTAGCACTGATGGTGTTACCTAGTTGGGTCACAAGACATCTGTAAGAAACCCACCAAATTCAGAGAGAGCCCCAAGGAACCCCCCAGTCCTTTTCCTCCTCCTCCTCCTCCTCTCCACATACCTACATTTCTTCTAGCACTGAGGAAGCTCCCTAGGTCATGAAACATCCATAAGAAATCCATCATGCTCAGAGACTATCAAGGATCTCACAGTCCTTCCTCCTCCTCTTCCTCCACATCTTTCCTTTCCTTTCCTTCCTCCCTCTTTCCTTTCCTTTCCTTCTCCATCCTTTCCTTCCTCCCTCTTTCTTTTCCTTTCCTTCCCTTCTCCATCCTTCCCTTCCCTCTCTCTTTCCTTTCCTTCCCTTCTCCGTCCTTCCCTTCCCTTCCTCCCTCTTTCCTTTCCTTTCCTTCCCTTCTCCATCCTTTCCTTCCCTTCCCTTCCCTCCCTCCCTCTTTCCTTCCCTTCCCTTCCCTTTCCTTCCCTTTTTTTCTTTCTCCTACTCCTTCCAGCACTGATGACGTTCCCTAGTTGAGTCACAACCCCAGAGAGCATCGAGGACCCCACACTCCTCCTCTTTGCAACCCCACTTCCTTCTAGCACTGATGAAGCTCCCTAGTTGAGTCCGCAAGAAACCCTCCAAGCTCAGAGAGACCCCCAAGGCCCCCATAGTCCTTCTTCCTCCTCCTCCCTTCTAGAACTGATGACGTTCCCTAGATGGGTCACAAGATGTCCGCAAGAAACCCATCAACCTCAGAGACACCCACCCCACCCTGCCCCAAGGCCTAGTTACCTAGTTGGGTCACGAAATGTCTACAAAGAACCCTACAAGCTCCAAGGACCTCACAGTCCTTCCTCCTCCTCTCTCCACAAACCCCCCTCCCTTCGAACACTGATGATCTTACCTAGTTGGGTCATGAAATGTCTGCAAGACAACCACTCAGCTCAGAGAGTACCAAGGACCCCACAGCAGGGGTGAAATCTAAATTTTGTTACTACTGGGTTCTGTGGGCGTGGCTTGGTGGGGTAATGTGACTGGGTGGGCGTGGCCATTTTTTTTTAACTTTTAAAAGCATTTTTTCTACAACCTTAAGAGGTTGCAGAAAAAAATGCTTTTAGAAGCCTCTGACGATCAGGCAAGTCATCTGGGATCGTCAGAGGCTTTTAAAGGCGTTTTTTTTTTTTTTGCTACAACCTCTTCGGCTGAAGAGGTTGTAGAAAAAAATGCTTTTAGAAGCCTCTGACGATCCCAGCTGAGCCGCGCGATCGTCAGAGGCTTTTTTTTTTTTTTTTTACTTTTAAAAGCACTTTTTCGGCTGAAGAGGTTGTAGAAAAAAATGCTTTTAAAAGTTAAAAAAAAAAGCCTCTGATGATTGTGCGGCTCAGCTGGGCATGGTGTGGGGGGCGCAGGGATTTTTGCTACCGGTTCTCCGAACCACCCGCCGCCATCACTACCGGATCGGGTGATCCGGTCCGAACTGGGAGCATTCACCCCTGCCCCACAGTCATCCTCCTCTCCACAACCCCCTTTCCTTTTAACGCTGATGTTGTTATCTAGTTGGGTCATGAAATGTCTGTAAAAATGACCCCCCAGTTCAATCCCAAGCTGCAAATCCTCTCTTCTCTCCGAATTAAGCCACGTTTCTCCACCTGGCACATATCTTTTCGATCAGGCCGTGGTCTGAACCATTTTTGCGAAGCGCCAAAAATAAAAAAGACATTTGAAGAGTCAAATCAGCTGAGAGACCCACCAACTCCTTGGTAGCTGCAGTTCTCCGGGTCCCGTTCCATCTCCTTCATCATCCTCACCGCCTCGTCGGAGGTATTGCCAAGATCTTCTATGGGAGCAGGCTCCTCAGCCAGGATGCCGGGACTCCTCAGAAGCCGGACGGATCTGCGAGGAACCGAAGGAGGACACCCTCAACTTTGGCCCCACATATCGGCAGAAGGGAGAAGTCACACCGGTTGCATCCCCGAATGTCTCTCTACCAGTAGTCCTCATCTTACGACCGCCATTGCGGCCCACAATTTCGGTCATTCGGCGAGGCATTCGTTTCATGAGTTTTTGTCTCGTTTTACAACCACCTTCGTTAAGCAAATCGCTGCAGCTGTTTAGTAAGTAACACGGTGGGGAAGCAACAAATTCGGCTTCCCCGTCAACTTTGCTGGTTAGAAGGTCGCAAAAATAGACCCTGTGAAACCCCCCAAACCCCCCCAAGGAAGGCCGCAACCATCATAACTACGAGTCGGTTGCCAAGAGTTTGAATTTTGAATCAGGTAACTGTGGAGCAACGGTCACAAGGGTGAAAAATGGTCGCAAGTCCCTTTTTTCAAGCCAGTTGTAACTACAAACGGTCACTAAGCGAACCATCGTAAGTCCAGGACTGCCTGTATTTATTTATTGGTTTGTCATGTTGAGGGACCACCCTGCCTCATTGCGCGACGCACAAATAATAGGAATATTAAAAAAATTTACACATGTCGTCCTCAGCTTATAATTATTCGTTTAGTGACCATTCAAAGTTCAGGGGAAATCCACGAGGAAAAAGCTTAGCAACTTTTAAGACGAATGGCCTGCAACTTCCAGATTTCCCAAACAAGCATGGAATTCTGGGAGTTGAAATCCTCCCTCTTAAACCAAGTTGGCTGGGGGATTCTGGGAGTTGTAGTGCTCCCCTCTTAAAGCATCCTGACTGGGGGATTCTGGGAGTTGAAGTCCTCCCTCTTAAACCAAGTTGGCTGGGGGATTCTGGGAGTTGTAGTGCTCCCCTCTTAAAGCATCCCAGATGGGGGATTCTGGGAGTTGTAGTGCTCCCCTTTTAAAGCAACCCGGATCGGGGATTCTGGGAGTTGAAGTCCTTCCCTCTTAAAGCATGCCAGCAGGGGAATTTAAATTAGCAGGCATTATTGATGCAGGAGGCAGGACTTAAATTCCACTCATTCCACTGGACTGGCTGGGGACAATGGGCATAGTAGCTTGGCCCTCCCAGAAGCTCCCTTCCATGTCCAGAATAACAGAGTTGGAAGGGACCTTGGAGGTCATCCAGTTCACCCCCCTGCTCAAGCAGGAGACCCTCATAACGTTTCCTGACAGACGGTTGTCCGATCCTTTCTGAAAAACCTCCATTGTTGCGAGCAACCCCAATTTCCAGAGCCAAGCCGTTCCACTTCCCCCTCCCCATCCCTGGGCTGGATGCCAGGATATGGGGGGTGGGGAGGGGGAGGGAAGCAGGAAGGCACTCTGCACATGCTCCATTCTTCTCCCCAAACCCGGCGCCCAGTTCCATATATCCCTGATGTTTCCCCAGGTGGATGCAATGCGACCTCACCTGAGTTTCAACCAAGTCTGTGTGGCTGGGGACGAGGGGTTTGGTGGTAGCTGGCTCGGCCTGGCCTGGCCTGGTTCCCCTCCACCTCTCCAGACGGTTGCTCACGGTAACGGACCGGTCCCTTCGGAGGATGAAGGAGGGATGAAGGTGGAGAAAGGATGCTGGAAGCTGAGCATCACCTGGCGGGCAGGGAGGCCCCAAAGACACCCCTCTGGCCTGGCTCGGTCGCCGGAAGATAAGGGCAGACAGGCCATGGGGAGGCTCGGCCCCCTTCGCCCGGCCTGCCCCCGGGACCCCTCCCCTCGCCCTGCCCAGCCTCTGCCAGGCTACATTCCCACCACCGATTGGTCCTGCCTGTCTCTCGAGCATCTCTCCCTGCCCGGGATTGGATGGGGTGCCCGCCGAGAGGCGGGGCAGGCGAACAATGGTTCATTCAGGAACTGGCAGTACCTTCTCGGCTGGGTGGGTGGGCGGGTCGGGGGAGGGTGGGAAAGAGCCCCCCACCCCGGGTGTTTTTCTGGAAATGAGGGTGGGTGGGCTTGGGTGGTTGTTTGGAGGCTGAAGCACTGAGGATGGAAAGAAAGAAACAGGTTGAAGTTTAAGAGGGGAGGACTACAACTCCCAGCATTCCCTAGCCAGCTATGCTTTGGGAGGGGAGGACTTCCACTCCCAGAATCCCCCAACCAGCTATGCTTTAAGACACGTTTGACTTCCACTCCCAGAATCCTCCAGCCAGCTGTGCTTTAAGAGGGGTGGGCTTAAACTCCCAGAATTGCCACATCAACATGCTTTAAGTTGAAGCCCACCCCCTCATAAAATTTCAAAGCTGGGGAAATGGGGAAAGGGAGTGGGGGTCTCTCTGCGGTGGAGGAAAAGCTTTGGCAGGACCCGAAGACCCTCTCCTCATACTCACCTTTCGAATGGGGGGGGAGACCAGATAAGCTGCTTCCCCAACTCCTGTGGGGGCCTGATCCAGCCCCTTTGGGGACCCCCAGGGGAAGGGGTGCCTCCCTCTTACCCACCCCCCGCCTTTGCTTCTCTCCCCCTTTTTCCAAACTGGGAGGGGTCGGAAAGGGGGACAATTCAGCCCCCAAAGACCCCCTGAATCCACCACTCGTGGAGCGGCTGATTTGGCCGTTAGGGGGCGCCGTTGTGTCTCCCGCAGTTGCAACCGACGCAACGGAACGGTTCTCCCGCGGGGGGGTGCGGGGGGGGGGAGGCTGGGACAAGAATGGAGATGGAGATACGGAGGGGAGGGGAGGAGGGGCCCCCTCCAGTCCTGTCCCCTTCCTCTTCCCTCCCTTCCTCCTCCTCCCTCCCTCCTCCTAAACGTGGGTGCCCCAAAAGGGGAGACCCAGAAATGGGGACCCCAAAAGTGGACACTCAGAAGTGAGTATCCCAAAAGGGGAGACCCCAAAGTGGAGATTAAGAAGTGGGGACTCCAAAATAAAGATTAGCGGCCACCCCAAAGTCGAAGACCCCAAAAGTGGGGGACCCCAAAGTGTTGATTAAGAAGTGGGGACCCCAAAAGAGGAGACCCAGAAATGGGGACCCCAAAAGTGGACACTCAGAAGTGAGTATCCCAAAAGGGGAGACCCCAAGAGTGGGGGACCCCAAAGTGTTGATTAAGAAGTGGGGACCCCAAAAGCGAAGACCCCCAAAGGTGGGGAGCCGCGTCTCCCCTCCCCCCCCCCCCGCTCTCCCTCTCCCGCCGGAGCCAGCGCAGCGCTTCTCCGAGGTTGCAGTGCCGACCTCCGGCCGTCGGGTGTCGCTGCAGGGAAAGCGGCGCCGCTGCTCCTGCGGCGCCCGCGGCTTCCTGGACCGGACTGGCGCCCCGATCGCCCAGCAGCCGACCCGCAGCCCCGGCCGCTCCTTTCCACGCCGCGCCCCGTCCCCTCCTCGCCTCGCTTGCCGACCGTTGCCGCCGGGCCATGGCCGAGTGGAGCCCCGCCCAGGTCAGCGCGGAGGCGGAGGCGGAGGGGGGGGGGCTTGCCGCAGTCCGGGCGGGGCTGGAGGGGGGAGGAGGAGTCCCTTTTGCGGGGGGGGGGGGATATGACCCCCCCCACCCCCCCCCCAAGGGGGGGGCCGGGGTCTCCTAGCGGGGGGGGGGATGAATCCCCCCATCCTGGGTCTGTTTGGGGGGGTCTGGACTCCTCCCGAGCTTCGCTGGAGGCTCATTTGCTGGGCGGGGATCTCCTCGTGGTGCCCTTTCCACCTGCCCAGGGATGCTGGGGATGGGAGGGGGGCTCCTTCCAGGTCTGCCCGCCTCTAGGTTTGGATCTGAGGGAGGGTCGATGTCTCCCGAGCTTGGATTGCCCCCTTGCTGGATGGGGATCGCCTGGTGGTGCTCTTTCCACCTGCCTAATGGTGGTGATTGGGTGTGTGGGTGTGTCCTGCAAGATCCACCCACTCAGAAGTTTGGATCTTGGACAGGGGAGGGTCTGGACCCCTCCCGTGCTTGGATGGAGGCTCACTTGCTGGGTGGGGATCGCCTGGTGGTGCCCTTTCCACCTGTCCATTGGTGGTGATGGGTGGGGGAAAATCCTGTTGGGGTCTGGCCACCTCAAGGTTTGGATCTTGGGTTTGATGGCTGGCGTGGGGGTACCTGGACCCCTCCGAAGCTTCAATTGCCCCCTTGTATTGCTCAGCCTATGGGAAGCGATCGCCTCGTGCTGCCCTTTCCACCTGTCCAGTGATGGCGATTGGGGGGGGTGTCCTGCAAGGTCTGCCTTCCTCTTAGCTTGGAATCTGGGTTTGGTGGTTGGACTGGGCAGGAGATGGGGTCCAGGGGCACCCCGAGAGGATTGCCCCCTCATCTCCTGGGGGGGGGGTGTTGGAATTCGAACCCGGTGCCAGAAGAGGATTGCAGGTGCTTCAAAATGTCTGCTTTTGCTGGAAAAGTCTGGCTTTTGCATCGCTTGCAATTGAGAGGCTGTTTGGTGGAGGGGCTAGAAGCAGGGAGACAGGGAGTTCTAGTCTCACCTCACATGGTTGCTGTTAATGGGAAAATTAGCCGAGGAAGGATTGTTCAGGATTATTCTCTGCCTGGAATGACTTCCCAACTAATACAAGTGGGATCAAAATAGAACAAAGGGATAAATAAACTTCGAACGGTCACTAAACGAACAGATCGTAAGTTGAGGACTGGCTGTATCCTTTCCGGGTTGGTGACCCCCACCGGTTTGCCAACAGGGCCTTCAGTGGGACATGGACTCCCACCACCCGGCAACGGCACAGCCCCTCGGCCTCCCCGAGGAAAACCCCACGGCAGACGTCCTCCCCGAGACGGCCGAGCTCTCCCTGACGGTGGTGGCGGAAATCCAAGCGGTGGAGGGCAAGGTGGACGCCTATGCAGCCCAGCTCATGAGCCTGGAAGGCCGGATGGGCATGGCCGAGACCAAGCTGGACGGCTGCGAGAAGACGGCGGTGGAGTTCGGCAACCAGCTGGAGAGCAAGTGGGCCGCGTTGGGCACCCTGATCCAGGAATACGGGCAGCTCCAGCGGCGCCTGGAGAACATGGAGAACCTCCTGAAGAACCGTAACTTCTGGATCCTACGTTTCCCACCAGGCGCCAAGGGGGAGGCCCCTAAGGTGAGGGGTGGCGGGGTTTGAGTCCTGCGGGGGTTGGGGAGCCTGACGATTGGTCAGGGAATAATGGGAGTTGCCGGTCAACCACTGCCGGGGTTTTTTTTTTGCCGTGCTGGCAGGGTGACGTCCTTGACGGGAGTTTAGGCAGTGGTGGGTTCCTCCCGGTTCGGTCCGGTTCGGCCGAGCCGGTAGCGGTGACGATATGACGTCACCGAACCGGTTCTCCCCTCCCGGCCTCCCACCCCCCCCCACGTTATTCTTACCTTTTATTTGGCCCCACCCCCAACCTATTGCTGCCTCCTGAGTCCCAGCTGATGACTAGAGGGAAAAAAACTGTCTAAACTCTTGCTGTGGGGCTTCAAAGGGCCGCCCTTCAGCTGATCAGTGTTAAAAGCAAACAAATATGTTGGTTACCACCTTTAAAGCGCTCCATGGCATCGGGCCTGGATATCTTCGAGACCGCCTGCTGCTACCGACGACCTCCCATCGTCCCGTGCGCTCCCACAGAGAGGGCCTCCTCGGGGTGCCATCAGCCAAACAGTGCAGGCTGGTGACCCCCAGGGAGAGGGCCTTCTCTGTGGGGGCACCCACCCTCCAGAATCAGCTGCCCCCAGAGATAAGGAGAATCCAAGACCTCGGTGCCTTCCGCCGTGCCCTTAAAACCCACTTTTTCCAGCAAGCCGGGCTGGCTTAGGAAGAAATTTTTTTAAATTTTTAAATGTTTAATTGGTTTGTGGTTTTTTAAATTTTGGGCCAAATTTATATAGATTTTAATTGTTTTTAATATTCGTATTTCATGTTTTTAATTCTGGCTGTGCACCGCCCTGAGTCCTCAGGGAGAAGGGCGGTATATAAATTGAAAATAAAAAAAATAAAAAAATAAATGAGTTGGGTCGTAAGTGCGAGGACTGGTCGTAAGTGCGAGGACCTTCCAGAAATGACTGACCAGCTAGCCACGCCCACCTAGTCACATGACCTCCAAGCCACACCCACAAAATAAGCCACGCCCACAGAACCGGTAGTAAAAAAAATTTAGAACCCACCCCTGAGTTTAGGGTGTTGTGCGAATGAAGCCAACACGAGTGTTTAATAGAGTTTGTCTTCGCAACCTGGGCAAATTTAAGAGGAGTGGGCTTCAAGACCCAGAATTCCACAGCCGGCCTGCTTTAAGAACGGAAGACTTCAACTGCTGCACAATGCTGACTGATATTTAAGTGATTGTCTACTAGGACTCCTGGATCCCTCCGGCAGTTACTACTGTTGAATCACATACCTTACTTTTCTCATCGCTGAGTTCCATTTTGTTAGATAGGACCCTGGGTTCAAGTCCTTCAATATCTTTTTGGCTCTTGAGCAGGGGTGAAATGTAAAATGTGTCACTACCGGTTCTGTGGGCGTGGCTTGGTGTGTGGGGAGGGTAATGTGACTGAGTGGGCATGGCCAATTTTTTTTTTTAACTTTTAAAAGCATTTTTTCGTCGGAAGAGGTTGTAGAAAAAATGCTTTTAAAAGTAAAAAAAAAAAAGCCTCTGATGATCCTGTGGCTCAGCTAAGCATGGTGGTGGTGGGGGGCTGCAGGGATTTTTGCTACCGTTTCTCCGAACCACCCGCTGCCATCGCTACCGGATCGGGCGATCTGGTTGGAACCGGGAGCATTTCACCCCTGCTCTTGAGCCTGTCTTCTGGAGGCTTGGCTATTCCTGCCCACTTGGTGTCGTCTGCAAATTTGATGACTTTCCCTGCTCTCCCCTCCTCTAAATCAGGGGTCCACAACCTGTGAGTCGCAAACGGTTTGCAACCGAGCAGCAGAAATTTCTGGCGACCACACGGGTGCACCTTGCAGCCTCGGTTGCATGAGAAGTGGGCGAGCGCATGCCTGTTCCATTTAAATGAGCAGTTGGCGCGCGTGCACGCTGCTTGTGCAAATGAGCTGTGTGCACGTTTGTTGGCCACTCGCGTAGCACCATCTCCTCTCTCCTCCCCGCCGCAAAACCGCAAACATTGCTGAACTCTGATCCCAATTGTTGATGACTCCGTGTCCTTGCCTTGTTGCAGGTCCCGTTGCTGTTTGATGACGCCGCCTGCAGTTTCTCGGAGCAAGAGTGGAGGGGCCTCAATGAAAGCCAGAAGGACCTGTACCGCCACATCATGATGCACAACTACCAGGCGGTGGTCTCCGTCGGTAAGAGCGGGCTGGTCGTCAGGGCTGGGCCCACAGTGATCAGCTGCGCGACTCAAACTTGCCAGGCGGCTGCGTGCAGATCGGAGCACAGATCCGTAGCGGCTCGGTGGTGTTGTGGCTGGGTTCTCCCATCACAGGATGGTTGTGTATCTTTACTTGGAAATGGGCCCTGGGTGTCCATCTTGGGGTTCCATCGACCTCCATTCCCCATTCTGATGTCTTCTGAATCCAAAGCGAGTAGACCATTAGCCCTCAACATACAATCACAATTCTGCCCAAAATTTTCTTTGCTAAGCGAGACGGTTGTTCAGTGAATTTTGTCCTGATTTTACAACATCCCTTGCCACGGTGTATAAGTGAATTGTTAAGTTGCAGTTGTTAAGTTAGTAACAGCGTCATTAAGTGATGAAGTGACTCTGGCTTCCCCGTTGATTATGCCTGTCAGAAGGTTGCCGAAGGGAATCACGTGATCCTGGGACACTGTAACTGTCATAAATACAAGTCAGTTTGCCAAGCATTGAAATTTTTGATCACATGATCATGGGGATGCTACAAGGGTCATAAGTGTGAAAAACGGTCATAAGTTATTTTCCTCAGGGACGTCACTATGAATGGTCCCTAAATGAACGGTTGTGATGCTGTCATTTCCTCCGCAGACACGGCCATCTCCAAACCGGAACTCCTCGCCCGGATTGAGCAAGGAGAGGTTTCGGAGCAGACCGACAGCAGGGACGGACAGCAGACTGACCCCCGTGAAGAGTCCGGATTGGGGAACCGGCCAGGTGGGTGGGGCCACTTCACACCCCTCTTCAAGCATACTGGCTGGGAATTCTGGGAGTTGAAATCCAATTGTTTTAAAGCATGCTGGCTGGGGAATTCTGGGAGCTGAAATCCACCCACTTTGCATTCTCAGAGTTTCAAAAACGCTGATTTAGCTAATGGAACACGGAGAGGGGAAGTGGAGTATGGGGATCTAGGAGTGATGATCCTCCTCTTTTCTCCCTTGAACAGGATCACCAAGTTCTGCTCTCCGTGGGAGTTCCTGGATTAAGGAAGAAGATCTGTCTCTCGTCAAAAGCATGGGGACTTTAGAGGACAGAGAAATCCCTGGGGAGTGCACCATGGGTAAGAGAGGAGGCGGGACACCGGGGAAGGAGGGAGGAGGAGGTGACCAGTTAAACATTTGGAAAACCACTTGGGAACATTCCCAGGGAAGGGTGGTGTCCGGCTGTCTTCGGGAATCAGGAACGCCGGATCAGCCCCAGCTCCTATTTGAAGCAAAGCCAGAACTGAGGTTCACACACCAAAGGTATAGTTTACTAAAGGACAAGCGAAATACAATAAAGCAAAGACAGATCTGAGGTTCACATGCCAAATCCTTAGGTATAACTTTTCCCTCCCAGATATTTCCCATAGCTGGTTCCCCCCATCGTCCAAAACAGTGTGTAGGGTTTCTGAGAGGTATGTGATTCACTTCCTCCAAGCTTCCCCCTCCCTATCACCCTTCCCCCCCCCCACCAGGGTCCGTGACAAACTGACAATGAATGCGAAGCGCAGGCATGAGGTGGCCATTGTGACAATGAGTTTAGTGAGAGGAGGAATTTGGAATTGGTGGTTCGACGGTCCTCACCTGGCACTCTCTTTCACCAGGCAAGATGGCCTTTTTCTGTGTCTTGTTAGATGTGACTTGCCCAGCTGGGAAAATGTGTGAGTGAAGGGCACACCAAGTGGTCAGGAAGGAAGTCCCCCCCCCAGGGGTTACCAACCTCGGAGCCACGGTGAGGTGTTTGCAACCAGGTCGCAGAAGTGATAGGTGCAGACGCATCCCCACCTGTGTGAGCAGCAGGAGAGCACGTGCACACACGCTCCATTTGCATAAGCGGTGGATGCGCGTATACGCCGTGCATGCAAATTGAGGTGTGTATGCATTCACTGTTTTTATTTATTTATTTATTTATTTTTCATATTTGTATACCGCCCTACTCCCGAAGGACTCAGGGCGGTGAAACAGCCATAATAAATACAAATACATATAGAAGTTAAAAACTATTAAGAAACAGATTAAGTAATTTAGGCTCAAAGATTAAAAACATCCAAATTTATCTAAAGAGGTTTAAAACCCAATTTAAAAGCCAGTTTAAAAGCCAATTAAAAAGGGAGAGTTAGGCCAGACCAGCCTGTTGGAATAAAAACGTTTTTAGGGCGCGGCGGAAGATGCGTAAGTCTTGGATCCTCCGTATCTCCGGGGGGAGCTTGTTCCAGATGGTGGGTGCCCCCACAGAGAAGGCTCTCCCCCTGGGGGCCGTCAGTCAACATTGTTTGGCCGACGGCACCCTGAGGAGCCCCTCTCTATGGGAGCGAACTGGCCGGTGAGAGGCTATTGGTGGCAGGAGGCGGTCTCGTAAGTACCCTGGTCCTGAGCCATGGAGCGCTCTAAAGGTGGTAACCAAAACTTTGAAGCGCACCCGGAAGACCACTGGGAGCCAGTGCAGCTCGCGCAGGAGGGGGGTTACATGAGAGCGCCACATTGCTCCTGTCACCACCCGCGTGGCCGCATTCTGGACCAGTTGGAGCCTTCGGGTGCTTTTTAAAGTTTTTTTAAGTTTGCCAGTAACTTGTGCAGAATCATCCCCTCTCAATCTTCAAGGCCGGAAAGGTTGAGGAACTCCATCCTGGCCGATCTCTCAGCTCATATGATAATCCGAGCAGGAGATGGCAGCATGGTGCGTGCAGAAGAAGGGAGAGGAGACCTTACCTCTATAGACAGGCCTGCTGGGCGCATCCCTCCTCTGTCACCTGTGTCCTGTTTTTCGCCAGGTGCTCCTCAGCTGCTGGAGGATGATGTGGACAACCTCTTCCCCCACAAGTGGACGGAAGTTTTCCAGGGTCCCGGAGAGGAGCTGCTGTGCGAGAACCAGCCTGTCTCCGTTACCCTGCCCAAGAAGCCCCTCCAGTGGTCCGTGCAGGGGCTGCCTGAGACACAGAAAGAGGATTTGGTCACGTCAGCCGAAGCTCAGACAGGCCCCTTCATCTGCTGCGAGTGCGGAGAAGGATTTGTAGACAGGCAGCTCTTTGCCAGCCACCAGAAGACCCATGGCGGAAGTGGGGTTTACTTTGTGCCAGAGCTTAAAGGAAACCCGGAGGTTAAGCTCACTCCCTTCGCTATCCACAGGGCCCCAACTCCTGCCCGTCCCAAAGTGCATAAGCGCCCTGAGCCGCAGAGGAGCCCAACTGCAAAACCCGGCGCAGTGAAATGTCCCGGGAACCACATGGTGGAGCGTCCGTACACGTGCACCCAATGCAAGGAGAGCTTCAAGCTGGAGGTGAGCCTGCTCCTTCACCAGAAACTCCACGCGGGGAAGGGAGACGGGCCACTGACCTGCACCTACTGCGGCAAGGATTTCCGGGACCTCTCCAAAGCCGTGCGTCACCAACGGATCCACACGGGCGAGCGTCCGTATCAGTGCACAGAATGCGGGAAAAGCTTCATCCGGCGGGACCATCTGCTGAAACACTGGCGTGTCCACACGGGCGAGACGCCCTACCAGTGCGCCACCTGCGGGAAGAACTTCCGCTACAAGGAGTCGCTGAACTGCCACCAGAAAATCCACACCCGCAACCCCACCGTGCACCACCTGATGTTGGGAACGCAAGCAGGGCTGATGGGCCTGAAACCCGAGCAGCCGTAGCGTTGCCCGTGCCCAGCTGAAAGGGATGTGCCAGCCCTTAGGGAGTGCCCCATTGGGGTGGTGGTGGGGTAATGGACTCTTGGGGGCACAGGAGCGTTGATTGCCTTCTCCGTCCTGCACTGGGCACACCTGCTGGATGCCAACACATAAGCTGTGTGCTGCTCCTGTGCAAGAGTCATGTGCCAGTTGCACTTGAGTGGGCTGCAAAGGTCTTGTAGCCCACCCACCCTGCGCCTCCTTGCATGCCTGGGAGGGGGAGTTAAGACAGGGCCTGCAAATACCCCGTGTTGCTCTCTCCAGACCCCCCTCATATTCCACTCATTTCTTTGCCACGTCCACTTGCCCTACGATCTGCTTTGTGGCGTATACCCTCTACACACACATATCAACGTACTCCAGAGGTTGGCAAAATGGTGATGGGCCATAGCAAAAAGCAAATTGATTGTCCTTCGATCCTGCCCACTCAAGATGGGGGTCCCAGTCCTCCCACACCTCCGCAGAACTGGAAACACCCACCCGCACCCATTTCCCAAGTCCTTGTTCTTAGTCGGTGTGTCTGTCCGTCTTCTCTGTTTTACTTTTGAAACCGTGTCTGGTTCTTTGCCGAGGGCTCGCGTCCGAGCGAGAAAAAACTTAAGCCAGTGGTCCTGGCAGCTCTCCACTTGACGCCCAGCACTTGCATTGTGTGGTTTCACAGTGTGATGTCCCAGCAGGATTTTGTGTTGCCTGGCTCCCCAGTTCTTGCACACTCCGAGATTGCAGAGATCTGCCCTCCATCGCTGTGGTGGTGTTGGTTGTTTTTCTTTCAAGGTATCTGTAAATATCGGTTGAGTTAGCTATGAATTGCCCTGTTGTTGAGCTCAATTGTCGGCCAAAGTGACTGTGAGAAACCAGCTTTTCTTCTGTGTGACGTCCGGTGTTTGGTCTGTGGCTACAGTTTTGGGGGTGGTTGTTGGTTTTTGTATCACCTTCTTTGGCAAAACATGTCAGTTCGGTGTGTCTCTCCCTGACGTCTTTGTCATCTGTGGGTTTGGGGTTGGGTCGTTTGACTACTCTTAAGTGTGAGAGATTTTGTGTCTCAGACCAGCTATCCTGAAGCTCCCCATCCTATACAAATAGTCCTCAACTTAACGACCGCTCAATTAGCGACCATTTGAAGTTCAGATGGACCTATTAGGGGCTTATCAATAGTCCTCAACTTACAAGAATTCATTTAGTGACTTGTTGCAACAGCACTGAAAAATTACTTAAGAGTTTTTCACACTTACAACAGTTGTAGTTTCTCCAAGGTCATGAGATCAAAAGTGGCAACTGACTCCGATTTATGACCGTTGTTGTGTCCCAAGATCATGCGATCCCATTTTGTGACCTGCTGACAGACCAAGTCGATGGGGAACCCGGATTCACTCAACCACCGCTTAACAACCACAGGGATTCCCTTAGCAATGCCGGCAAGGGAGGTCGTAAAAATGGGGCAAAATTCATTGAGCAACTGACTTGTTCAGCCGCTGAAATTTTGGGCTCCATTGTGGTCGTATTAATATTATTTATTATTATTTATTGAATTTGTATACCGCCCTACTCCCGAAGGACTCAGGGCGGTGAACAGCCAAAAGATAAAATACATATAATACAAATGTTAAAAAAACATTAAAATTCAATTAAATAATTTGGCCCAGAAAATAAAATTTAAAACACCCCAAATTTATAAGACAAATATAAAATTTAAAAAATTTAAAAACAGTTTAAAAAAGAGGTTAGGCCAGGCCGGCCTGCTGGAATAGGAATGTTTTGAGGGCGCAGCGAAGGGTGCGTAAGTCTTGGATCTTCCGTATCTCCGGGGGGAGCTCGTTCCAGATGGCGGGTGCCCCCACAGAGAAGGCTCTCCCCCGGGGGCTGCCAGTCGACACTGTTTGACCAACGGCACCCTGAGGAACCCCTCTCTATGGGAGCGAACTGGTCAGTGAGAGGCTACTGGTGGCAGAAGGCGGTCTCGTAGATACCCAGGTCCTAAGCCTTGAAGCGCACCCGGAAGACCACCGGGAGCCAGTGCAGCTCGCGCAGAAAGGGTGTTACATGGGAGCGCCACGCTGCTCCCATAACCATGGGAGGACGCATCATCCTCAACTTACAACCGTTCATTCAGTGACTGTTTGAAGTTCTGATGGGCCTATCGGGGGGGAGGGGAGGTGTTTACTTACGACTTATATTCAAAATTCGCATGATGGCCTTCCCCCCCCCGATCACATGACCAAATTTGGGCGTTTAACACCTGAGCGGTGTTTATGATAATTTCCAACAGTCCCGTGACCTTGTTTAATGACAGTTTTTCTGAACGACGACAGTGTTTGTTTTGCAACCAAGGTGGTCCCTCAATGACCACAGCATTCACCTAACCACCTTAAAATCGGCCCCGGGCACATTAATGACCTACTACATCAGGAGTTACAACCATGATGGGCAGCTGTTTCTGTTACCGTCGTAACTCGAGGACTGCCTGTACGTTCTTCTCTGGTAAAAACGGTTGGGATCCACTTCCCGACGTGGCTTCCCCAAATCTGGTGGGTTAGACTGCAATCGATCCCCCCCCCCGGATAGGAAGAGAAGACCCCCAAAAGCATCTGGAGTTGAGTTTACCATAGTTGGGCAGAAACCAGGTTCGAATCCAGGAAGCACGGATTTCGGGACATGTTCAAACAACACAGGTCTCAGAATTTTGGCAGTCAGGTTCTGAAATAGTAATGCTAGCAGTACCTCCATTTCTGTCCAATTGCGGAGGGTGTGTGTGTGTGGTTTTCCTAGCCTGGACAACTCCACCCTCTGATTGGTCTTTTGGGGAAGAAAATGGAGTTTACCGGAGGGGAACCAACCTATCCGGCAGGTAAGGGAAGATCCTATTGTTGCAAATATCGGGGATCGTCCTTCAACCTAGTATATCAGATAGGATTAGAATCATGTTCTTCAGGTTTGGTGACCCTCCTGGGCATCCATATTTCCATGGTAGCAAAGATATCCTGCCTGGGGGATTCTGGGAGTTGAAGTCCACACACCTTCAAATTGTCCAGCTTGACAAATGCTGGATTAGCTCTAAATTCCTATTTTCCCCCCCTCTGTAACACTAAACTGGGGGCTCTCAGGCCACGGATTTTTGTCACGTTCTCTCCTTTTTAAGGCAAGGTGTCGGGCCCAGCCAGTACAGTTGTCCTCAACTTACGACTGTTCACTTTGCAAGCATTCAAGGTTACAATGGACATTTTCCACCCCCCCCCCCCAAAAAAAGATACTTATAACCCAGTTCTGAAGTTCCAACTCCAAGGTCATATGATTTGGGCACTGGACCTGCATTTATATGTCTCAATCTACAACAGTTCGCTTAGCAACCGTTCAAAGTTACGACAGCAGTGGAAAAAAGGGGCTTATGGCCGTTTTCACTCTTAGCGATGGTTGCAATGTCCCCTTGGTAATCGGATCAAAATTCAGAGGCTTGGCAACTGGCTCGTCTTTATGATGATCCCCTTTTGTGACCTTTGCTTCGGGGTGGGGGTGGGGAGGTGGATTCACTTAACGACTGTACGAGTAATGTAACAATTGCAACGATTTACTTGAGAATGTAAAAAGGGGCAGGATTCACTGAATGACCATGGCAAGATGGGTCATAAAACAGGACAAAACTCACTACAGTCTCACTTATCAATGGTTCCATTGTGGTTGTAAATTGAGGACTACCTTTATTCTAGGCAGGTGCTCAATCTTTGATTTGAAGCCCACTTAACCCCCCCCCCCACCTTCTCCACAAGCCCCCTCCCCATAAATCTGCCGTGGGTCCAAGATCCTTTGAATCAACATTTCAACCAAGCCAGAAGTAATATGGAGGGGGGTGGGAATGTGTGGGAGCCCCTCACCCAGCACAACTACATTTGGGGAGGGGGAAACCGAAAGAACTTGGGGACCCCATTATCCTTGAGGCTGGACTTCAGGGGGAACGCAGCCCCTCTCGTGCAGCTCCAATTTGGAAAGGATTTCACAGCCCAAAAGTACAGAGCTGCTGTCTTTGGCAAAGCTTCCTTGGTCAGGATTCTAATTCGGGCCCATGATTTTTCTTGCTTCTCCTCTTTGGCCACAGACGCTCCCCCCAAAAACTGCCTTTTAGGAGGCTGAAAAAGCCAGATCATCCGCCTGGACCGTCCTCTGGCTGAGCGCGCATGGAGGTCGAAAGGGGGACTCCAGAGACCATCTATCTAGTCCAGTGTTTCTCAACCTTGGAAGCTTAAAGATGGGTGGACTTCAACTCACTGGCTGGGGGATTCCGGGAGTTTGAAGTCCACCCATCTTCAAGCTTCCAAGGTTGAGAAACAGTGATTTAGTCCAAGAGGAGGAGGAGGAAAAGGGGAAGGAGAAAAGGAGGAGAAGGGGAAAAGCAGGAAGAGGAGGAGGGGACATTTCCACCGGTTCCCACCGGGCAATCTTTTCTAGCCAAGACCACCCACCCTAACAGCGGGGGTATTCCTCCCCACACGCCCTTAAATGCGCTCCCAGGTGCGGCTACAGGCTCCGGCCAGGTGCGATCCGTGGGCGGTCTGGACGAGGCGGGGGCGCCCGGTTGCTGCTGCGGGTGCGCGGCTCCTCCTCTTCCTTCGGAGCCCCCCCTTCTCCGCCGCCGCCCCTCCGCAGCCCCAGCTTAGCCCTAGCCCACCGCCCAGCCCGGGAAAAGCCATGGAAACACCGTGGGAACCGAATTTTCAGGTATTTCGCACTCCGGAGCGCACCGGTACCATCTCCTGTTCTCGTCCCGATCTGGAGAGATCAAGGTTCCTCCAGCAACGCTCCTCTCTCCTTCACTCCAGGGTGAGCCCACCCTCCGAAACCCTTGGGGCGCTCTGCGTACGCTCAGAGACTCGCTGGCACCCCCCCCCTTTTGGCCCTCCCAGGGAGAAAAGCCTCCCCACGAAAATTGGGAGTGGGGGGAGGGCAAACAGAAAGAGCTCTCCCCCCCTCTTTCCCCAGCTGGCAGCCAACGGGAAAGTCGGATGTCGGGATTTGCCACTTTGTAATTTAGACATTTGGGTATTTTTAAAAAACCTAACCAACAAACTCCGATTGCGGGAAGCATTTTTCTTTTTCTTTTTTAAACCAGGAATCGTGCTTTGTAAGCGGAAGTGGGTATTGTCACTGTTTCTCCGTGGGGACTTTAGGGATCACTGTTCCCCCCCTGCTAAACCAGGAATTGTGGTTTGTACGTGAAAGACTTACAAGAGTTCATTTAGCGACCATTCAAAGTTACAACGGCACTGAAAAAAGGGACTTAGGGCCGTGTTTCACACTTACGACCGTTGCCGCCTCCCTATGGTCACATGATCAAAATTTAGATTTTTGGCAACCAGTTTATATTTATGTCAGTTGCAGGATTCCTGGGGTCTCGCGAATCCCCTTTGGCAGCTTTCTGACGAGCAAAGTCAATGGGTAAATCCAGATTCACTTTGCGACCATGTCATGGACTGAAGAACTGCAATGATTCACTTAACAACAGTGGCAAGAAAAGTTGTAAAAATGGAGCAAACTCACTTAAGAAATGTTTCATTTAGCAACATAAATTTTGGGCTCAATGCCGGTCGTAAACCCCCTGGAATTGGGAACAGAATTTTGGTGGCTAAGCAAGGCAGGTTACTAAGTGACTCGCATCTGAGTTTAAGACCTTTTTTTAGCCATGATTGTTCAGTGAATCAGTGCAGTGGTTAAGTGAATCTGCTGGTCATTAAGTGAATCTGACTTGCCTTTGTCGTTGCTTGTTGGAAAGTCGCAAAAGTGACCCCGGGAGACCAAAACAGTTGTAAATTCATACTGGTTGCCTAATAAAGGTAGTCCTCGGTTTACAGCGCTTCATTTAGTGACCGTTTGAAGTTACCAAAAGTGTCTTATGACTTTTTCCCACTTACAACTGTGGCAATCCATGGTCACATTATCGAAATTTGGATTTATACGGTTGCAGTGTCCTGGCATCATGCCATCCCCATTTTGTAACTCCGACAAATAACCACAAAGGGGCAAGCCGGATTCACTTAACAACTGCCAGATTCACTTAAGACTGGACCAATTCGCTGAACTGTCGGTGGGGAAGCCATAGTTCGTCATTATCCATGTTACCGACTTTACAGCCGCCGGGATTCGCTGAACAACAGTGGTGTGAACAGTCAAAAAATGGGGAAAGAACACTTCACAAGTCTCTTCGCTTAACCACAGAAATTGGGGGCCCATTGCGGTCGTGTATCGAGGACTCCCCGTACCCTGATTTGGAGGACATGATGGTTGTAAGTGTGAGGACTCCCCTCTTTTCAGTGCTGAATGGCCGTGAAGCAAATATTTCTTAGGATTTGCCGTAGAGGCTCATGCTCAGAGAGCAGGGGAAGAGGGTTTGGGTGGTCTTTATTGACCGTTTCCGCCCCCAGTGGAACCCAGCTGTCCTGCCGCCGCCACCACCAGGATTCTTCTGGATGCCCCCAAAGCCGGGATGCGAACCGGCGTCCCACCGCCAAACGACCGAAATCTCCTTCTGGACGTTGCTGGCAGCCATGCAGGCGATGGAGAGGAAAGTGGATGTTCACACGGGACAGCTCCGGACGCTGCGACGGCGGGCCGATCTGGCAGAGCACAAGCTCTCCGTGACGGAGAAGGTGGTGACCGACTTCATGCCCCATCTGGACGCGCTGGAGACGATGGTTCGGGCCTTCGGGCAGCTGCACCAGCGGGTGGAGAAGATGGAGGAGAGGTTGAAGAATGAGAACTTCTGGGTGCTGAATGTCCCACCAGGCACCGGAGGGGAAACCCTGCAGGTTAGAATCCCCAATTCTCATCTTCTCATTGGCCATCTTCCAAGTCAGTCTCCCCAGCTTCTGACCTCACCCCACAGGAATGTCCCCCCTCCCATCCCATCTCCTAGGGGATATTATCTACAGAGAAAATAAGTAGGTGAAAAGTCAAGCCTCGTCTCCTCCTTTTTATGGTAGCATCAGAATGCTGACAGACAGGATGGAGACATCCAGCGGTACCTGCAATTGTGGCTTGAGCAATGAAATAAACTACGTTTGATGGGGTTGGTGGCAAGGGCAGAATAGGACCTCTTGGAGTGAGGGTTGAGGGCGAGGAGGTTTTCGGACCCAGTCCTCGCTTGAATCCTGAACAACATATCAGAGTTGTGATCTGTCTGTCTGTCTGTCTGTAATCTATCTCTCATCTCCCACTCTATCTATCTCCCATCCATCCATCCATCCATCCATATCTATCTATCCAGATAACTCTTATCTTTCTCTCTCTCTCTCTCTCTCATTTATCTATCTCTATGTTTGTCAGTCTATGTATATCATCTATCCATGTCTGTCTGTCTGTCTGATCTATATACCTACCTACCTACCTATCTACCTATCTCTCTATCTCTCTATCTCTCTATCTATTTATCCCATCTATCTCATGTATCTCTATCTCTATTTCTACAGTCGCCTATCTTCGCAAACAACACTGGGCTGTTCACAATTTTTAAAAAAATTACAATTAAAACCTTAAAATTATTTCAAAACACTAAAAAAAAAAATTGTAAAAACAAACTAACGCATTAAAAGGAGGAATGCAAGGAGACTCACAAAGTCAGACATTTCACTCGCTTTCATTCTGCTCTTGCAGTAGCTGTGGATATTGTTATTTACTGAAAAATAAGACAGTTCAGGAAATGGGTAACACTTGTAGAAGGAGAGCATGGATGTAATGTCTGTCAGATTCAGACAGGCAGGGTGTTGTGTCCCAGGCCCACGTAGTTGATATTAAATGCAAAACAGTTCCAAAAAACAAACAGATTTTATTAAAACAGCTGAGAATTAACTCGTTCTCAGCGTATTCCAAATTAAATGAAAGCAAAGACCTCAAAACACCAGTCTTTAGTTTATCTCTGACCTTGGGATAATGAGGCAAACTGCCAAAGGCTTTTCTTGGCAACAGTTCAGGAACAGAAGAAATAACTACAGCCAAATACGAAGCAAATCTCTCAACGGTTGTTTTCCGGCAAAGAGGCCAAAAGCCGTTGCTGGTCTTTTAAGCCTTATGGGAGGGGCCAATCATCTCTTGGCCTTACTCCAGAGTCGTCCTCTCTGCTTTAGCTGTTCCTGCCTTCTGGCAGCTCTTCTCATGCGTGCACTAGGAACAGGCTCCTCCTGTTCCTCTGCCTCTCTGCTGTCAGCCTCTGGAGGCTCCGGAGTCCGCGCATCGCTCCTCGATGGTCCTGGCCCCATCTCTGCCTCCGACGCAGAGCCCTCGTCCGAACCTTCCCCAGCCTCCAGGACTGGCCCATGTTCTTCTTCAGCCTCATCGCTGTCCGACTCCGCTGCCAGCTCTGCAGGCTGCTGGCGGACCACAACACTGCCAACTGCCTCTGTGTGTGGGGGGGGGGCTTAGATATGGGGTGGCTGGTCCCAGGAGCGGGGCGCATTTTGGGGGGAAACCACACCCTCCCCAGCTGATCTAGGATCTCCCGGCTTCCATATTCAGGTTCCTGTGAACTTCGGCAACGTCTCGGATTACTGCTCGGAACAGGAGTGCAAGGACTCGAACTCTGGTCCAAAGGAGCGCCAGAAGACTGCGGAGTCCTTGGTTTCAACGGGTAAAGGGGGTGAGGGGTGGGTGGGCCAAGTCTCGGAGGTGACCTAAATAAATTGGGATTAGGTCTCATCCTACCTGGAAAGTTACACCTGGCCTATTGTGTTGGGTGAACAAGAAGGGACAGAATCTCAACTTAGCGACCATGAGAAAAAAAAATTAGTCCTCAACTTCTGACCGAGGTTAGCCTCGAAACATCCATTGCTAAGCTTGACGGTTGGGAAGTTTCCCCCATGTTTTATAAGCTTTCCTTCCCTGTTTGTTCAGTGAATCGTGGCAGTTCTTCCATTGGAACATGGTCATTACGGAAGAGGCTTCCCCCCTTGACTTTGCTTGTCAGAAGGAGATCGGCAACAGGGATCACGCAATCCAGGACACTGCAACCATCATAAATTCAAGTCCATTGCCAAGAATCCGAATTTGGATCACGTCGAAAATTTGTCAGAAATAGGAAAACTGAAACAATCTTGAGTTTGGGGACCGTTGCAGTTAAAACGGCACTGAAAAAAAGGGACTTATTGCCATTTTTCACACTTATGACCATTGCAGATCCCTGTGGTCACGTGATCAAAATTCAGATACTTGGCAATGGGGTCGTATTTATGACGGTTCTGTCCTGGGATCATGAGATCATCTTTTGCGAACTTCCGACAAGGAAAATCAACAGGGAAATCCAGATTCACTTACCGACAGTGAATCTGTTACTAACTTGACAAATGCAACGATTCACTTAACAGCTGTAGCAAGAAAAGTCATAAACCGGAGGAAGACTCACTTAGCAAGGGAAATGTGGGGCTGAATTGTGGTCATAAGACTGGCTTAAGTGCTGGATGCCTTGAACCAATGAGAATTTTCATGCCCTTTCTTCTTTTCCTTTCCTTTTCCATTTCCTTTCCTTTCCTTTTCCCTTTCCTTTCCTTTCCTTTCCTTTCCTTTTCCTTTCCTTTCCCTTTCCTTTTTCCTTTCTTTCCTTTCTTTTCTTTCCCCTTCCTTTCCTTTCCCCTTTATTTCCTTTCCTTTCCTTTCCTTCTTTGCTTTGCTTTGCTTTCCCTTTCCCATTTCCTTTCCTTTTCTCCCTCTCTCTCTTTCCCGTTCCCTTCCTTTTCCCTTCCTTTCCTTTCCTTTTCCCTTCCTTTCCGTTCCCTTCTTTCCTTTCCTTCTTTCCTTTTCTTTTCCTTTCCCATTTCCCATTTCCTTTCCTTTTCTCCCTCCCTCCCACTTTCCTTTCCCTTTCCCATTTCCTCTCCTCTCCTTTCCTCTCTCTCTCTTTCTCCCTATCTTCCCTCCCTCCAGATTGTGCTAGTTCAAAATCTGGTTCATTGTCCCCGACGGAAGGTGGGGCACCTTTAAGTGGCAAGCATCGAGGACCCTCTGGTGAAGCAGAAGACATCCAAAAAGACAGAGCAGGTAATTTTCAGGGAATCCATTCCCATGGGCGACAATTCCAAAAGCATTCCCAAATGCTTTGTTTTCTGATTCTTTTCCCTAGAAGCTGCTATTCTCTTGCCGACATCTGCCATAGCTGAGTCAGAGCCTGGAAAACTGGATCAGTTCAGCCCCTCACCTGGGTCTTCGGAACATGAAGTGTTGCCCTCTTCAGTAGAGGGCTTGGTGCCGGTTGATAGCAGGACCGGTGCACTAGAACAGTCAGCTGAATCTACAGGAGATGTCGCAAATTTCACCACCATCGTCGTCCAGGAAGGGGTGCTTCCCGGCGAAGCGCCATATGTGTGTCCCGATTGTGGTAAGAGTTTCTTGTATGAGGAACAGTGCGCCTTGCATCAACAATCCCATCTCCAGGTCTCTCCAGACCGCAGGGACAGTCCCACACAACATCCCCAGCCAGAGGTCAGGGCGTATACCTGTCCGGATTGTGGGCGCTGGTTCCCCCACCAGGCCAGCCTGAGCAAACACCGCCTTTGGCACACGGGCGATCGGCCGCACACTTGCGCTGTGTGCAAGAAGACTTTCCGGCTGAAAATCAACCTGCACCTTCATGAACGTACTCACGCGGTCGCCAAAAAAACTGGCTATTACATCTGTGGCCAGTGTGGCCGGGCTTTCAACCACCACTCGAATTTCTTACGCCACCAGATGATCCACACCGGGGAGCGGCCATACACCTGCGGGGAGTGCGGGAAGACGTTCATCCGTAAGGAGCACCTCGCCACCCATGGGCGGCTGCACACGGGCGAGAGGCCCTACCGGTGCCCGCTCTGCCCAAAGAGCTTCACCCGTAAGCAGCATCTGGTGGGACACCAGCGCCTACATGAGGGGGAGGCAATTTGGCTGGAAAATCAGCCCACTCAGACGAATGGGCATGGCCAACAGGGTGGAATCGGGGTCCGGGCAGATGATGTAGAGTCTGGACTCGGACAAGAGACATATCCCCCGTAAACCGTTCAGCAGATCCCAAGGGAGAATCAGATGGGGGGTGGCGGCTGGGAAACAGAGTTTAGGCAGCCATCTTGAACCAAGCACAGGACTGTTATTGGTCACATCCTTGATCCCCAGAGCTGGAGGCAGAAGGGGCTCAAGACCCATGATGATAACAAGAGTAGGAAGGGAGCATGGAAGTCTTCTAGTTCAGCTCCATGCTCAAGCAGGAGACCCTATCCCATTCTGGACCAATCTCTCCTTACATGACCGATTCCTTGACCTTTTCTGAGACCTAGGTACAGAGTGGGTCAAAAAAGTCAAAATGGCCACCTGCCCCATCGTGATTTTTACCCTCTCTTGCCAATACTCTTGACAGGAGGCTCTAATGTTGTTGTGTTCAGTTCCTGGAGGTTGAGTTTTTAATTCTCTGTTTTCATCCCAGGTTGACTTCCTCTGTGAGAGGAGGGAGATGGGGAATTCTGGGAGTTGAAGTCCACCCATGTTTAATTTGCCTAAGGTCAGGCGCGAAGAATCAGGACCACGCCTTAAATTCCAGGCTAAGCTGCTTTATTGCTCATGCCTAAATCGGTCGAATCCTTGACATACAACCAAAATTGAGGCCAACATTTCTGTGGCCAAGACAAAAGCTTGTTCAGTGATCTGTACCCCCATTTCTCGCCACCGTTTTAAGCGAATCTCCGCAGCTCAACACAATTGTTCAGTGAATCGGGATTTCCCGTTGAATTTGCTGGTCGGAAGGTTGCCCAGGGGAATCTCGTGATCCTGGGACACGGCTACTGTCATAAAGATGAGTCAGTTGCCCAACATCTGAGTTTTGATTACGTCTCCGTGGGGATGCTACAACAGTCATAAATGTGTCCCCGGGACACTGCAACCTGCCATAAATATGAGTCAGTTGTCAAATGTTTGAATTTTGATAACCTCAGTGCAGAGAGGTTACAACAGTTGTAAGTGTGAAAAACAGGTCTTTAGTCATCTTTTTTTCAGGGCTGTTGACATTTTGAATGGTCACTAAATGGAACTGTTTTAAGTCAAGGCCCACATTCATTATTGTTGTATATTGTACATTGCTCAGTATGTTTCTATGAGGGAGACGGGCGGTTCCTAACTGTGATACAAAAAAGAAATAAAATGAAATAGTTAATTAAATCAGTTTATATCTTGCAAATACTGTTACAAATAATTCTTCTGCAAAGCTGAATTACTGCTTTTTATTCATCAAGGGTGTTGAGATGGACAAAGTTGCAGCTCAATTCACATATAATGAGGCAACCAGGATGGGAAATTGTTCTTTTTTCTGATTGTGTGTATTCCAGCAAGCTAGGTCAGGTTGAATAATGTAACAGGAAGGGACATGCAAGTGCCACATAATTTATCTGCAATGGGTTGTTAAGAGGCCAATGGGAAGCAATCATACAATAAAATCCAAAATTCTCACTTAAGGACATGTGACCAGCTTGAAAATTATTGAATTTTCAAAACACAAGATACGAAGACAGCACTGTAGGGTATGGAAGATACAGGAAGTCCTCAACTTAACGACCACAATTGAGCCCAACAAGACTGTTGTTCAATGAGTTTTGCCCCCCTTTGGCGATCTTTCTTGCCACCATCGTTAAGCGAATCACTGGAGTTGTTCGGTTAGGGACACGGTCGGGAAGCGAAGCTGGTTTTCCGGTGGGCTCTGCTTGTTGGAGAGTCGCAAAAAGGGGGCTCCAGCTGCACCAAAAAAAAACTATGTGGCGGCTGCAGGCTTCTTGCAGTGAAAATTATGACCTCCAGTTCTGCTCCGCTTCTTGTATGCACTGCTACCACCACCTTGTACTATGTGCCGGCCGCGCAGGTGCACCCTATTGCCTGCTGATCCCCTCTGCTCAGACTTGCTCGGGCAAGTCCGTCTGATGCAGCAGCAGGAGGCAATGGGGTGCCTAGTGGTGACGGCTCAGCCCTGGCTTGCCTTCCCTGGCAGCCAGCCACGAGAGCAAGGTAAGGTCGCGGCAGGGGGTCTGTTCTGTCCCCGTCTCACACACACACACAAACAGACAGCCGGGGGTTAAATAAACTGGCAGACAACCAATTCTTCCGATAAGACACTTGGCAGCAACCCAGTAGCTGCTTGCCAAGAACTTTTACTCAATAAACAAAATGCCCACAGTCAAGAATTGTCCAGTTCGTAAAATAAATCCAAGGCCGATAATGTTTCCAAAGATGCAATGTGCCTCGATAGTAATTAGTTTTGTCCATTGCAGAGTCTGAATGGCCACCTCACCCCCTTTTATACCCTGTGGGGTGTGGTCCAGTGACTCAGCCTAATCTCTGGCACGCCTTTTCTTCTGTTGCGCGCGCTTATCTCTGCGACGCTGCCGAGGATCCAGCCAAGACTCATTACCCTCATCACTGTCCACCTGTGGCTGCGTGGACATGCTTGGCCCCGGCCCTATCTCTTGCCCTTCGGCGGACACCGAAGGCATTGCCAGAGAGGAGGGTCCTGGAGAGGGAGGCCTTGCCAACTCTTCTCCTTCACTCTCGGAGTCCTCTCCTGCCGATGACACTGGCTCAGGTAACGGAGCCACAACAGGGACGACGAAAGAGGTGGTCATGGGGGAGGAAGTGAGAAGATTAAGGGCCAGGGCTCTGAAGGAGGGGAAATGGGGTGACACGTCGTGCTTAAGGGAGAGTGGGTGGTGAGTGGGCGGAGGCTCCAGGGCAAGGCCAGAGCTGGGGAATGGCGCATTCCCCACCCAGTCGAGGCGGACGGTGAGCGGGAGGCGGCTCTGGGGCAAGGCCGGAGCCGGGGAATGGCCGAGGCAGGCAGTGGCTCTGGGGCCTCGGTTAATGACATGTCCCTGGCCCCCGACCCAAGGTGAAGGGCGAGTGAGTGGCATGCATTGCTTACCTTTGGTGAGCTGTGCGAGTGAAGCAAGACAACTGGTGAGGCGAGTAGCTGGGTCACGTGGTGAAGCTTAGGCAATGTATAGGGCTGGAAGGGGTGAGCGTTTGAACAGGTGGGTGAGCACCGAGCTGGAGGGCGGGGCGAGCAAGTGGTGACTGGGCAGCCAGGCCGGGGTAGGGGGCAGGCAGGACCACCATAGGTCGCTACCAGTTTGGCGACCCAGCCCAAATTTCCCCTACCGGTTCACCTGAACCGGTGCAAACCACCTGTATACCAACTCTGGTTGTAAATCAAGGACTGGAGGATTTCCAGGATCCAAAATGGGGTAATTCAGAGGTAGGAAAATAGGGTAGCCTGGAATTACCCTTTTGCAGCATTGCAGGAAGAGCAGATTCTCCCTGGTCCTCCCCAACTGCAGTTCCCACTCTGTTCTGTGGCAGCGCCGCAGGCGGTGGCTGGAGGGGGTCACTCTTCCTGTCTGCACCACACTTTTCCCTCTCAAGAGGACAGCTTCCAGTGAAACCACATTGACGTTTCTGGCTCCCCATCGACCACGAGAAGAGGGTTCTGGCTTGCAAGAGGGGCTCGGAGCAATTGGCCCCACGAGGTCGGGATTCAGATTTTTGCCCCCTCCCCACACCTGCCTGCTTCATTTATTTAATACTTATTTAGTACCAATCTTTATTGATTTATTAAAGAATATTTTATTAAAGTTACTATATTCATAATATTAATAAAAAATACCATTAATATATTATCTATTTACATTATATAATTTATACATATATTTCACATATAAATTATATTACAATTTATATTACATTATTGCAATGTATATTTACATTCTATTAATATTGTTATTAAAATATAAAAATAACATCAATATTTCATCATTTAATTGTATAATATATTAATATTATGAATAATATTTAATATTTAACAAGAAATTAATATTGGTAATTTATTAATTAAACCATTAGTAAACATTGATAATATTTTCGTTTTTAGATTAAATTTTTTATTATAAATTATTTGCAGTGTTTAAGAATAATATACTTTAATAAATTAATATTAATTTATATGTAATATTAAGTAATATATATATATAATAAAATATATTTAATATTATCTATATGTATACATATTAAATATGAATATATCAATATTTTTATATGAATATATCAATAGTTAATATTTTTAGTATTAATACGGTGTTTTCCCCAAAATAAGACATTATCCCCTGATAATAAGCCCAATCGGGCTTTCGAGCGCATGGCAATAAGGCCAAGCGCTTATTTCAGGGTTCAGAAAAGTATAAGACAGGGTCTTATTTTTGGGGAAACATGGTATTAAAGTTAATGTTTTTAAATATTTTTAATTAAATTTATTATTCATTTGAACGGTTATTAAACCTGGATAGTATTCACAATGGTTTTTTTTTTAATCTTCATTTCATTTTATTTCCTCCTTGTTATTAATTTATCATTGAATTAATTCAGTTCCTTGGCAAATCGAATGGTCCATACTGGAGATGGAGAGATCAGCCCATCTCCTCCCTTGAAACGCAGCTCAGTTTCCCAGCTCCATCCCTCCCTCCCTCTTGATCCCATTTCTCCAACCGCCCGACTCCAATCGGGCCGGCTTCCCTGGCGATGAACACAAGATTTAATTTGGGGTGAGAAAAACCCAAAAGGGATCCGTGTAAAAATAAATAAAAGCCTAGCAAGGGCGCGTGCGTGTATCTGTGACATTTGACTGCGCGGGGGAACCGCACGTACAGCGGATCGTACTCCAACCTGAACTCTAGAGCGCCGGCGGTTTTGACGCAGCGGAGGAGCCCGTCTACGCAGGCGCAGCCGGGCAGGCAAAGCCATTCGGCGGTCGCAAGGACCCCGCGGCGCCTTCTCCTCCTCCTCCTCCCCCTCCTCCCTCCTCCTCCTCGCCCGGCTGAATCTCGTTGTGCGGCGCTGCGCCCCGTCGCGGGGGGGGGGGCAACAAAGGACCCGGGGGGGGGGGGCGCCGGCCCCGGGGGGGGGGGGGGGGGGGCGGGGGCGGGGGGGGGGGGGGTAAGAGGGAAGGAGCGGCTGTTCCCTCCTTGGGATGCCACCCCCTCCGCTGGGGCAGTGGCCGAAGCTGGACTGCTGCTTTTTTTCTTTTGCCAGTTCGGGGCCTGGCAGGGAGACTGTCCACTGCCTTTGGCTTAAGGACCCTCCCCTAAATATAGAGGGGATGGGGGTCCTTGGGCCAGGGTTTGACCCCCACTTGGAACCCCCCCAGGCTGGACTGCTGCCTGCCACCCTTCTTGGGGCTTGGCTTGGAGACTGGACGTCCGCTTCCAACTTTTCTTATTCCATTCCTATTTCCTTTTTCTTTCTATTTTCTTTCTGTTTATTTTATATTCTTCCCTTCTCCATTAATGCGTCCCACTCTATTCATTCTAATTCTGCAATGATTCTGTATTCTGTATTCCCTGAGGTTCGACCACCACGGAGCCCCGTGAAACGTTTGTTAAAGGAGCTTGTCCCGGTTTATGACTTTCCTTGCCTGGGCGGTTAATCGAGTCGTCGCATGGGTTAAATTACTCAGGCAGTGGTTAAGGGAATCAGGCTTCGCTCGTCGGACGGTCACAAGAAGGTCACTGCGACTGTCATGAATTCGAATCCGTTGCTAAGGATCTGGATTTTGAGCCCGTGACCGTGGGGGGGGGGGGAAATGCTGCCACGGTCGTAAGCATCAAACAACGGTCCCAGCGCTGTTCTAACTCCGAACGGTCACTAAATGAAACAGCTGTAATTTGAGGACTAACTGATTTTTGATGAGAGATGCCCTACAGAGAAGAACTGTCAGAGGATGCTGAAAAAGAAAGGGAAGGGAGGGAAGAAGGAAGGAAGGAAGGAAGGAGGAGAGGAAAGGAATAAATGGAGGGAAGGAAGGAAGGAGGAAAGGATGAAGGGAAGGGAAGAAAGGGTAGAAGGAAGGAAATGAAGGAAGGAAAAAGGGAAGGAAGGAAAGAGAAAAGGAAGGAAGTAAAAGAAGGGAAAAGGAAGGAAGTATTGAATGTACCAAGGAAGGGAGGGAGGAAGGAATGAGGAAAGGAAAGAAGGAAAGAAAAAGGGAAGGGAGGGTAGAAGGAAGTAATGAATGTATGAATAGGAGGGAAGGAGGGAAGAAGGAAGGAGGAAAGGAAGGAGGAAAGAAAAAAAGGGAGGGAAAAAGGAAGTAATGTATGTAAGAAGGAAGGAAGAGAGGAAGGAGGAAGGGAAGGGAGGGTAGAAGGAAGTGAAGGAAGGAGAAAAGGAAGGAAGGAAAATGAAAGGGAAGGGAAGAGAGGGAAGAAGGAAGTAATGAAGGTATGGAGGGAAGGAGCGAAGGAGGAAGGAGGAAAGAAAAAGGGAAGGGAACAGAAGGTAGAAGGAAGGAAAGGAAGGAAGGGAAGGAAGGGAGGGAGGAAAAGAGGGAAGAAAGAAAAGAGAACAGGAGGGAAGAAGGAAGTAGTGAATGAATGATGGAAGGTGGGAAGGGAAAGGAGGGAAGGAAGGAAAGGAAATGTAGAAAGGAAAAGGAAGGGAGGGTAAGAGGAAGTAAAGAAAAGGAAAAAAGGAAGGGAAAGGGAGAAGGAAAGGAAGGAAAAGGAAGAAGGGAGGATGGAAGGAAGGGAAAGGAACGAAAAGGAAGGGACAAAGGAAAAGGAAGGAAGGGAGGGTAGAAGGAGGGAAGAAGAAGATAGAAGAAATGAATGGAGGGAGGGAAAAGGGAGGAAGAAAAAAGGGAAGTGAGGAAAGAAGGAAGGAGGGAGGGAATGAAGGAAAAAGGAAAGAAAAGAGTAGGAAGGAAAAGAGGGAAGAGGAAAGGAGGGAAGAAGGAAGTAATGACGGAAGGTAGGAAAGGAAAGGGAAAAAGAAAGGAAAGAAAGAAAAAGAAAAAAGGAAGCTAAATTTCCACTCAACCATGGAAAAATATGTTTCCCCCCTTGTTATGTTGCCTATATTTATATTTATTTATCTCATTTATTCGGCTGCCCATCTTACAGATGGATGACAAGCTGCCAAAAAGCTATAAAAATTTGACTTTAAAAAAAAAAAAAGTTAAATATTTCTTTGGGGCCTGCGTTGGTTCATTCAGGGACCGTTCCTGGTTACAATGTCCCTGAAAAAAAAAAAAGGTGGATGATTAAGGACTGTTTGTGTCACACTTAACGACTGTCGCGCCTCAAAATTCGCATGCTTGGCAACCGACTCATATTTACAACGGTCGCAGCAATCCCCTTTCCAACAGGCAAAGTTGTCAGCGGGGGCAGAAACCCAATTCGCTTAATCTCCCAGGAGGCTCATGTGATCATGTGATCCGCTCTTGCAACCCAAGTCTGATTCATTTAACGACCATATTACTCACATAAACGACTGGAGGGATTCACCCACAGTGGCCAGAAATGTCGTAGAACGAGGCGAGAGCCACTTCAGAAATGTCTCACTTAGCAACATGAATTTGGGGCTCCCTTGTGGTCATAACTTGAGGACTTCCTGTGGTTGGCGTTTTGTTTACAAAATGATGGCACCATTTTTATGGAATTCCCTTCTGAGGAGGGAATTTAAAAACCAGGAAAAAAATCAGACACCTATCATTGATTGATGAATGACAGGTATCTGGTTTTTTGTCAAACGTTTAAATTGTATTTTAATTTATATTGTTTGGCTGTCTTGCAGCTCCCTCATTTACGGGATATGTTTATTTTGCCTTCAACTGAATAAATTTTGAATTTGAATTATATTTCAAGCGTGTTGTCCTTGAGTTACGACGGTTCATTTAGTGACCGTTTGAAAGTCCCTTTTTTCAGGGCCAGTTGAAGTTGGACCAGCCCTGAAAAAAGAGACAATGCGATCCGATTCCTCAACATAATTAAACATCATTTAGTCTTCCCTCTTCCAAGAACAGAAACCTTCAACTAAAGAGGATTCCATATAAAACCATATGTCCTTGACTTACAACTGCAGCTGGCACCAGCGTTTCCGTCACTAAGCGAAGAGGCTCCCACTTGTTTAAACGACCTTTTCCCCCCATGCACTTTAAGAGAGCCGCCGCAGCAGTTGTTAAGTGAATTGTGTGGCCATTAAGCAAATCCTTGACTTGGCTTGCCCAAAGCCAGCTGAAAAGGTCGTAAAAGGAGACCCCCGGGGCTCTCCAGCCATCTTAAATAAGAGTCCGTTGCTGAGCACCTGCGTGTTTGATCCTACGACTGCGGGGATGCGGTGACGGTCATTTTTCAGTACCGCTGTGACTTCAAATGGCCGCTAAGCGAACTGTTGTAAGTCAAGGACTACCTCTACTGATAATCTTCCAGGGAATTGGGGAACAGTGCAGAGGTAAGACAGACGGCAAATAAATGTAATAATAAAATCAAAATGGCGAAAGTGCCTATTTCCATAAACAGTTAGTCCTTGGCTGACAAGCACAATTGAACCCCAAAAATTTCTGGGGTCAAAAAAAGCGAGACGTTTGTTAAGGGCATTTTGTGACATCTCCTGCCGCGGTTGTTAAGTAAATTGTTATGCTTGTTAACCGTGAGTCACATGGTTATTAAGTGAATCCAGCTTCCTGTTTATTGGAAGGTCGCAAAAGGGGATCACGGGATGCAGCGACCGTCGTAAATATGAGCTGGATACCCAGCGTCGGAATTTTGACAGGTTGTAAGTGAAAAAACAGTCCTTTTTTGGGGGGCCGTTGTAACTTTGAGCGGTCACTAAATGAACCGTTGTAAATTGAGGAGTAACTACCGGGCGGCATGGGGAGACATGGCGTCATAAGCACTGGTGGTACCCTCGTAAATTTGTCCCCTCTCTTCATCCTCCCCAGCAGGCATCTCAACGGGATGCAACGCCCGCCCGTCGTTGTCTTCCACCGATGCCCGCTGATTCCGACCAAATCTTTGACCGGGAGGACCAAGCGGCCGAGATCGCCCTGACCTTGGTGGCCTCCTTCCAAGCCATGGAGAAGAAGGTGGATTCGCACACAAGCCGCCTGCTGGACCTGGAAGGCAGAACCGGGACGGTGGAGAAAAAGGTTCTGGATTGCGAGAAGACGACAGGGGAGATCGGCGGCCGGCTGGAGAGCAAGTGGGCCGCGTTGGGGACTCTCATTCAGGAATACGGCCTGCTGCAACGCCGTTTGGAAAACATGGAGAACCTGTTGAAGAACCGCAACTTCTGGATCCTGCGCTTCCCGCCAGGTTCTAAGGGCGAGACCCCGAAAGTAGGTTCGGCTCGTGAAATTCGTCCCGGGACTTCAACGGGATGAGACGTTGATTTAGATCGGGAGTTTCCAATTCGCGGGCTATGGACCACATCGATCCGCACCTCGGCACCGGTCCTCATATCCCTGCCATGGTCCTCACCCCTGCCCAGTTCCGTAACCCTGTACTGGTCATCGCCCCTGGACCGGTCCGCAGCCTGGTGTCAGTTCTCATCTCAGAACTGGTCCACAGCTCTCCAGGAATCAAGTTGCACAAACTAGCGAAGTCCATCGGGACACGCTTAGGAACCAGGCGGCCTGGAAAACTAACATTCCCCCTCGCCTGGTCTGGGATACAGAACCAGACCCTGGTGCCCCAAATGTTGGGGTCCCTGGACATAAGAGGGCCGCAAGCAGGGATGGAGAGTCTCACGGAATGTGCCAATGACCCTAGCAGAATCAGCCTTGGTCCTCTCAAGGACTTGGCTTTGGCGAGAAGCCAGGCTGCCCCTCTGTTTGTGTGGGTGTGTGTGGGTGTGTGTGTTTGTGTGTGTTAGACTAATGCAGGGGTCCCCAACCTGTGATCCGTGGCCCATTACAGGGCCGCAGGCTAATCACCACTGGGCCGCATGAGGAGGCAGGAGGTGCGTGCTGCTCTGCAGGTGCACATGGCCCCACTCCCGCCAGCGTCGTGGTGGGTACTCACGGATCATGCCAGTGTCGCTGGAAACATCAGGGTGCTTCTGTGTGTGCACGCAGGCCCACATGCACTGCCCCGTCCCCCCAAAAATCCACCTCTCTCCGGGTCACCAACCTGGAAAGGTTGGGGAACTCTGGACGAATGGACAGAAGCTCTTTTGTCCGTTGTGAGGTTTTCTTGCCCATTGTGTCACAACCCCAGATAGGTGCAGGGTGTTGATTCCTAGAAGTCGGCCAGCTTCGGCCTTCAGTTAGAACACAGGTGCCAAACTTGCTGCCTCACATTGCCGTCACGTGACATGTTACGGCATGTTTTTTCCCCTTATGGAGCTGGGGCGGGCATGGCCTGCACGTGATGCATCCGGTCCGTGGGCCACCAGTTTGACACCCCATCCTGCCTTTGATTTGTCCAAGTGTGATTAGATACATCCCGGGAATTTGTCCCCGGTATAGAAGCCCCCGGCGTACCTGCAAGGCAGTAGAGAAAATAATAACACAGGTAGTCCTCAACTTACGACGGTAATTGAGCTCAGAATTCGATTCAGTGGTTAAGTGAGTTTTGCCCCATTTTATGACCTTTCTTGCCACCGTTGTTAAGTGAATCACCGCAGCTGTTACATCAGTAACATGGTGGTAAAGCGAATCTGGCTTCCCCGTTGATTTTGCTCGTCGGAAGGTCGCAAAAGGGAATGACGTGACCCCGGGACACTGCAACCATCATGAATTGGTCGCCAAGCATCCGAATTTTGACCATGGGAGGGAGGGAGGGAGGGAGGAAGGAAGGAAGGGAAGATGGAAAGAGGTTTTAGTTTTTGATATCAGGCATCAATGCCGAGTTTTGTGGTTCCAGGTGCCTCTGACCTTTGACGACATGTCGGTCTACTTCAACGAGAAGGAATGGGAGAAACTGGAAGAGTGGCAGAAGGAACTCTACAAGAATTTGATGAAGGGCAACCACCAGTCCCTGGTGTCTCTGGGTAAGGGGGCGCAGCTCTTCCTCCAGTTGGGTGGGTGGGTGGGTGGTCTGCAATTAACCTGGGATTAAGGTGAAATGTCCTAAGAGTAAGGACAATTAACCAGTGGAACTGCTTTCCACCAGAAGTTGTGGGTTCTTCATCACTGGAGTTTTCCAAGAAGAGACTGGACAGCCACTTGTCTCAAAGGGCCTAGGGTTTCCTGGGTGAGCAGGGGGTTGGACTAGAGGACCTCCAAGGTCCCTTATAACTCTTGTCATTCCATGATTCTGTAATGGTGTCCTGCTTGGGGGGGGCTCCCTCCCGCCTGCTCCCTCCCGCCTGCTCCCTCCCGCCTGCTCCCTCCCGCCCTTTTTCTTTCTTTCTCTTTCTGTCTTTTTCTTTCCCTCTTCTCTCTCTCTCTCTCTTTCTTTCTCCTTCCCTCTCCCCCTCTCCCCCTATCATCTGCTTCAAGTGCCCAGGGCACAACATGCTATCTTTCTCCTCAAGCACGTCGTATGCTTCCCTGCTTCTACCCCCTCCTCATACCTGACCCCCACCCCCACCCCCCAGTGCATTTTGAACCCGAGTCTGGTCACCTGGCCTTAAATCCAAGGGCTGACCCCTCTCTCCTCTCCCCCTCCCCCACCCCTTGCAGATTATGCTATTTCCAAGCCAGGCATATTGTCCCAGACTGAGCGGATGACCGACTCATGCCATGGAGAGGATCAGGACTCAGAAGAACAGGGAAGACTTCCCGATGCCACAGCAGGTGAGTCCGCCTTTGTTGGGAAGAGATTTGCAAGGAAATTAAATGAAATTATCTTTAGATGAGGCAAGGATTAATCCCGAATGAGATTAATCTCATTTCATTCTAAGACTTCACCTGCTTTAAGAGGGGAGGACTTCAACTCCCAGAATCCCCCAGCTGGCATGCTTTAAGAGGGGAGGACTTCAACTCCCAGAATCCCCCAGCTGGCATGCTTTAAGAGGGGAGGACTTCAACTCCCAGAATTGTTAAAGGAATCACTGCAGTTGCCAAGTTAGTAACCCAGTCATTAAGTGAATCCGGCTTCCCCATTGACCTTCCTTGTCAGACAGTTGGAAAAGTCGATTACATAACACCGGGACAGTGCCACCATCATAAAGATGAGTCAGTTCACCGAGCGTCTGAATTGTGACCTTGTCCACACAACGGTCGTAAGTGTGCAAATGGCCCTAAGTTGCTTTTTTCAGGGCAAAGTTTCAGTTGTAACTTGGAACGGTCACTAAACGAACCATTGTAAGTCACGAGGACCTCCTGTACTGGACCAATCAAAGGTTTTCTGATGCTTTCCTCCCTGCAGCTGGCATTAGGGTGGTGATCAAAACGGAAGAGCCTCATTCTGACGAATGTCCCGGAGATCTGGAGCAACATCAGATATCCAGGAGTTCGGAGGGAGATTTCCAAGGTCTGGAGCCCGAAGCCCCCTGCGGCAGCCCCTACAGCGCGGCCACCCCGTTGGGAAACTTTGCCGGGAATAACCTGGAGGAAGGAAGTGAGTATGACGTGAACTTCGGCGAGATCAAGAGAGTCACTGTGCAGCACAGCAACTGTACAGGTGAGTGGAGAATTCCCCAGCTGGCGTGGACGTCAATTCCCAGAATTCCCCAGTTAGTGTACCTTTAACTCCCAGAATCCTCCAGTTGGTATGCTTTAAGTGGTGTTGACTTGAACTCCCAGAATTCCCCAGTCAGCATGCCTTGGTTGTAAGTCAAGGACTACCTGTACTTAAATACCTTGAGAGGCTCTGGAATGTTTTAGTTTCTATGTTTGAGGATGGTAACTGCCTCGATTTGTCCTCCTGCCCGTCGCAGGAAGTTTTGAGCCCTAAATGATTTTTCTTCTCCGTGCACAATATGATTTTCTTTTGCTTTTCTGTCCTTTTTGCAAGACGACGGTATCGTAATCAAAATGGAGGAAGAAGAGGAAGAGGAGGAGGAGGAAGAAGAGGAGGAGGAGGAAGAGGAGGAGGAAGAAGAGGAGGAGGAAGACCCCGTCAGCTTGGAGACCCGGGGGTTGTTTTCATCCCGGGCTGAGCCACCCTGCTCGCTGACTTGCAACGTGGAGGTTCTACGGGAAGAACAGAGGGTGACCAAACCACCCCGACCCACCGTGGGGATCTGCGCCCCACTCTGTGAGAGAGACAATAGTGTTGAAATGCGGCCGGTCACCTTGCAGCAGCGAAACCGGACGCGTGAGCGGCCGTACATCTGTCCAGACTGCGGCAAGAGCTTCATGCTGCGGATCAACTACATGATCCATCAGCGTAACCATCTCAAGGAAGGGCCCTACGAGTGCCACGCCTGCGACCTCAGCTTCCGCCTCAAGCAGCAGTACCTCCTGCACCAGCGGCTGCACACGGCGCGGCGTGGGGTGGCTCCTCCGCCCCGCCGCGGACAGACCTACTCTAACAAGCGTAGCTTCAAGCAACAGCCTCAGCCGCCCCCACCGCCCGGCAAGCCCTACAAGTGTAGCGAGTGCGACAGCAGCTTCAGCCACAAGTCGAGCTTGAGCAAGCACCAGATCACGCACGTTGGCGAGCGCCCGTACTCGTGTGGTGAGTGCCGGAAGAGCTTCCGGCTGCAGATCTCGCTGGCCATGCATCAGCGGGTGCATGCTGGCAAACCCGAGCTTTCCTTCATCTGCCCGCAGTGCGGGAAGGCCTTCAGTCGGCCGTCCCACCTGCTGCGACACCAACGGACTCACACGGGCGAGCGACCGTACAAATGTAGCCAGTGCGACAAGACGTTCAGCGAGAAGTCGAAGCTGACCAACCACTACCGTGTGCATACCCGCGAGCGGCCCCACGCCTGCAGTGAGTGCGGCAAGGGTTTCATTCGCAAGCACCATCTGCTCGAGCATCAGCGTATCCACACGGGCGAACGGCCGTACCACTGTACTGAGTGCGGGAAGAATTTCACCCAGAAGCATCACCTGCTCGAGCACCAGCGGGCACACACTGGCGAGCGGCCGTACCCATGTACGGAGTGCGCCAAGTGCTTCCGCTACAAGCAGTCGCTCAAGTATCACTTGCGGACACACATGGGAGAGTGAGGGACCCTCCCTGTTTCCTGCCCCCCCTCCCCTCAAAGCCAGCCCCGGTATTCGGGTTCAGAGGACAATCGGGGAGAGGGGGAAGGACGTCCTGCAGAGATACCTACCTCTCTGCTCACTGAAGCACTAAATTGAGGTCCCTCCCTCCAAGCCAGTAACAGGTTTCTGGCTCAACTAACCCTCATCTCTTCCAGCACCGTAACCTTGATGGACACAAACTATATTCTCCACGCTTCTGGCTTCCTTGACCCCTCCCCCTCCTGTTCTTTTTGATAATAAATGTGGAGCCTGATTTATTTGGTAAGCATCTGCTTAAAGTTCTGGCTTTCTTTCCTTGGTTATTAAGGGGTGGGGGCCTTCCCGGAAATACCGGAAGGGCAGAGCCATCAGTAGCGGGAATGATGGGCTGCGGGGAAGCCCCTGGAGCAATTTGTTCCTAGGATCCCAGAGTCTTCAGCCACACCTCTGGAAAAGGATACAGCCCAGCATTTCTTATTTTAGCTGTTGAATTACGACCACAATTGAGCCCAACATTTCCGTCACTAAGAGAGATAGGGATGTGAGCTTTGCCCCATTGTACAACCTCTTTTGCCACAATTGTTAAGTGGATCCCTGCAGTTGTTCAGATAGTAACTCTTCAGTTACTATCTGAACAACTGCAGTTGTTACTAATAGTTGTTACTACTAGTTCAAGAGTAACAATTCTTCAGACAGAATTTTAGGTGAATCTGGCTTCCCCATTGACTAACAATTGTACAAGGACAGAGTTGCTCAAGCAGGAGACCCTTAAAGAATCATAGAATGACAAGAGATGGAAGGGACCTTGGAGGTCTTCTACCCTGCTCAAGCTGGACATCCTGAAACATTTCAGAGAAATGGTCGCACAAACTCTTCTGATAAAACTCCAGTGTTGAAGCACCCACCACTTCTGGAGTTGCTTATCACAAGGTCGTCATGGGGGGATCGCTTGACACTGCAATAAAGATGAGTCGGTTCTAGTTTTGATCACATGACCACGGGTGCTGCAACAGTCGTAAGTGAGAAACGGTAATAACTCACTTTTTTCAGTGCCGTTGTAACTGGTCACTAAACGAATGGTTGTAAGTTGAGGACTACCTCTTTATTTTGGGGGGTTTGCCAATGGAAGGCCTCTGGCTTGCTTATATTTTGTTTTGTCTTGATTTTTGGTACACTTGAGAGATCATTTTTAAAAATCTTTTCTCTATGAGGGAATTTTTTAGGTAAAGTGGACACATGAAATGTCCCTTTTAAATCGGTGTTTTGCAAATATGGCCACCTAAAAAACGTGTGGACCAACTCCCAGAATTCCACAGCCAGCTGTTTCTTTTTTTGTCCAAGTGATGCTTTTATTGAACGTTATGACCATTGTTGGCTGCATGGAACTTTTGATCTCAACTCTGAGCTGCTCAGTTCCTAGTGGTTCCCACAAAACCACGATCCCTGCATGTCAATCAATCAATCAATCAATCAATCAGAATAGAGCTGGAAGGGACTTTAGAGGTCTTCTAGACTGACCCCTCTGCTCAAGCGGGAGACCCTGTATCATTTCAGACAACCGGCTGTCCAGTCCCTTCTTAAAAGCCTCCAGTGTTGGAGCACCCACAATTTCTGGTGTCAAGCAGTTCCACTGTGGGGCCTTTAGAGAAGGGGAGGGGGCTTCTGGGGAGGCTTTCAGGGAAGGGGAAGGGGCTTCTGGGGGGGCCTTGAGGGAGGAGTGTTCTTGGGGCCTTTAGAGAAGGGAAGAGGTCTTCTGGGGAGGCTTTCAGGGAAGGGGAAGGGTCTCCGGGGTGGGCCTTAGGCAAGGGGAGGGGTCTTCTGGGGGTGGGAGAAACCAGGCAAGAGATGCCTGGCAAAGCACCCGGAAGTGGCTTCTGTTGTTTTGTTTCCGGGATTCCGCTCTAATTTCCGGTTTCCGTCTTCCGCCTTCCGTCGCGCAGGCGCGCCGGTCTTCCTGGCCCCGCCCTCGCCCCTCCCGCCGCAGGGGGCGCTGCGGCTGCGCAAGGGGAAAAAAAAAAAACACCAAACAGCTCCTTTCACCACGCATGCGCTTTCTCTCTCTCGCTCTCTCTCTCTCTCTCCCCCTCCCCCCCTCCGGTCGCTCAAGGAAAGCGTCCTCCCCACCCCCTCCCTCCCTCCCTCCCTCTCTCCCTCCAAAGGCCCCGGCTCTGCGCATGCGCGCCGCTTGCTGCTCGCCGCTCGCTCGACGCCTCCGGTGGGTAAGCGCAACTCATCCCCCCCCCTCCCGCCGCCGCCGCGCCCCCCCCTCCCTCGAAGGCCGCCCCCCCCCTCCCTCCAGGGCTGGGGACTGAGGGGCCGGAGCCCGCTCGGGAGAAGTGGGGGGGGGGGCTGGGCTGCCCCTCCCTTCCCGCTGGGGAACAAAGGCCGGGCTTGAGTGGGTGGGGGGGGTCGCCCTTAGAAGGAGGGAGGGCCCCCCTCAGCTGACCTTTGACCCCAGGGGGGCCGCCCCCTCGGGCTGGGGGGGGTTCAGGCTGCCCCCGAAAGTGGGGAGTGGGGGGGGATGGGGGTGGTCCTCAAGGCCTAGCGAGGCCTGGTTTGCTCCTTTTGGGGGATGATGGGAGTTGTAGTTCTGCCCCCCCTCGACTGTGGGGCCTTGTTGCTGCCTCCCCCGGAAGTGGGGTGGGGGAGGAAGTCCTAAAGGCCTAGCAAGGCCTTGCCTGTCTCGGTTGGGGGACGATGGGTATTGTAGTTCTGGCCCAGAGGGAGCCTCCCTCTTAATTGGGGGGAGGGGGTTGCTTGTCTCCCCCAAAGGTGGGGTTGGTGGGGTTCGTCCTAAAGGCCCAGCAAGGCTTGGGTTGGCCCGGTGGGGGAAGATGGGAGTTGTAGTTCTGTCCCAGGGGGACCCTCCCCCTAGTCTTGGGAGGGGGAGGAAGGCAGCTGGCTTCCAAAAATGGGGATAATCCTGAAGGGCATCACAAGGCTTGGTCTGCCGCAGTTGGGGATGATGGGAGTTGTAGTTCTGGCCATGGGGGGGGAGGTTCTTGGGGTGGGGGGGGAGGCTGAGCTCCCTATCCTGGCTGCTCTTCTCCTTCAGGAGAGGTGACTGTGAGTTCCAGTGCTGCCTTAGGTGGGAAAGCCACTTGGGCGACTTTGGCCAATCATCAGGAGACAGTGAGTTCTAGTCTCACCTCATACCTGCAATTTAATTGGGTGATTTTTGGCCTATCATTAGGAAACAATGAGTTCTAGTCCCGCCTTAGACATGAAAACCGGTTGGGTGACTTTGAGCCAATCACCAGGAGACAATGAGTTCTAGTTCTTCCTTAGGTCTGAGAGCCAATTGGGCGACTTTGAACCAATCACCAGGACCGCGGTGAGTTCTAGTCTCGCCTTAGGCCTGAAAGCTGACTGAATGACTTTGGGCCAATCACCAGGAAACGGTGAGTTCTAGTTCTTCCTTAGGCCTGAAAGCCAATTGGGTGACTTTGGGCCAATCACCAGGAGACAAGTGAGTTCTAGTCCCACCTAGTCCCAGTGCTAGATATTTAGCAGACCAACTGAAGAGACTCAATGGACAAATTTTCAGAACAGGGGTTGTCCTTTGAAGATGTGAAACAACCCTGATGCCGTTTTCTCCTAGGACCAAGGATTCATTGTGGGGTATGTGTGCTGTCTGAGGGCCAATCACCAGGAGACAGTGAGTTCTAGACCCACCTTAGGCAGGAAAGTGGGCTGGGTGATTTTGACCCAACCGCCAGGAGACAATGAGTTCTAGTTCTTCCTTAGGTCTGAGAGCCAATTGGGTGACTTTGGACCAATCACCAGGAGACAGTGAGTTCTAGTCCCCCCTTAGGCATGAAAGCCAGCTAGGTGACTTTGGGCCAGTCCTTCCCTTTCAATCCCACCCACCTCACAGGGTTGTTGTGGGGAAAATGGGAGGAACATTAAACCCTGTTGCCGTCTTGTGTTATTTTAAAAAAATACTGGTGCACAGGTGGGATATAAATGTATAAAAAAGGAAAATATAGAAATGAGTCTTTGTTGCGCATTGTTGATTCTCACACCCTGCTTCCTCATCATTACAGCGACCAGGTGAACGTTGCTCTTCGAGGACCTGGGTCAAGCCAGTCTGATAGCTGCCCTCAAGCGAGAGATGATGGAAGGAACCTCTCTGTCTTAGCTCTTCCTTTGTGGCAAGCCAGTTGTGTAAAAGAACACAGTTGTGGCATGGGACAGTGACAACGGTTAACACAATTTGGAGATTTTTTGTCGCCCGTAAATTATTTCAGGTAAAACAACAACAAAAAAACACAGAAAACAGGTGTTTTTCCTTCTAACTTCACTCTTTCTTACCCAACGGTCTTTAAACTTCACTTAAAAATAGGAACAGAACGAGTCCTTGACTTACGACCATGATGGAACCCAACCATCCTAAGCGAGACAGTTGGGAAGCGAGCTTCGCCCCATGTTTGCGACCTTCCTTGCCCCCGTTGTTCAGCGAATTGCTGCGGTTGTTAAAGTTAGGTTGTTCGGCGAATCCGGCTTCCCTCTTGGCTTTGCTCGTCCGAAGGTCGCAAAAAGGAAACCGTCATAAATATGAATCGGTTGCCGAGCGTCTGAATTTTGACCACGTGGCTGTGATGGATGCTGCAGTGGTCGTAAGTGTGAAAAACGGGTCCTACAGTCCCTTTTTTTCCACTGCCGTTCTAACTTTGAACGGTCACTATCGAACTGTTGTAATTCGAGGACTTCCTATATAGGAATAATAAAAACGGAATTTTATGAAGCGTCTCTTCCGAGGCTCTTGATATTAAAACTGCCATGGATCCCTAAATTTCCGTCGTTAAGTGACTTTGGTCCCATTTGATGACTTGGCTCGCCACTGTCAGCGACTTGCCGCTGATAAGTCCGTCACCTCGTTGTGAGATGAACCTGGCGATTCCCCTACGGCCAGAAGGTCGCAAAAGGGATCATATGACCATCATAATTGTGAATCGGTTGCCCCGCGTCCGAATTTGGATCCCTGGAAAGGTCGTAACCGTGAAACAGGGCGATAAGTCACATTTTTCAGCTTGGAATGGTCGCTAAACGAACTTTGTTTCACCTCGTGCCTTTGTACATTTATGTTTTGAGAGTTCAAATTATCTCTTTTGTGTGTGTGTGTGTGATGTTGTACATCACAATGGGTTGGAATGAAAAATTTTATCTTCATATTTCTATTCCGGGGGAAATTAGCCTAAGAAGTTCGGATTAATTCCGTGAAATTGTGGCAGCTTCCTGACTGTTTTCTGTCATTTGTCCGAAATGGTGTCGTGTCTCCTGCTTGGGTGGGGGGTTGCACTAGATCAGGGGTTCCCAAACTTTTGCACCTCAGGGACCACCAAATTCATAATTTTAAATCCCACAGACCACTTATATGAATTTTTTAAAAAAAGATAAATACATTTTTGTTAAAATAATGATCAGAGAACTTCCATTTTATTAATATGAAATGCACCTATTTAATATAACAAAATCATAAATGCTTATTTAATCATAAAATCTTTAAAGGTTGTTTAATTGTAACAAAATTATTAAAATTAGTGTAATTATTACAAAATAATTGAAGCTTATTTAAGAATTACACCATTCGAATCTAGCTTGATGCTGGGACGCTGTGCGTCCAGAGGAGGCACTTTCTCTAGCGTTCCGGGTGGGAGGCCCGAGAGAAAGTGCCTGGTCCAGGCGCACAGCCCGGAAATCTCTTTTATGTTCCTTCCCTCAAGAAGCTTGGTCAATCTGAGTGAAGGAAAACGAAGACGGACACACTGATGGTGGCTTGATGACAGTGGGAAAGTCAGTCCCATCTCTGTAGTAGTCACAGGATTGGCCCGTTGCTCATCCCGAAGCAGCCCCTCCACCTGGCTGTAGGGGAGCTGCCTCTTCCCCGGCAGGCCAGTGCACCTGGGAGGAGGAGCTGCTCCGGGATGACCAATGGGCCAGTCCTGTGAGTGTGACTACTACAGCTCTGGCATATTGGACCGGCCGTGGTGGGGCTGGAAATCTTTGCCCTGGGGTGGCACATGCAATGTGCAACTTTGCAGGTGGTGCAATATGAAAAAAAGGAGTGTAGCCCTTGCCGGCTGGAACGAAATAATGGTGCTATTGCGGTGGTGGCAGGGGGAGAGGCGCAAGCGGGCCGAAAAAGCAGTTGCGATGGCTGGAAGCAAAGCGCTATTTGCATTTGCACGGTATCAGCATTCCGCCTTGGTATATTTGCGCCAGTTGGTGGTGCAAGGCAGCCCTCATCTCCTGCTTGGAGCGGTAAACAGCGTCCGATCTGGGGAGTAGCTGGAGTTTGTTGTCCATCGCGGACACTAGATCTGCCCCCTGCAAACCCTAGTCTCTTGAGCGCTTGCTGAAGCGAAGTGGGAAACTTCAGCCGGGCTCGAGAGACGAGAGTTTGCAGGGGGCCAATCTAGTGTCTGTGATGGACAGCAAAGTCCGGCTGCTCCCCGTACTGGACGCTGTTTACTGCTCTGAGTCCCAAGCGGCAGGAGGCGAGGGCTGCCTTTTGCCACCGGCTGGCGCAAATATACCAAGGCGGAATGCTGATGCAGCACAAATGCTGTTGCCACACTACAGCAGAGAGAAGAAGCCAGAGTTTGCTGTCCATTATGGATGCTAGTTTGTCCCCCTGCAAACTCTCGTCTCTCAAGGAGCCCGGCTGAAGTTTCCTGCACCGCTTCAGTGAGCGCTCAAGAGATGAGATTTTGTTGTCCATTTGCTGCAATGGACAGCAAACTCCGGCTGCTCCCCGGACCGGATCCCATTTACTGCTCCGAGTCCCAAGCGGCTGAACCTCCCCCCACCACCCACCCAGGCAGCCATTCGGCTGAGCATGGCGAGTTCTTGGTCTTACCTTCCAGTTCCAGCTCGTGTGGCTCACATCGCTCTACTCAAGGTGAGGTTTGCACTTGGCCTTAAGAGTGGGGGGTCCGCGGGTGGGCGGGGTGATACGGGCGGTGGAGCTTTCTGTTCCCATACGCGGGCTGGATTCATTGCTCTCGGCCGTTTCCGTCCCAGGGGCCCTGGCTTGAGGATGAGCACAATATAAAAAATGCAAAAACACAAAGATTTCTCCACGGACCACCAGTTGGTGACCACTGTACTAGATGACCTCCAAGGGTCCCTTCCAACTCTGTTAATCTATGAAATTTTTAAATTTATCCCTACCAGGATTTTGAATTATTTGAATATTATGGATATGCCAGCTATTTTAAGGGGGGAAAATAAAAAATTCGAACTCAATTAAGACGTTACCCTTCTGGTATAAATAGTCCTTACGACCACAATCAACCCTTGAATTTCTATTTCCAAGCGAAAGGATGGTTCTTTCCCCATTTTACGACCGTTCTTACCAGGACTGTTAAGCGAATCACCACTGTTGCGAAGTTCGTTGTTAAGTGAATCTTCATGGATTTTGCTTGTTGGAAAATCGCGAAAGGGGAATTCCGTGACCAACCCACCTCCAGGTCCCTGCGACTGTCATAAATACGAGTCAGTTTTTCCGAGCATGTTAATTTTGATGGTTGCAAGTGTGAAAAACTGGCTTTTTTCAGAGTTGTTGTACCTTCCAATGATCGTTGAGCAAATCATCGTAAATCAAGGACTGCTTGTAATCCAGTAGCTACCTGCTAATGAATGTAGACAAAATGAAACAAAGAGCTCGATATAGAGCCGAGGTGGCGCAGTGGTTAGAGTGCAGTACTGCAGGCTACTTCAGCTGACTGCTAGCTTCAGTTCAGCAGTTCAAATCTCATCGGCTCAAGGTTCACTCAGCCTTCCCTCCTTCTGAGGTGGGTAAAATGAGGATCCAGATTGTTGGGGGCAATAGGCTGACTCTAAACCGCTTAGAGCAGGCTGTAAAAGCACTATGAAGCGGTATATAAGTCTAAGTGCTATTGCTAATTTAAATTTTTGTCTCTTACCAGGAAGGTTTTTTTTTTTTTTTAAACTAAACGATGAACTCAGGGCGGTGTACAGCCATATTAAAACACATATAAATATACAAAATTCAAAATAATTTAAAATTGCATATATAAAAATTTGGCCCATAGATTAAAACACACATACACCCATTCTAAAATTCGTATTAGGCCAGGCTGGCTTGTTGGAACAAGAGGGTCTTCAAGGCGTAGTGAAAGCTACGCAGGTCGGGGATGAGACGAATCTCAAGGGGCAGCTCATTCGAGAGGGCTGGTGCCCCCACAGAGAAGGCTGCTGCCAGTCGGCATTGTCTGGCCGACGGCACCCTGAGTAGCCCCTCTCTGTGGGAGCGTATTGGCCGGTGGGAGACTGTTCCTGGCAGCAGGCGGTCTCGTATATACCCCGGTCCTAAGCTTGTAGTCCAACCCCCTGCTCCAGAAGGAGACCCTTAACAAAATCAGAGAACAGAGTTGAAAGCAATCTTGAAGGTCTTCTAGTCCAACCCTCTGCTAAAGCAGGAGACCCTTAACAGAATTACAAAATCCCCGAGTTGGAAGGGATCTTTGAGGTCTTCTACTCTAACCCCCTGCTCAGGAAGGAGACCAATACCATTCAGAATAACAGTTGAAAGCAATCTTGAAGGTCTTCTAGTCCAACCCACTGCTGAAGCAGGAGACCCTACATCATTCAGAAGGAAAGAATAATAGAGTTGGAAGGGACCTCGGAGGTCAACCTGAAGCAAGTGAAAATAATTGATTCTACTTAATTTTGGGGTCCTTGTTCCTCTCTGGCCTTGATGGTTTTCTTTCAGACCTTTCATGACCCAGCTAGGTGACATTACCAGTAGTTGAAGGGAGTGGGCTTTGCGGACAGGAGGGGGAAGAAAAGGAAAAGGACCCTATAGAGTCCTTGGTCCACTCTGAGCTTCTTTGTTTTCTTGCAGACGTTTCATGACCCAACTAGGGAACATCATCAGTGCTAGGAGGGTTTGTGGAGAGGAGGAGGAGGAGGGTGGACAGGACTACAAAGGAGGAGGGTTTGTGGAGAGGAGGAGGGTGGAGAGGAGGAGGGTGGAGAGGACTTCAAGGGGAGGCTTGGGGAGAGGAGGAGGAGGGTGGGGAGGACTAGAAGGGAGGGGGGTTGCAGAGAGGTGGAAGAGGACTGCGAGGTCTTTGGTGCTCCTTGAACTTGGTTGTTTTCTTGCAGATGTCTCATCACCAAACTAGGTAACATCAGTTTTAGGAGGCAGTGGATTCTTATTTTTTTATTTTTTTTAACGAACGAACTCCATTCCCTCTCAGCACTGATGACATTCCCTAGTTCTGTGATGAAACATCTACGGGAAAAACAACCTGGTCCAGCAACTCAACGACAACCAAGGACCCCACATGGCGACCGATATTCTCTCCTTTTGCTACTCCTTAAGCGGCCTTTCTCTCTTTGTCAATAAAGAATTCCCAGATTGGAAGATGGAGTCCCGCCAGCCAGTCCCTCTTCTCCCCGAGCAGACCTTCGACCGGGAGGTCAAGCAAAACATGGCTGAGCTTTCTCTCTGGACCGTCGTGGCCGCCATCCAAGCGGTGGAGAGGAAAGTTGACGCTCACGCCAGCCGGTTGCTGAACCTGGAGCGTCGCGTGATGACCAACGAGAAGAAATACGTGGATTGCGAGAACGCCGTGGTGGACTTCGGCAACCAGATGGAATGCAAGTTGACCGCTCTGGGCACCTTGATCCAGGAATACGGTCTGCTCCAGAGGAGGCTGGAGAACATGGAGAACCTCTTGAAGAACCAGAACTTCTGGATCCTCAGACTTCCCCCAGGATCCAAGGGAGAAACGCCCAAGGTCGGAGGATTGGGATGGGAGTTGCTTGGTTTTCCTTGCGGGGTTTGCAATGATGGGAGAACTTGTTAATTTGGAAGGTGTTAGAGGAATTGAGATGAGGGTGCTCTCTGAACTTGGGGGTTTTCTTGTGGATATTTCATGACCCAACTAGGTAACAATATCAGTGCTAGAAGGGAGGGGGGTTGTGGAGAGGAGGAAGGGAATGAAGAAGAGGAGGAGTTTTCTTGCAGACTAAATAGGTAACATCATCAGTGTGAGGGAGTGTGAGGTTTACTCCCAATGTATTTTCAGTACTTGTCCTTCCAGTGTTTGGTTAAATCTGACTTGGAAACTGGTTTTTTAAGATACCCAACTGCCTCCAGCAGAACTGTGAGTCTTAATCATGGGTGGTGAACGCTGTTTGGACCCCAAAACAAAATGGCCTTTTTCCGTTTTAGGATTCCATAGGAATCCTTCGTTTAGGAGCTGAAGCAGGCTCAGCACGTCTCCTGCATATCGGCCTGGGCTGCTGTCTATACGTCACGCTAAGCCAGGATTGTTTTAAATGGAGGAGATATGGGCCACCTCTCCCTCCAAACAAGGCCAATTTTGGAGCCCAGGGTGGTCCATCTGAACACCAACAGCTCCTTCTAGAAGATCCAAAAACAGTTAACTGATGTGCTTTCAGGTGCCCATGACTTTTGAAGACAACGCCGTCTACTTCTCGGAGCAGGAGTGGGGCAACCTGGAGGAATGGCAGAAGGAACTCTACAAGAACGTGATGAAGAGTAACTACGAGTCACTGGTCTCCTTGGGTAAACCAAAAAATTAGCTTTTGCTCCTCATGGTTTGAAAACATGAATTTTGGCTTCTTTGATGAGCATTGAGGGACTGTTTAGATCAGAGGTCTCCAATGTAGTCAATTTTAAGACTTGTGGACTTCAATTCCCAGAATTCCCTGGGGAATTCTGGGAGATGAGGTCCAAAAGTAGCTAAGGTTGGAGAGCCCTGCTCTAGATGATGGCTCCTTCCAGACTGGTCCCTAGAAGTTCCTCTGGAGAACGTTGCTGTGATTTCCAATCCTGTTCATCCAATTCTCCTGTTTGCTTTCGGTTTCCTTTTGAAGCACCATCCTAGTTTGTTCTTATTTAAACCAAGGGTTGGGTATGGTAGTTTGGACAGCTCTTCAACTTTAAAACCTGTCAAGAAACTCGTAAATCAGGAAGACCTGTTAGGGGGAACGGAGCTTAATGTGAAGTTTGACAAGTGAAAGTTGTGCTTGGCCCCTGGAAATAATTTTAACGTCTTGACATTTTGTAATTGAATACAATTTTGAAAATGCAATTTTTGGCATCTCCACGGAGGGATTTCTAAGACGATAGGAAGCGAGGGACATTTGTGTACCTGAACAATCTTCTCGGTTCCTATTGGATGTTCTTGTAGGGTTAGATTTTATTTTACAGCTAGTCCTCGAGTTAATAACAATTCATTTAGTGACCGTTCTAGGGTACAACATCCCTGAAAAAAGGGATTTGGGACCATTTTTTCACACTTAACGACCATTGCAGCGTCCCTGTGATCGCGTGATCTAAATTTGGACCCTTAGTAACTCGCATTTATCTATGACAGTTGTGATGTCTCCGGGTCACATGATCCCCCTTTGCAACCTTCTGACAAAGTCAGTGGAGAAGCCAGATTCATTTAACAACTGTTCCTAAATTACCATGTTTCCCTGAAAATAAGAGATGTCCTGAAAATAAGGCCAAGCTTTATTTTTGGGGTGGGCCTAAATATACGCCCTCCTCCAAAAATATGCCCCCCCCCCACACACAGAGGTCCCTCACCCTCCCCAATCCACCCAAGGCAGTCACATCCCTGCAAACTCCTGCGCCCCCCCGTCCCTTTTGCCGCCCATGGCACCAACCATAAACTTCAAGCACCTGCTCCTGCTCCATGGTAGCAGCCCACCCGCTGTCTCCCTCGTGCCCAGGCGCTGCGTCCACATAGCCTGCGCTGTAGTTTGGAAGCCACAGAGGCAGAGTTTGGGGGAGAGAAAGAAAGACTTCTGCTTTTGGCTGCATGCAAGGAAAGCAGCAGAAGCAGCAGAAGAAATCTTTCTTTCTCTCCCCCAAACTCTGCCTCTGCGGCTTCCAAACCCCAGCCAGGGCAGCGGCCGCGCTGGGAATGTGCTTCCCATTCTATGGTGACGGCTGGAGCCTGCAGGGAGAGCTGGCCCAGGCTGTAGCTTCTGCTATGAGTTCAAGGACCTGCTGCTTACCGGCTTCGCCCACATCCACATGGTGAGGCCTGGGAGGCGTGCGAGTGGGGGTGGGTGGGGACAGGCACTCGCGTGGCTTGGTGTTCACGTTCTATACACACACCCCGCGTGAGGGGAGGGGCTTGATGGCGATGCACGAAGGGAACCTCTCTGCTGGACTCCCGGCTGTGAGTGCGCAGGCTGCCCGGGCCTTCTGCTCCCTGAAAATAAGGCCCCTCCGATAATAAGGCCAAACCCTTATTTTGGGGTTCAAAAGAAAATAAGACCCTGTCTTATTTTCGGGAAACACGGTAAGAATGGGAGTGGTACACTTAATTGTGGCAAGGATGGTCCTAAAATGGGGCAAAACTCACCCGATGTCTTGCTTAGCAACATAAATTTTGGGCTCTATTGAGGTTGTAAGTCAAGGACTACCTGTATTTTTTTAACAGAAGTGAAGTGCTGCCACCCCATCTTATTTTTAAAAGCACCTCCTGGCCTAAAAGAGGATTCTCTTAAGACTTGGCATCTAAGGTAGATGGCTGATATACAGCTAGTTGCCCTCTTACAACAGTTCATTTAGTAACCATTCAAAGTTACAATGGCACTGAAAAAAATGGACTTGTGAATGTTTTTCACACTTACAACCTTTGCAGCATCCCCAAGGTCAACTGATCAAAATTCAGATGCTTGGCAACTGACTCATACTTATGACCATTGCTGTTAGAAATTCTGTTTATATATTGCACCAGAGAAAATGAAGAGCACCATCACCATGTGCTTTACTGCTCAACTGTTTTTAAGTGTTAGGGGAAACAAGAAACTCTACTTAGAACAAAAGAGCATAGATCCAAACTTGTAAACACTGCTGTCTACTGGCTTGAATACTACTGTGGTTGTTGTATAAAACCACATTCCAACAACAAATTCCAACTGTTGCTGTGTCCCAAGGTTACGTGATCCCCTTTTGCAATCTTAACGAACAAAATCAATGGGGAAGCCAGGTACACTTAACAACCGGGTTACTAACTTATCAATTGCGGTGATTGACTTTTGCAATAATTGTGTCAAGAAAGGTCGTGAAATGGGGCAAAAGTCACTGAACAAATGTCTCACTTAACAGCGGAAAAGTTGGGCTCGATTGTGGTTGTAAGTCAAGGACTGCCTGTATTTTTCATACCAATCAAGCTTATCTTGTGAAGGGTGTGCTCTTTTGTCCAACAGACTATGCCATCGCTAAACCGGATCTTCTGTCCCGGATTGAACAAGGGGAACGTCCCTGTGCTGAGGAAGAGGAGGCAGCCACGATGGACAGGGTGATACCTTCGGAACCTAGCCCAGGTAAGGAGGAAGGGGCTAGAATCGAGGGTCTCCAAACCTGGTAGTCTTTTGTGGACTTCAACTCTGAGAATTCCTAAAATAGCCACTCAGCCCAATCCAGTTCACAGGGTGCAAAACAGGAGGTGGGATTGTTAAGTATGGGTAGTCCTTATGACCAGTTGTTTAGTGACTGTACGAAGTGACAGCAGATTCTCCAAAGGATGCTAACAACCCAGTTTTGATGGCCAGTCAGACACACAGAATCGCATGCAAGATTGCATTTTTGGAACTCGGCATCTAGCCTGTGGTCCTGGGACCAAAATTTACAAGGGTTTTACCCCAAACGGGCATTTACAGGCAGTTCTTGACTTACAATCCTTCATTTAGTGACCGCTCAAAGTTACAACTGGAAAAAGGAACTCACAACAATTTTTCACCCTACCGTCATAGCATCCCCACAGTCATGTGATCAAAATTTGGACACTTGGCAACTGACTCGTATTTTGCGACCAACAAAGTCAACAGGGAAGGCAGATTCACTTAACCGTATGACTAACTTAATCACTGCTTAAGTGATTTGCTTAACAACCGTATCAAGAAAGTTCATAAACTGGGGCAAAGCTCACTTAACGTGCTTAGCCACGGAGGTTTTGGACTGAATTGTGGTTGTCTGTGAATTTTACAATCGAGTGAAGCCATGAAGTCTCGCCAGGGCCCGATTCTCCAGTGAAAAACCCTGTCATGCCCCCGTCGCCTGAATCCGCGGAGGGGGATGAGCTAGGGCCTACTGAGGTCAAGGGGGCAGCCTCGGAGGAATGTGCAGAGGAGCAGGATGAGGCAGACCCGGGCCCCTCTGGCTTGGGACGGCTTGCTATCAGGGAGGAACAGGGGCAGGACGACCAAAGGAGGGCAGGCAGTGGAAATGAGGAGTGACGGAACTCAGGCAACATGCAAGGACCGCCCCTTCCTTTTTTTTTTTTTAATAAAATTTTATTATAAATTAGAAACATAAAACAGAATAAAGACTATAACGAAACACAATCACATACATACAACTGAAGTTGATTCAACCCCCATATATATATAGTTTCTAAATAACATTACTTATCATCATACTACAGCTTCAATTTGATTTATCATACTGCATCCTGCATTTGTTAATCTTCTTATATCTAATATTCCCTTATTTATATTTAGCTTGCTATTTACATAACTAGGCTTCATACTTCCCTAACATCTACCTTATGACATTTTTACTTCTATCCATTGGTACCATTTATCCCAGCTTTGATTGAAAATTGATTCTTGTCTACCTTTAAGTATATATGTTAGTCTATCACATTCTGCACACCACAAAATTTTGTTGATAATCATCTGATCCGATGGTACTTCCTTCCCTTTCCAAAGTTGCGCATATGCAATTCTAGCCGCAGTGGTAATGTGTACGAAAAGGTACCAGCCTGCTTTCCTTATGCCCCCAGGGTTTATTCCTAGCAAGTATTCCTCTGGTCTCAGTTGAAAACTGACTCCTGTAATCTCCATGAGCCAAACTTTTATCTTACTCCAATGTTTTGGGCTTGTAGACATGTCCACCATTGGTGGTAAAATGTACCCCTGGTTGACCCACATTGCCAACATTCTGCTGAGGTTCCAGGGAACATCTTTGCGATTCTTGCTGGTGGTATATGCCATCTATATAACATTTTAAATATATTTTCTTTGAAAGACACTGCCATCGTCATTTTCGCATTTCTATTCCATATTTGTTGCCATTTTTCCAGATCTAATGAATATCCGAAATTCCTCCCCCAGGCTATCATCGAGTCTTTAACTATTTCCTCAGCTACAAATCGGGACAGGAGGAGGTTATATACCTTAATGATACATTTCTTGTCACCTTCCAGGAGGGCCTTATCCAACTCTTGTGATGAAGTGAACCCCCTCCCCATTGGCTTTATCTTTTTGATATCTTGCTTGAATTTGTGCATATGCCCACCAGTCCAAATTGATTCCCCGTATTTGTAGTTCTGCTTTAGATCTAAGATTTTCCCCACCGTCCAACAATTCCCTGTATATCACATGTTTATCCAAGTTGTATAGAGGCGGGTTTATAGTCGCTTCAAGGGTCAGAAACCAATATGGAATCTTACTATACATCATTCCTTTGATCTTAATCAGACATCCCCTTACATAGTGATTTGTAAAATATTTATGCTATCCTGCTTTGATTGGCCAGAGAAAATAATGCCATCCCTGCTGTAGATTATACTCTTCAATTTTTAATATACGCTTCCTCTTCAGTATTATCCAATCTTTTACCCAAACCAGGCAAGAAGCTTGATAGTACCGCTCCCAGTTGGGGAGTCCCAAGCCTCCTCTTGTTTTATGCTCCTGCATCATTTTCCTTTTAATACGTGGCTTTTTCCCTTGCCATATGAATTTTCCAATTATCTGATCCATTTTTCTAAAGAAACTTTTCTCTAATCTTGCCGTTTGGAAAAGATATATCCATTTTGGCAGCACGTGTGCCTTTATCACTGCCACTCTTCCTAACAGGGATAGCTGTACTTTCCTCCACCAATCTAAATCCTGTTCCATTTGCAAGATGAGTTTATCATAATTATTCTTTTTTATCGAGGAGCATTTTGGGGTCAGCCATATGCCCAAGTATTTTACCTTTTTAGCTTTTTGTATTCCCATCACATTCTCTATCTCCAATTTCCGTGTCTCTTTAAGATTTTTAACAAGTAATTTGGTTTTGTTCCTGTTAATTTGTAGACCTGCTACTGCGCCGAATTCCTCAATACTTAACAAATTTGGCCCAGAGGTCATTGGCTCCTCCAATATAAAGATGAGGTCGTCTGCAGACGCTTGTATTTTAAACTCCTCTTTCCTAACATTAAGTCCTTTTATTTCTTTGTTTTGTCTGATTTGATTTAGTAAAGGTTCCAGAGTCAAAATAAATAATAGCAGGGACAGTGGGCATCCTTGCCTAGTTCCCCTATGTATTTGTATCTCCTCTGTTGTTTCACCTTCAATTAACACTCTTGCATATTGCGCCGTATAAAGTGCCCGGATAGCTTGTGTAAAGCTAGATCCAAAATCTATCTCCTCAATTTGTAATAAAATAAAGTCCCAATTAACCCTATCAAACGCCTTTTGCACGTCGAGGAACATTAGAACCATTTCTTTGTCTGTATGTATTTCATAATATTCCAGTGTATCCATGATGGTTCTAACGTCGTCTCGTAAGTATCTATATGGCAAAAAGCCGTTTTGATCTTGGTGGATGTATTCGTTTAAAAAAACCTTTAATTTTTCTGCTAATTGTCAGGTGTGCTTTCTTCAAAGTCCAGGAAAGAATGACCCAAACTCCATTGTTTATAGAGAAAGATACTTTTACTAGAAAATGAAGTGAACGCAACCAAAGGAAAGCAGAATCTAAGGCAATAAGCGCGAAAATTGCATATAGAAAGCATCCCCTCCCACTGTCCACCGTAAATCATCCAATCCAAAGGTCTCCCAGGGGTCAGGTGGAAGCACACGTCTGGCAGCGTCATCAATCAGGAATGCCACCACCATTGACCCGACAGCAGCTTCAAAGATACAGTCCGGTGGCTTAACTATCGCTTTCGATTTCTCCAGATTCTCCAGCACGCTTCCCCCCTCATACTACCTAGCTCTCCCCCCTCCCGTTACTATGGCAGCCAAAGCAGTAAAGGCGGAGGCTGACATTCGGCCCCTCTGCAGAAGAGATGTTAGTCCTAAATAGGGAAAGAGAAAACAACACAACACAAAAATTAGGGTTTATCAGGATATTTGGTGTGAAACAACTGAACTTTCTTTGGCGCCCAGGCATCACATTTATTCACCCATTCAGCTTGAGATAATGGGAAATGCTTCCAGGCCACCAAATACTGCACTTTACCGTGATGCTTCCTAGAATCCAAGATTTCCTTAACTTCAAAATGTTGTTCCCCTTCTATCAGTATGGGGACCGGAGGAGAGTCCTGGTTCAGACGCAAAGGGGACGAATGTTCCGGTTTCAGTAAACTAACATGAAACACAGGGTGGATTCGTCTCAAATTTTTTGGCAATTCCAATTCAACTGTGACTGGGTTGATGAGTCTAGTGATTGGGAAAGCACCCACATACTTGGGTCTGAGCTTTTTTGATTTCCGGGAAGTCTGTAAATATTTGGTGTAAAGATAAACCATATCACCCACTTTGTAAACATGTGCCCCGCACCTCTTTTTGTCAGCTTGGGCTTTATGTGCTCGGTGTGCATCATCTAAAGCTTTTCGAGTTACTGCCCAAGTACCCCGTAGTTGTTTGATCCACTCAATTAAAGAGCGGTTCTGTAGGTTATCCTGTGGTAGCTCTGGAATTGGCACAAACTCTTGGCCAGAGGCCACCTTAAATGGAGTGAAACTGGTGCTGCTATATACAAATGGCAATAAGTCCACCCAGTTGTCTTGCTGGTAATTTACGTAACATCTCAGGTACTGTTCTAACACGGCATTGGTTCTCTCACAAGCCCCATTTTGTCTGGGGGTGGTGGGTGGAGCTTAACCCCTGGGCGGAGCCTATTAATCCTAAAAACTCCTTCCAAAAGTTGGAGGTAAATTGCACACCCCTGTCCGAGATTATACGTTTTAGAGCCCCATGTAATCGATAAACATGTTGAATAAACAATTTTGCAAGGGTTTTAGCTGAAGGTATTTTAGAACAAGGGATGAAATGCACTTGTTTGGAAAACAAATCCGTTACTGCCCAAATGACTGTGCACCCCCCACTCTCCGGCAGGTCTGCAATAAAATCCATGGATATCTCTTTCCAAGGAGCATTTGGCCTTGCCACACTCTGAAGTAAACCAGGTGGCTTCTCCAGAGGTCTTTTAGCTGAGGCACACACCGGACAGCTAGCTACATAAGCCTCTATGTCCTTTTCGAGTGCAGGCCACCAGAATTGTCTTTTAACGAGATGTAGAGTTTTAACAAATCCAAAATGTCCCGCCGTCT